AATATTTAGATCTGGACTTTATAGTCAGATTTTATAAACACATCAATCAAATGGTAACCGACAGATGGTCTATTATTATATTCAACTATTTTACTTTCCATATTGATGGTACTGTTTGAAGTAAGTACCTCAAAGAAAAGTTAACGAGAAAATTGCAGTGGTGAACGAAGATAAAATGAATCTGAATTACATTCACTCTGCATAAGTTCGTGTACGTCAGAAATTAGAATAATTAATAATATGACAAGCTACCTGAAAACAGTTTCCAATTCGACGACATTACCCTTTTTTGCAAAAATGATTTTTTACAAAAAAAAGCAAATCTATTAAAACATTAAAAGGTTATTCTTTTTTTTGCAAAGACGGGTAGAAAATTATTGATTCACACAGAACTTAAAGCCCTTTTGATTTGTTTGGGCTGATTCGCCAGTAAACCCCGGAAAATTTAGGGAAAATAGTAAGAGAAAACAGGGCATTTTTAAAAAAATTTCAAGACTTCCCATAAAGGGAAAAAAAATGGTAAAACCTGCACAATATTCGAGTTTATTTTTATTGCCCCAAAAGCATTTTGGGATAAACGGGCCCAAACTTATATTAAATTACTTTACGATTTTAAAAACCCTTTCAGGGGGTTATATTGAACATGGTTTTGAACCCAAATGAATGCATTTTTGGAAAATTTTTAAAACCAAAAAAAAGGGCCCCCCATTTAAAATTAAAGACCAAAGACCTTTTTTTTGTTTAATTTAAGGAATTTCAACAAGAGCGATCAGTAATCAACGAATGTTGTCGCCTCATTGGGATGGCGCCAATTTCATGTTGGGACAAAGTTTGTGAAGAACGGCACAGACAGACAGGACGGACAAGTAGCACAACAAAGACTTGGGTACTGATCATTCCTGTAAAGTGTGGATAAATTTTTGCACCAGTAGTTTATGAGGAGTTAGTCCGGACAAACCCTTTTGCGTAAATTTTGGCCAAAACACACAGAAAAAAAAACACCCTTTTTATCAAAAGGCCCCATAACTCGGCCAAAAATCAAAGCAACCGGAAAAAACCCCGTGCAATATGCGCAAGGACTTGAGCCTACAGCTCACAATCCTGTAAAGTTTTCATTGAAATTTTGCTTTTATGGGCCCTTATAAGAGAAGTAGTCCGGACAATCTTTAAAAAATAAAAAATTATTAAAGGGCCATAACTCTGACAAAAAATCATTGAAACCGAAAAATGCTGATAAATGCACAACTTCCCTTGGTACTGATTCATTCCTGTAAAGTTTAGATGAAATTGCACCAGTAGTTTATTAGGAGTAGTCCGGACAAGCTTTTGTGTATCTGGCAACACACAGAAAAATACACCTTTTTTATCAAAGGGCCATTACTCGGCCAAAAATCATTCAACTGGAAACCCGTGCAATATGCGCAAAGGACTTGAGCTACAGATCAATCCTGTAAAGTTTCATTGAAATTGCTTTAGTGGGTATAAGAGAAGTAGTCCGGGCAAAACTTTAAAATTATTAAAGGGCCATAACTCTGCACCAAAAATCATTAAACCGGAAAATGCTGACAATATGCACAACTAGACTTTGTACTGATCATTCCTGTAAAGTTTGGGTGAAATTGCACCAGTAGTTTATGAGAAGTAGTCCGGACAAGTTTTGTGACGGACAGACGGACGGACAGACAGACGACGGAGAAGTGATCCCTATATGTCGCCACTACTCCGTAGAGGCGACACAACAAAGGGATTTTCAAATGAAATTTTATAAGAATTAGCCAAATATATTTATCACATATATATTAAAAATAACTTGTCTTCTGTCCTTGGCAAGTTTTACTGTTTAATGAAATTATTTCTAAACATGTCAACTAAATTATTTCTATATGTGTCAATTGCTTTCCACATGAAAAATTAAGACTAAAATCATTCGATTCTCTTAAAGTGAAAGAATATCGCTTTAATGTAATTATTTCAGAATTGCCACTGTATACAAATGATGATTCTTTTTAAAAAAAATATCTACCTTTTTTAGCTCACAAATGTCACTTTGTGACAGGGTGAGCTTTTGTGATCGCTTTTTCGTCCGGCGTCCCCCCGTAAAAACTTTTACTTTAAAATGACATCTCATCATAAAACACACTATGCCAATTTCATCCCAAACTTCACAGGATTGTTCCCTTCTGTGGTCACCTTTGAAAATTGTTCAAAGAATTTAATTCCATTGCAGAACTCTGGTTGCAATGGCAACCAAAAGAAAAACTTTAAATTTTCTTCTTCTAAAAAAAAAAAAAAAAAAAAAAAAAAAAAAAAAAAAAAAAAAAAAAAAAAAAAAAAAAAAAAAAAAAAAAAAAAAAAAAAAAAAAAAAAAAAAAAAAAAAAAAAAAAAAAAAAAAAAAAAAAAAAAAAAAAAAAAAAAAAAAAAAAAAAAAAAAAAAAAAAAAAAAAAAAAAAAAAAAAAAAAAAAAAAAAAAAAAAAAAAAAAAAAAAAAAAAAAAAAAAAAAAAAAAAAAAAAAAAAAAAAAAAAAAAAAAAAAAAAAAAAAAAAAAAAAAAAAAAAAAAAAAAAAAAAAAAAAAATCCCAAAGAGCTAGATCTTAGATATTTTGGCATGAAACATCTTCTAGTTCTACCAAGTTTGTTCAAATAAAAAAGCCCTGGGGTCAAAATTGGCCCCGCCCCAGGGGGTCATATTTTTTCTATATGCACTATAGTAAAAAACTTTAAAAATCTTCTTTCAAAGAACCCAAAGAGCTAGAGCAAAGATAATTTAGCATGAAACATGTTCTAATGGATGTCTACCAAGTTTGTTACAATTAAGAGCCATTGGGTCAAAATTGGCCCCGCCCCAGGGAGGTCAATTGATTATCCCTATATGAATATAGCAAAAAAACTTAAAAAATCTTCTTTCGAAAAAAAACCCGAATAGCTAGAGTTTAAATATTAAGCATGAAACATCTTCTTAGTAAGTGTCTACAAAGATTGTTCAAATAAAGGCCCTGGGGTCAAAACTGTCATGGCCCCAGGGGGTCATTGATTTTCCCCTATATGTAAATAGTTTAAAAAACTTAAACAATCTTCTTTTTAAAGAACCCAAAGAGCTAGAGCTAAGATATTTTAGCATGAAAACATATTCTAATGGGGTGTCTACCAAGTTGTTCAAATAAAAGCCCTGGGGTCAAAATTGGCCCCCCCCCAGGGGGTCATTGATTTTTCTATATGCAATATAGTAAAAACTTAAAAATCTTCTTTCAAAGAACCCAAAGAGCTAGAGCTAAGATATTTAGCATGAAACATGTTCTAATGGATGTCTTTACCAAGTTTGTTCAAATAAGAGCCCTTGGGTCAAAATTGGCCCCGCCCCAGGGAGGTCATTTGATTATCCCTATATGAATATAGCAAAAAACTTAAAAATCTTCTTCGAAAAAAACCCAAATAGCTAGAGTTTAGATATTAAGCATAAAACATCTTCTAGTAAGTGTCTACAAAGATTGTTTCAAATAAAAGCCCTGGGGTCAAAACTGGCCCTGCCCCAGGGGTGTAATTGTTTTTAATATATGTGTAAAGAAAAAAACTTTAAAAAAAATCTTCTTTTAAAAAACCCAACGAGCTAGACCTTAGATGTTTAGCATGAAACATCTTCTAATGGTTGTCTACCAAGTTTGATCAATAAAAGCCCTGAGTTTAAACCGGCCCCGCTCCGTGGGGCCTATATACAGGTGAGCGACTTCAGGGCCATCATGGCCCTCTTGTTTTATAGTGTATTAGGTTCAGTTTCAAACAACATTCTTTTTATCTTCTTTTAAACCATTTCATGATCGGAGGAGATAATTAAAAGAACAATGAATAAGCTGGTTTGTTTATGTAATTAAGTATAGCACAATCAACAAAATGTATGATGATGAAGATAACAGGATTTCATATGTATATTATAACAGCATTATTTAACATAGACTTGCTGAATTAAAGAGCTTCCCTTCATACTATAGAGTCTAGTCAGCCTGCATAAATGCAGGTCCACAGTTAACACAAGTATCTTGGTTATAAAAATGTTGCTTTCTACAAGCATGAACAATTTTACATTCATTTATTCATGTTGTTATCATGGTAACAATTAAATGATGCAATGATAAAGTGTTTGTATTTTACAATTAATCAGCAATAATCAACCCAATAGTTATTACGTATTATGTTAACCTGTAAATCAACCCAATAGTTATTATGTATTATGTTAAACAAACCAATTGTTATTACGTATTGTATTAAAGGGAGACCAACAAGTCCCAAAAGGCTAAAAACATAAAATTTGAAATTCTTACATACACCAACTGAGGCATTAAACAGGAAGATAAGCAAAAGACATATAAGAAATATACTTTATAATTAAATTGAAAATTGTATTTTTGTGCCATTCTTAGCCCGACTGCAGAAAAATTTAAAGTTTGGGTCATTTTTCACAATTATAAATAATTATTCTGGAAAAACAAAATGAGCTTTTGCACAAAAGTTATTGACACAGACTTACATCAATGGAATGCTAATATCGATAAATTATTTCCAGTCTTGCCAAGTCAAAAAACCTCAATGGTGTCGAGTCCCTTTAAAACACTATTAAAAGTCAAAAAATTTCAGTGCAGTGGAGTCCTTTTAAAACACTATTAAAATATCAATCAATGTAAACTCAAAGATTTTATATCATCATCAAGTTACAAGCAATGTTGGCAAAAATAAAGCTTTATTTACATACATATAAGATACTATAACAATGCATGCAAGAAAATGAAAATTTTCCTGTGACCCCAAATTTACAAATCAATTTTTGCATTTTTTCCCCCGGGGAAAACTCTTTCATGTTAAAAAAAATATATAAATTTTTTTTGGAAAATAAAAAAATCTAATTTGTGGGGGTGAAATTTAAGGGAAAAAAAAACCCTTGTCCCCACATAAAACAAACACCATTTTTAAAAGTAAAAAAGTTTAGGTAAAAAAAAAAAGACGATTATCATAACCCAATATAAAACATGATTTATGGATGAAAACAACCATATAATGGTCAACTTTAGATTGGTTAAATAAATACAAAATGCATCTATTTATCATAAATCAAAATGATAAGACGTTAAAACAAGTGTATTAAATTCATTGTAGTGTCTTTAAATTCAAAATCATTGAGCATGTCTTAAAGAAAAACTTTTAAACAAAATTACAATGAGACCCATTGATAACAGCTTAAACATGTTAAAGTGACATTATGCTCATTTTTTCATGGAGAAGTTGAGCTGAACTGACTTTATATTTCAGAATATGGACTTTTTTATGGTGACTGACCAAAAGTTTATGTTGGAAAATGTTTTGTTTAATATTCATCTCCCTAAAATATAAGAAAGACTGCCATACTCTTTTTTTCATAAATTGAATGTTACACCAATACAGGTAATTTAAGATGGATATTTTACAAAACTTTCCTTGAACCGTGCGAGTTATTTATCATTCATAAGTAAATTATAAATATGAAAGAAATTATGGCAAAACTTAAACCAATTTTGACCTCTTTAATAACTATATACAATTGGATGGGCATAATGTCACTTTAACAAAGCAAAATGATAATATTTTGAAGGCCTGTTTTGATCCAGTCTATGTGAGGAAAACTGTATTTAATGCCACCTGATAAAGCACCAATTCAAACAGAATTTAAATTAAACTTTCAACTTACTCCTTTGCATTTGCTTCTTAAGAATTATGTAAAATTTATGCAGTACTTATAAGAATCATAAATACTTAAATAAGATTTTCACATTCTGTTTAAGCACTTGAATTAATACAGAAAATTAATGGAATCTGTATTAAATCTAACAGCTACTCTTGTGTCATTTGTTTTTTATATAAATTACATCAATTTATGACTTAATACACACAAATATCTTCAAGACCTCTAAAACAACCTATCACAACTTAAGTGCTTTTTGATGCATCACCACCAGTTATATGACTTATATCGGTTAACTTTGCCGTTGAATTATTTCTAGACTGCGATGTCAGTCCTTTAAAATTTGGCCCCTCGGCATCAATTAGTGCATTCTGGGCATTCATAACTTTATCAATTAAAGCAAAGTCTTGGGAGCGTTGTTCTATATACTCGGATGGTGTCCAGCTCATGTCATGTTCCAATTTGAATGCTCCGACAAAATCATCGGCACGTTTCCATTCCTAAATAATTTAAAAAATTTCCCTGCTTTATATATAAACATATAAACATGTCATGTATAAGTAAATTTTTAAGAATTGGGTCATTTAAAAGCAAAATAAATGGAGGGAACAGCAGGAAAATTTTATTGATAAAACTGTAAAACAAAACCCCAAAATGATTTTCAAAATGTGTAAAGTATTATTGGAATAAAACAAAATCCAATATGTTATTAAGGGTGTTACAAATCTTTTCTTCGATTTTCATCAAGGGTGAAAAAGTTTTTTTTGTTATCTCGTTTTTTTATTTAAAGTCAAATAATGTAAAAATTTATTTTCCGTGTAATTTTATATTATCATTCAGTGCAAAAATGACCTTACCGAAAGTTCACAACTTTTCTGAGCATACCAACTATTAAATCTGACAATGTAAACTAAAAAGTCTTATTTCCAATTTTTTCAAACTGCTTATATTAAATATTTAAACTAATGGGCCCCCAAATAAAACTACAAGACTTAAAATCAGATTTTAAAAAAAGAATTATATTTCTTTTAGAATCAAAAAACCCCAAACCAATGCAATTATAGTGATACATAAAATATTCCTGAATATTAATTAAAAATACAAAGTAATAATACAAAACCCGGTGAAAGGGTGGAGAAAAATTTTGTCCCGATTCCGTGATACAGGTAGAATTTGTCCCGGTTTTCTTTTCAAGATACTGTGCAGATTAAAAATGCATTCTTTTAGATCTTCTAAAACCTAGCAGTAAAAAACAAACAACAATAAATTAAAAATTTATTGAAGTATTTCAACATTACCTTTACATTCAGAGGTAAATCTTATACATATTTAGTGTTTATTTCTTTTTTAAATTGTTTTTTGCTTTGTTCTTTGGTACAAAGGGATTTTCTGAGTATTTTCTAAATATATCTTTTAAAACAAGGCAGTCTGAAGGACATTTATATCCCCTGTCGCAGAAGAATTTTTAAAAGTTATGGAGCCCCCATGAAACTGTAAGAGATTAATGTATAGACTGATGGACATATCGACAGAAATACAACTTCTATACATATTTTTCTATTTCTCAAGCTATGACCCAAAATTGCGGTATTCTAAAAAAAAGCAAATTAACACAAATTTTTTTTAAAACGGCTTCAGGGTTTAAGGGGTCAGAATAAAACCTGAAATTTGGGACTACAAAGTTCAGGTAGTTACCTTTTTTTGCGTTCCCGGGGATAACGTATTTGATCAGCAATTACCATTAACTTACTGCCAGCAGTAGCTTTTGTAAACTCATCAGCCTGAAATATATAGATATCTACGTCTTTTCATCAATTTAAAATAACTTTTTATAAAATATCAAATCATGCATATTCTATTGGGAGGTTTGAACAAATACAAAATACCAAAATAATGGTCCACTACACACAAATGTAAACATTCACTGCCAGCATAATGAAAATTTGGAAGCAGCACAGGTTGTCTGTGTCTATTAATGAAAGCATTTTATTTCTGTATGTGACAGCAAAGTACATGTTGATCATAATCACCATTATTAACAAATGAATAAATAAGTAAGAATTTTCATTTAAAAAAAAACACAAAAAAACCCAACAAAAATAGAAAACATTTAAACATTACCACACTTAGTCTACATATTTTAAAATGACCCTTAATAAAATGGACCTGTGACACTAATAGTGTCCAGCTTTCAATCTTGACAAAAACATCCATTATTTAAGGGAGAATTTCTAAATCATGCATGTACTGTCACTGACTGATTAGTGGACAGTGCAGACCATGATCATATTGTACAGCTTTTAAATAACACTTCATGTACAATCTGTTACCACAAGCTGGTAAAGAGTTTTCTATTTATTGATTAAGCATAAAAATGGCATAAATATACCTATAGATTTAAGATGCATTAACAAACATGTTCATGACAAGCAAAAAACATTTATTCAAAGCCTTTTGAGGTTTAAAATGGGGCTGACTTTAGCCCAATTCCCCTCTCTAAACAGGAATTACGGGATCAGGGGAAATAACTTAAGTTACATTTCATTACAGAAATATCAAGGGAGAGAACTTGAGCCATTGATCTGGACAGGTCAAAATTTAGGACTAGGACTTTTTAGGCATAATTTATGAAAACATATTTCACCATAGTAAAAAGGAAGCAAATGAAAATGAAATATTACTTTTTAAACAGAATGAAATACATAGTGACAGAGTCTATGGGAAAAAGATGAATTATATTTGGTACTGCATAATAATTCACACAATGCTTTGGTAACTGGGAAACACAAAACATGTTGCGTCTTCTAATAAATAACTTAAGTGATGTTTGAACACACACTGACAAATGATTTAGTTAGAATGACTCATGAGCAAAGAAATAACTTTTACAAATTTTCTAAATATATAATATTCAGATAAATAAATCTCTTAAACGACTAATCAATTGAATATGAGAAGAAGAAAAAAACTTTATAACATCATGAAAGGTGCATGCTTTGCAAGATGTACATTATTTTTTTAAAACTCAAATAAACATACACTATTTGACAAGCATAGTGGTAAGTGTAGTAAATCTCTGTTATCTATGAAATGAAGAAAATGTCCTGGTTTCAGGGACAACATGTTCACCTTTGACCTTTATTTCAACATAACATTAGAAAGTTACAATGACATTATATGATTATAATGTAAACATTCTCACAGCCACAAATTTCCATCAGGTAACAGTAGGGAAGTTTTATATCTAATGTCAAATTCATCTTGATGGAAAATGATGAACAAAAGTTAACATGTGTGAACCCAAGTAAAGGTTTATACAAAATTAAACATAGTGGTTAATAGATAAAGACTTTTTATTTCATGAATCTCCTTTGTTTGTTTTTCTTGCTTTTTTTCACTGATTTTCTCTTGATGAACAATGCACACAACTAATTTCCTGTAATAGGATAAGTATAACTTGTAATTTCCAATTTCTCCGTGTCTATCTAATTATCCCACATGATTTCTGAATCAGTGGTGAGAGACAAATGACCATTGGACTCAAAGTCCCACATCAATTGTCACAGAGGAAGTTTGACTTGCCAGAGGATTGAACCAGCAACCACTGGATTGCCAATCCGATGCTCTCCTAATTCAGCTAAGGCTTAGGCAAGCAGACTTTTATGCATTATCTAATCATGCCAAGGGTTTGCAATTTGTAAATTAAAAAAATATTCATAACATGGACACAAAAAAATTGTTTTAAGTTTGACAGCTGGATAATGCCTCTCAACAAAGGCATCATGAGTTTGAGCCTCATTTGGGCCAGGCAAAATTTCTCATTATTAACATAACTCAATAGGTCTTAGCTGAAAGAGTTGTGCCAGTTACATTGTATATTATTAGGGTGGCCTAAATGAAGATTATTCTGGATTTTTTTATGTTTGCACCAGTGTAAGAATAATGTCATCTTCTTTAAACAATGTCATTCTGCTTACATAAAGATTTTACACTCATGATGTAAATATTTCATATTTCTGACTACAACAGTTGAAGTGTAACATGTAAAACAAATTATCAAAATAATCAAATACTGAGTAGACACTCAGCTTTGAGCAAACTTTGGCTGTAAGATAATAATTCAGTAGTAAATAAGAAAAGAAAAGCATGATAAATGTTATCACTTTAAACAGTTAATGTTGGTCCTGATATTCATGTCTCTACTTACAACAACTTAAAGATTCTTTCTTTGAATCATTCCTTAAAGTTCATCGTCTTTAAAATAATACCTTTTGCACTTGCTTGGCTAGCTCCACTAGGTCCATGGGGTCAGCATTCCTGTTGACCATGTAGGTATTGACCAGTTGATGGCCGCTCGGCCGACTGTTACTCTCAACAAGAGCAACTAAAATCAAATAAAACATTGTCTAAATTTGCTGAATTATTTAAATGGGATGTAAATGCCCTGCTTCAATTTTTTGGAACTGTTATTTTTTCAATTTTGGGATTGTCAAAATAAAAAAATTTGAAGTTTGTCCAGGCTTAACAAATTTTAGCGGCGCCTGGTTCATATTGCATGGACAGGTAATAAGGTGTTCTCCAGTAAAGCACCGCCATTTTTAATGTAGGTTCATTTTTCATAATTTCAGAAAATTTCACAACTTTTTGGGTGTTTAAAAATAATTCATCGAGGTGTTCTGGATTTGGAAACCGGAAGTGTACATGAAAATTTTTTTGTTGCTTTTTTTTTTTGCTTTATTAAGTTTCTTTCAGATAATCGGTTTTCAAGAAAATTGACCGAAAACAGACAAAACTGAGTAAAGATATAATAACTAAAAACACGAAAAACAACAGTAAAAAATTTTTTAAGTCTAGAGCTTCTTTTAGTTATTGGCAACACATCACTTCCCATCATGAAATATAATTTCTTATGTTCAAGGATTGCAAACATATGGAATTTTTATCATCATCTTTTTCACTGATTTTTTAATTACAACATTTTGATTAGGGAATTTTTAAAAAGGGAGAAATTTTTCCGGGAAAAATTTTTAATAAAAATTTTTTAAAATTTAACTTAGAAGGGTTTAAAAAAAACCCTTTTGTTTCATAGCTATTACCCTCTATCGACATCTTTGCCTCTCTGTAAGGAGTAAACTTTAAAAACGTGATAAAGTTTTGACGTTTATGTAACAGGAAGTAAACAATTTGGGCCGCTGGTTCCCGTAGTCCTTTGTTTCCCACAGCTTACAATTATTGCCAAAAACGTTGAACATTCATTAAACCAGTGTCAAATTGCTAATTTTTCTTCATTGTTTTTACTGTCAAAACTTTGCAGAAAAGGTATTTTAGATAAGCCATTTTCGATTAAAGACCAGTCTCTTTCATAAAAGTTTAATCCGGGATATCGTTATGATAATAAATTTTCACTTCAACATTTTCTTGTACAGTGTTCGGATATTAGAAAATCCGGCAGTTTGGGCAGGGGACTAAAAAAAAATTGAAAAATTTTGTATTTCAGGTGTGACCAGAAAACACCAATTTTCCAAATATTTCAAAAATTGTTTCCACACGGCAGATTAACCAGTTTGCCAGATTATTCAATGAAATTACATCATTGTGAAGGGAAAATAATTTATTTGAATTGCAATGCATTGCTCCTTCAAATCAAAGCACTGAATGTACTGATGGGAGGCTATGAGAGAATGTTTCAGACTTATAGTGTCTTTTCTTTTTTGCTTAAAATTATGCTACCAAAATAAAAAGATATGCACATTTGCGCCTATTTATCCTTACTGTTGTGTTCAAACATTCATATATATGGTTAATGTGGTTGACTATTCATTTTGTTAATATTCCAGAACATTTCATTGAGGTCTACATTCGGACTGTTAATCATACAAATTTTGAAAAACCTAAACTGTCAATAATAAATGACATACCCAGCAAGTATAACGACTGTTCATTATCAGATAACAATAACATTTTACAACTGACGGTTCCTTATCAAAAATCACAGGAACTTGAAATTCTATCAAATAACCAATATTTAATTATAATATCCAAATATACCCCTATATACTATAAAAAACACAAACACAGGAACTTGAAATTCTATCAATAACCAATATTAATTATAATATCCAAATATACCCCTATATACTATAAAAATTTTTTTATAGTATATAGGGGGTATATTTGGATATTATAATTAATATTGATTATTTGATAGAATTTCAAGTTCCTTTGTCAAAATATTCTAGGACTGTTCATCATAAATACTTTATGTCATTTTAATATTAATTGAATGATAAAAACAACTGCAAGTGATGCAACATTTTTATTGAACATAAAAATTATACACGTTTAGATGTACCATAATTGAGATCAAAAAGATACTGTCTTGTAAATGAGTATTAATATTCATGCTCTACGGACAGAAGGTTGTCTTTCTCCAGAAGCAAATCTCAAAATTAAAATCACTTTTCAAAAAAAATTTTTGACGGCGTTGGGAATAATAAAAAAGGGTAAATATTTTTTGAAAAAAAAAACCTTTATCTGAAAAAGTTATTAAAAAATTTAATTTAAACCCCCAAAAAGAAAAAAATTGATCAGGAATTATTTTCTTCTTTTTACCGCCAAAAACTCAAAAACTAATTTGGGTGGGTTAATCGATAGCTTTTTGTTATTTTTAAACCCTCACAGTTTTAAAATTTTTTTAAAATGCAAAAAAATCTTGTGTTAACGGGGTTGGGGGTTTATTACTTTGGGGTTCCCTTTTGGGCCCCTTTTCCCGCAAAAAATTTGGAAGAACACCCAAAAGCCTTCCATTGCTATGAAGGGAATGTTATAAAGGGCTTTGTTTTGGAAGTTTTTTTGTTGAAACTTCCCAATTTCCCCCAGGGGCCGGGGCCACGTCGCGGAGAAGGCACACGGAAGGACATAGTCAAGTCATCATAAGTACCAGAGGTGATTGGTTGACCTGTCGTGACTTACTCTGGAGTTTTTGGCGCTAATAGATGCCGTTTTTTGTTGTCGTCAGTCAGAAAGTTGATGCCTTGACGGTATTGTCGTCTCCTTTACCACCAAAGAACGAAGAATGGGCTTCCAGGAAGAATCTGCTTGAAAAAAGACGTCCCAGATGCTATAATCTCGGACATATGGTTATTCCGGCGCCGAGTATAAATAAACTTAAAACACACTCACTTTTGTTGAAAACAAAACAAAAAAACAACAACACATTTTCTCTGTAGTAATTTTTCAAGTGTTGTAAAATGAATAAGAAATTCCTCTTATGCCGCCGATTATTTTTAGAACACAAACATAAAAGTTCTTTTTTTTATATTTCAAATAAACATTAATCACTTCAGCGCGTGCAAATATCGTTTTTCAAATTAAAGTTTCGTAAGATATGTTAATGACTTCCGATGCTCGACTGTAAGTAATTTGTATATGTATGCGTTTTTTTTTTGTTTTTTTTTTTTTATTAATTAAAGCTTCTTATTCTTTAATATTTTTTATGTATCTCATAATCTGTATTGAAAAATTTGAATTTTATTACACATGGACTATCAAATTATGATGTATGCCCTAGAATTGAATAAACTTTCTAATTACACAATACGGGGTCATACTGATCTTTGCGTCTTTCTCTGAAATAATTATTTCTTTGTTAAAACATATTTGACCACATATTTCTGTCAATTAACTGTTCACTTTACTTCCGATTTTTTGTTGTACGGAAAACACATGTTTCTATTTGTGTTTTCTAATCAATTCGAATCTATAATCAGTTTAATGGGATCACCACCGGGTAAACGACTACTAGGTACTTTGGTCATGTTTTTTTTACCCCAAATATTTGAATGTTTCTATTGGGATTAAAATGAGCATAGTTAAGTAAACAACTGGTTGTATAAAAATCCCTAACCTGTCTAATTCTAATTATGAGATCAGTGAATATATAAGACTTTCACTACAAAATATTCCTAAACAAAAGAGCACATGTTTAAATTTATTCCTATACAAATAAAAGATCAGAGTAGGGATCTGTCAATTGCCAAATATACTTTTATGTTAAAAGTTTGATTAATGAATTATGTAAGATGAAAATATAAGTATTGCTTTTTTTATTTTTGCTAATGTAAAATGTAATATTGTGCTGGAATTTTGTCGGAAGGTCCTTTATAGGGGTTTTGTAGTTAAATAGTTTTTTTTTCGGCGATAATGGTTCAAGAAATATAATGTTTCAAACTATATGCTCATCACCATCAGTGAATTTTTTAGTTAAATGTATGCAAAATATTTACTAACAGCTATGATATAGCGGTTTATGACCGTTTTTCCGCGTACAGCCTCCTGGGGTGTACTAATAAGTTAGTTTTCCTTAGTTATCACGCAAGCATGATCCATGTCTCTGATGTAAGCGACAGTTTACAATAATTTGTCTTTTAAAAAATATTAAGGACTTTTAATGGTTTATAACAACAAAAGAACATGCATGATATTGAGAATACGGCATTGTATATATACACCGGTCTCAAATATCGTCAGTAAGACCGGTGTACACAATGGAGAATACGGTGTTGGAACGTTCTAGTTAATGACCCGTCATAAACAGTTGGTCGCTGCGTAGTAATTGGAAAATTGTTATCAAGAATAATAAAGAATATTTGCCACTGAATTAAAGCATTTACTTACAAATTTTCATTTATGCTTTTTTGTTAAAAAAATATTGATAAAGTTATTATTTTGAAGGATTTTCATACCAGAACTATTTATTACAGACGTACGTATTTGCCAAACCTGATTACCGCGGCAGTATGACGTCACGGAGTAGTGATTTAAACAAAAATCAAGAATTTTTCAGAGAATTATTATCTTTACAAATTGCAGATATGAAATTAAAGAATGAAAATATTTTCATATTGTAAATGTCTGTGATGACTGATGAGTCAGCTTAGAAAAGATCAAGGTACTATTTTTTGACCTGATTACCGCGGCAGTAAGATTTGACGAACAGTTATTAACATTGGGTCGGCATAGCCTCCCCAAAAATGACTGGACAGCAATTTATATTTACCCCCACCCAGCCAAAATCACACCTAAAATATACCAATATGGGCAATCTTCATGAAGGTGCAGCATACTCCAGAATCCGCCCGATTCCTTTAAAAAATATCAGTAGCAAGATATGGCATTTTCAGAAATGACCAATAAAGTGTCTGTCATACGTTTAGATTTTTCACAAAATTTATCTGAAATTTCTTACTTGTTTGGCACCAACTGTCAAAGCTTGATTTTTTAGCTTTTTCACCTCCATTCGGAGAGTCAGAAATACATACAAAGCTACCAAAATGCTTAGTTTCGGGTAAAAACCCAAAAATACTGCTCATTTTCCTACACACAAAACAAGAAAGAATTACAATGACGGAGAAATATCAGAAGTTATCAGTACCTTCAAAACACCATGTCTGAGTTATTAAAAAATTTGACCGGGCCATCATTCAAATATGTCCCCTGCCCCCTTACAAGTGTCGTAACAGTAATAAGATGTTTTTTCCCATAAACGTTCTGCTTTAGTTAAGATAAAGAAAAATTAAAGGAAATAAAGAAAATGACCTAAGAAATGACATTTATCGTGAACTAACCAGTTCTCAAACCCCTAAGCATTCAAGAGGTCTTTTAGTGTAAATAAAATATATCTTTATAAAAATTGTTACATATGTACACTTTTTAATCTTTATGTAACATATCTGTAAAATTTGACTGAATTTCAACAATTTAAAAAGCTCTATTTCCGTTTTGGAAAAGCACAACCCTCTGTTTAAAAACTGACATGACCTCTTAAAATAAAGAACCTAATCTCAAACCCCTTCAAGTATCTCTAAAATTCAACTGTTTAGTTTAGCCAATGAAGTGATTGTTATATGACTATCACATGACAATTAAGTACCCTACACGATGCAGGTACCTGCTTTAAGTTATTTTTGTCTATAATATTTATTTTCACAAATAGTTAATGGTGTATTTATGGGACTTACAAAGGTAATAGCAATTTGTATGAAATTAGGCTAAGTAATAAAATATGTTATGTAAATATTTGTTCCTATGCACTGTTTTCATTTGACATCAGCACATATGTCTGTCAGAAACTAAGCTTTTATGCACACATGTTCAGGACATCATAGTCACTTCCAGTAAAAAAATAACAGCACATGAATGAAGGGTTTGAGAATAGGTTGGGTGTGAGATTAGGTACTTATACGATAACAGTTATCTCCTGGATTTCTTATTTGACTGAAAACAGCAAATTCACATTAAAAAGATCTACAAAAGTATCTGTAAATTTTATGAATTGATAAATCTTTAAACTTCTAGACTATCTATAACTTTATGGACTGTCCATAGATATCATGAAATCCTAGACCTGATAAAAAATATACCCTTTCCCCCATTAATGTTTTTAAAACTAACTTGAAAAAATATGACTGTCACATGTGTCGCATTTAGTTATCACAGGCACCAAAACCTGGTTCAGTAGCAACATCAGCTTGTGACATCCAATGATTAGGGTTTTTTTCACCAGATTTCGGGAACATGACCCATACTCAATAGGGATGGAATCAGTCATTCAGGCACTTTTTCTTCCATTTTGGGAAAATGCCACATGGCAAATTTGGAAAATTTGTGTCGAAAATGTTCCAATTTTGGAAAAAAGTTATCGTGAAATTTGCCAATTTGGGAAAATACATGTATGCTAGCATTCAAGGTGTTACAATTGTTAAAATAAATCTAAATAAATCTAACTTAAACTGTTCAGCTTTTTCTGTCATATCAAAAATACAAGGACATGCTAAAATGAGTACAAATGTAACTGATATCAATTAAAAATCCTGTTCTTATTCACAAAACATGAATATATTCCGTAACACTATTTGGCGACACCAAAATTGAAAATGCGGTACTTTTTCTTTCAAATGCTGACTTCTAGATTGGGAAAAAAAAATTTGGATTGGGAAAAAAAAAACATAATTTGGATGGCTTAGGGGCCCATATTCAGACCCGTGGGATAGGGGGAAAAAGGCCTGTCATTGAATTTAAGATTTTAAATTTATTGGCCCAATTTCCAGTTTTGAATTTATTCAACTATATATTTAACGAAATTTTCTTAAAATTAACACTGTCCTTAACTCATTTTCACTGGCCATGGGCCACCGGGCCAGTGCTAAATTCGATGACTGTGGAATTAGGAAATTTCAGCAGTGTTTTGTTAAAAATTCAAGAAAAATGCATTACTGAAATTTTGCAGTGATTCAATGAATACAAAGAATCATAATATAGGATGGCATCTTTAAACATTTAAGCTCTATCACAGTAAAGAAGCATTTATTTTCAAAGATTTTAGATTTGGGTATTCAATATTTTTATTTTGTAACTTTCAATTTGGGAATTATTTCCTGTGGATCGGGAAAATAATATACTATTTTCAATTGGGATTATAACCAAATATTGGCTATAAATTAAGCCAAAAAAATAATGGATGATCCATATTGTTCAATTCCTCACTAGGATTTATGTTTTCTATTGACAGTCGCAAGATGTTGGAAAAGCTTTTGACACTAGTAATAAGTGACACATTCCAGATCCCAGTGTGGACAGTAATTCTTGCTACAGTATGTCTAGTTTGGTTAGTTTGGGAACGAAAGAAACCACCAAAGCCACCACAGGTAATGACATTCTTATCACAATGAGAAAATTGTGATATTTCTTATAACAATTTCACCTTTATATTATGGTTTCATGTTTTATATTTTACATTGTTCAAGTATTCAAATTGGTTTTTTTATTGAAGCATATATTTGAATATGCAACAGTACTTTACTTATAAACTTATCAAAATAAATAATGGAAACCAAAGTTCAAAATAAGAGCTGGGTATTGTTGTAAATACGCAATTAAAATCATTAGAATGAATACTCAAATAAATTGAAATCTCAGCGTTCAACCAACTTTATTTTTGAATAATTACCCAATTCTATAATCATGTATAATCGAGTGTGTATCAGACTTATGCTAAGTTAACTTCATTTTTTAACAAGTCAATGAAGACAAAATTATTTTGTAAATTATACTGACATGCAAAATTGTACATTGGCGAACAAACACTGAAAATTTGACTCATGAGTTGATTAATAGTAGTGTATATATTAATTAGGAAGATAATCTTCCGAGGTATTAGATTAGTTACACAATTAAATTTTGAAAACTGGGTAAAAATTGCATTTTACATGTTTTACTCAGTTGAAAATTTGAAATAAATACCCAATTTATTTGCTAGGGGTAGGTATTATCACTTTACCTCTAAAAGCTTATCTGCAGCTCTGGAAAACTTATGTATATCATTATATGGTTAAAAGGCAATTAAAAAGTCTGAAATGATAATTATTTTTAAATGCTTACATAAAAATATTTAATCATATTATCTAATTTAGATCAACAAGGATGCAGAGAATGAAACTGTACAAAAAGTAACACCATCTACAACAGCTGGAACTGAAAATGTTTCCTTGAAGGAGAAATATGATGCATCAAAATATGTTAGACTAAAATTGAAGATTTTCTTTGGCACACAGACTGGCAAGGCTAAGGTAACCTAACCAAAAATTTGTAATATGGTTTGATTTCTTTGTTATAACTTCACAATTAAAAAAAAAATATGTATTTCAGGGAAAATTCATGTATCTAATGTTTTGGGTGTGCTTTATTTAATTGTATACTGTTATAATAAATTATCTTTCCTAGATTTGACTAAAATGACTAATTAAACATATCTGATTAAACTTATGCATGATCTTTTCTTGTATACCAGCTTGATGCCATAAGGATTCAGTTAAATAAGATGCTTATAATCATTTTGAAAGATCCAATGAGATATAGCTTAATTTAATTACAGTGCACATTCCACATTTCCATTTTACCATTTGCAAGTGTTTCTTGAACAGTCAAACTTTTACAGTTTGGCTCAAAAATTTTTTATCTTGACATAAGCTGTTTGGAGATTGAGAGATTTGTCAAATTGAATCATTACCTCAGTTTGAATTTAAATCTGATTAAAATTTATTAAAATGTGATCCCATATTGATTTCCTGTGTTCATATTTGCTGTGCACCTAATTTAACATTAAAGTATAATTTTGGCACATATGTTTCATGTATAAATGTAAAAATTGAGCATATAATATATGTATAATTATGTTTATTACTATTTGAGCATATATGTTTAAAGAACTCAATGTACTACTGCATGTATTTGAGCAGATATGTTTCAAATATGAGCACAATCATGTTCAAAAGACTATTTTGCTCTTGTGTGCTTTGTGGATAATTTGATCACATAATGTTTAATGTATGATTTGTATACATTTGTTTAAAGTACATTTGTATAGTATTTGTAGAAATGTTTGTCGTTCAATTTGTGAGCAGGGTTTTCATTTTTTATCTGAGGCAAAAGATGCTCCAAAGAAAACAACCGATTTTGCCAATGGTCAAGGGTGATACTTTAATATACAGGCTGAAAATACAACCAATTCTAACAGCATCTTAACCGATGGTTTGAATCGTCAATTGGTTAATAATGGAAACCCTGTGTGAATACATGTTAGTAAATGTATATGTGCTTAAAATTTGATTAGTTGCTTTTTACCATATTACAGAATTTTGCTAAACAGTTATGTGACGAGGTCACAAAGAGAGGATATGTTGTCGAGGTAACAGATCTCAATCATTATGATCCTGAAGATAATCTTGCTGATGAGGTTTGTACATCTATTGTTTACTCTTTTTAAAGTTGCGTCAACATCTTTTCTTATTAAAATGAAATGTTACAAAATTATTTGCAACTGCCATTAGAAGTTTGTTGGTTGGTTATTTTTTTGGCCAATATTAACACATTAATGGTCTTATCTTGGTGGTTCATTTTGAGGGTTAAGAGCGAAACTGGTCTATCTGCTTCTGTTTCTATATTAAAATGGACCAGTTTTACTCTAAGCCCTTGATTTATCTTTTCCGTTTTCCTGGATAACTAACCATTTTTACCCAATTTTTTCCACTTTTTCTGATTCAATCCTAATTTCGCTGAAACCCAAAATTTAAGGACAAATATCCATTAGACATAAGCCCAAGATCAATTGTCTTAGAGTACAGAGTTCAGACACTGAGTGGTTAATGCATTGGACAAGTAATCTTAGAATTTCTGGCCATTGGGTTCAAACCCTGTCGGGGGCAAGCCATTGTTTTTGTTAGCAATAAACTTTACACTCATTGCTTAGAACTGGTTGGTTCCAGTAACAGGTTTGAGTGTTTTGAAACTTAAAGCTTCCTGAACTAAAATAAATTTGTATAATCTAAAGTGATTGTTACAGAGAAATTCTTGCCAAAGGGTGGAACCAGCAACCCCAGGAGTACATGTACTAATCGGTAGCTCTCTCACTTTTGCAATAAGTAGGCATTAGGAGTGATTCTGTTACTATCCATTTCTATTAACAGGGTACAGACACTGTTTGTGTATTTTTCGTGTCAACAAAAATACCCCATGGTACACCTACAAAAGGCGGGTTGGGTTCTGTAAGGCTAAAGAGACTTACAGATTTTTTGTGGGAAAAAAATTACTGCAAACCTCCCAAAAATTTTGTTTTTGTCTAGGGGAATTTTTTATATCGGACCCTTACAATGTGGTATGTAAATTTATAATTTGTGTTAATGTAAATTTATATTCCTTACCACTACTCAGTTATGGAAAGCAATCTTTCAGGTTTAACTGCTGTATGTAAAAGCATTGAAAATGTTGAAATTATTCTTCTCTAAAAATATTGAAAAAATTAATTAATTGATTCATGCTTTTCTTTTTTTTTAAAAAAAATTGTCTTTTTGCTTGTCTTTCATTAGTGATTTTAAAGAAAAGTATCAATTTTATTATCTACCAAAGCTTTAACTTTGCCATGCAACTTCAAAAGGTCTAAACCATGTGATTTTATTTTTTATTACTTAAAGGTTGGTAAGAATATTGACAAGTGGTTACATAATTTATCAGCTTTGAGAGTTATGCCCCTTGGTCAAGGAGACGAGGATGTGGTGAACAGCAAACATGGAGGTACGTTATCACTTGTTATCAGGTTGTTCAAACATCTCATCATAAAATATGTGGTGATTTCATTTCCTTATTTAAACAAAAAGACAAAGAAAAAATATTGTGTAAATTATAACTCGGTATGTTGGATAGTTTATGTCACAGTTGAACTTGAGTATTTTGATATCCGGGTTGAAAACATAGCATTATATTTATCTTAGTTATCTTAAAGTGTTTGAAATGATGATAAAATTCAATACTGTGATAGTCTTAATGCTATTTCTTACAAGTCCAGTTCTGGAATATATTTGTGGTACTAAATAATAAATGATGACCTTTATGCACTCATCAGTTGTAACCTTGCCTCTCAAGTGCATGAGATAGTGTGGGGGAAATACTGTAATCTGACCTTTTCTGTCAAACACCACACTGCTGGGGTAATGCATTGGTTTCATTTTTGCTTAAAAATCACAAGAATTGTGGCCAGATTGCTGTGCAGGTATTTATCTCCTGACTTTCCCCAAAGCCTTTGCCAGGGGTCCGTAAGTTAAAAACAAAAAGGATCTAAAATCACCTCCACTCTAGACTTATCTTATTTAAAGAATTTATCAGATATTTAATACTGAAATAAGTTTAAAACTTGGTGACTAAACAACTATTTTCTATTCAAACAATTATCAGGTATAGAAGAAGATTTTCGAGCTTGGCGTAAGATATTCTGGCGTAAGGCGGGTCCCATCTTGAATGGGAGGAAACAGTTGACACCCAATACCACTTTGGGGAAGAAAGAAAAAGGTAAATGTGGCGGTCAATGTAAATGTAAGGAGGATGGTGGTAAATGTAGCAGTGATGAGGAGCAGGAGTCCCAAGATGAGGTAAATGTTAAACATTTTATAATGGCCGTATGCATGAAATGTTTTTATTTGCTGTATGCATAAACAGATTTTAATTGCCGTCTTCATATAAAGACTTATCAATACCACCAGTAGGTATGTTTAGATCAGCTTGCAATTCCATGCTGCAGACCAGGAACTATACTGTTGCCTGATTAATTTTGATTTTCTTGTATTGAATTGCTTGAAAATTCAAAAGGGACATAAGTAGTGTTCCAGGTTCAAAGTAGGAAATTACATTCGAATTTGGCATGGTAATGGGTCACAGATATTACCTTAGGTACATTAGGTCTAGCTGATTTGAATACCATGTATTGAAAATGTCAACTTTGCATATTGGAGACTCTTAGCAGAGAGTTCTGTTTAGGTACTTTATCTTTACTACTCTTTTACAATGAATTTGAATCTTGTCTAGCTTTAAGAAAGAGGTTTCAAGTAAGAAATGCTTGTTGCAAAAAAAGGGTTTAACTCTTGTTATTGTGCCTAAAATACTAGCAGTGTGTGAAAGAAAGTTTGGGTCTCAATTTATTTAATAAAGTTTGAAAATCTCCCAATGAACATACCAGTTCTAATACTATGACTGAAAACACTGAAAAGAGTATATGTATTGATCTAGTGCAAAGAAATAAAATGTCTCAGAAAAATGTAAAACAAGTCTAATTGTGGTTTGGATTTGCATATTTAACATAGTAAATAACTACATGTATTAAGAGGCTGACTTCAGCCGTTCCCATTTCTTATCAATATATGATCTGTTTAATATTTGAAACAGACCATAAACTGCCCAAGCAATTATGTTTGAATGAGACAAGACTGTAAAAAATTAAAATAGAAATATGAGTTGTACACATCCAGTAAGAAATATGAATTGTACACATCAAGTAAGAAATATGAATTGTACACATCAAGTAAGAAATATGAATTGTACACATTAAGTATGAAATATGAATTGTACACATCAAGTAAGAAATATGAATTGTACACATCAAGTAAGAAATATGAATTGTACACATCAAGTAAGAAATATGAATTGTACACATCAAGTAAGAAATATGAATTGTACACATTAAGTATGAAATATGAATTGTACACATTAAGTATGAAATATGAATTGTACACATCAAGTAAGAAATATGAATTGTACACATCAAGTAAGAAATATGAATTGTACACTTCCAGTAAGAAATATGAATTGTACACATCCAGTAAGTAATATGAATTGTACATATCCAGTAAGAAATATGAATTGTACACTTCCAGTTAGAAATATGAATTGTACACTTCCAGTAAGTCACATCTTTGTTTTTCCGTAGCTATATGAGACCACTACTGATGAAGAGGCGGATGATGTCGACGACAATAACGACGGAGTAACACAGAACAGCTCAGGTGTTGTTGACCTTGAAGATCTTGGAAAGGTCATGAAGAAAATGAAAACTGCAAAGGTAAGATATTTGCATACAAAATCTTATCTCTATTACCAGTTCACTTGTGATCTTTCTGAGTATTATTTTCATCTTATCATTCTATACAAAATGATTCAGCTGATTGCTGACAGTTTGATTTTAGCATTTTAATGTTAAAATCTCTCAAATTAACAATGAAAATTCCCATGTTTAATGCAGGGCAAATGCATTAAATAAATTCAGCATGGAAAACTAGGGTTGAGAAAGCAAGCAACATAATCTTATTGATAGTTTATTTTTGTATTTAAAATGTTTGAGAAGGAGATGTAGTATAGTACTTTTGTTTTATCCGTCTGAAATATAGGATTTTGGGGTTAGGCCAAGTGATTGATCTAATGGTTAACTCATATACCTGGGAAATAAATAATTTCAAGGATATGTCTGTTGTGTCCATTATTATGTATACAAATGATACAAGTATTGGTTAATCTAGTTAGCCAGCTTGAAAGTGGTTAGAGTAAACTTAAATTTGTCTTCCCAATGAACCTTTGAACCTTTTTTTCAACAAAAAACCTATGAAAGAAACTGCAATATTATTTTAAAGGTTCAGAGGAAAGCGGAGGAAGAGGCAGCTGGAAATGGAGGAGAGAAGAAGGAAATGGTTACACCACAGTTGAGGAAAGCTCTCACCAAACAGGGATACAAGATTGTAGGCTCGCATTCTGGTGTCAAACTTTGCAGGTGGACTAAGGTAAATTGCCCAAAAGTACTGTACATAAAATGTGCGTTTTGTGTAGAAATCATAAAACTTTTGAGTATATCATAAAGGGTTTGAAGAACATGTTTTCTAACTCATTCCGTAGTTTTACAAAGAAAAAAAGGAATAATTGTACCATTTTACCTCTTGTAAAACCCCTCCTGGTAGATTCATGTGAGGGAATGATAGGTTTGACTATTAAAGTTTTCATGCCGTATGTCTCGAACTCTGAAACAGGGCAACATATATAAATGCAAGACACTGTTTTACATTATCTGCCTCATGCAGTAACAAATTTTTCAATATTTAGAACGAGTTGACAAATTATAACCTCATTTGATTTAGAAATTAACATTACATTTTTTCAGTCAATGTTACGAGGAAGAGGTGGTTGTTACAAGCACACATTTTATGGTATAGAGAGTCATAGATGTATGGAGACTACCCCAAGTCTTGCCTGTGCCAACAAATGTGTCTTCTGTTGGAGGTACGTGAAAGCAAGCAATTTATATATTATAACAGCTTAAGTTTAAAAACACACTAAACATCAGAAATTTATGTGATTTTCCTCCAAAGAAAAGGCAAAACTGTGTTTTATGACGGTTTAATAATGGATGTAGAGCATTTTAGATAACTTTCGTACAAAGAAATGTTATGGAAATGTTGAATAATCTGTCTTCAATGAAGAAGAATGTGAAATGGTCAAGTGGTATATTGTCTTTCCAACAAAATGCTAAATGACAATAACTTTCCTGATGACCTAAAAGCAAAGTATAATTCATCTATATGGCAAATAAGTTCTGTTTCGGAAACTGTTGGAGAACAAGAATAAAATGGTTTTGAAAAATGAAGTAATAGCATATATTGGGCTTTTGAAACACCATTATGTTAATGTGGTTTATTGCTTGTCATAAAGTTTTCAAATGGCTTCGAGTTGGTAATGTAACCATTATAGTTTAAATAAACATAAGTAGTAGGAATGATTCCTGTAAGTTGTTGTTATATTTAACTAACTATTTTTATTTCAGACATCACACCAATCCTGTAGGTACAGAATGGAGATGGCAAATGGATGACCCAGAACTTGTCTTTAATGGTGCATTAGAAAATCATGTTAACATGATTAAGCAGTTTAAAGGTATGGTTTTCCATATTATTTTTTGTTTTCCTGTTTTGAGACAAATCTGGAATAACTTTATCTGAATGGCTGTTTTTTATTGTTTGATTATCTGGCTATTATGTACATTTTTGGTGATATCTCAGCAGTAGGTCAAACTAACCAGTTTTCCTAGATAACTAACCAATAATTACCAATTAATTTCCCTGCAAGTGACCAACTTCTAATCTAACATGATTTGTGAATCAGTGATTATATACTAATGACTGTTAGATACAATGTATAAGATTAAATGTTACAGAGAATTTTGGTCTATTTGAGGATTAACAAATTTAAACCCCTGTTAATCTAAGCAGGCTAACAGATAAAGTTGGAACTTGGAAACTATTTGTGATATTGTGTTTCAACATTTGCAACATAACACCCTTAATTTTTTATTATCATTAAATAATATAGACATAATTGATAATTTACCATTAATTTGCTGATGAATAATATAGCAGGGAGGTACATGTGTCTTGAATAAAGTATCATTAATTATGTTATAAAAATCAACATAGTGATATCATTTCATATGCCCCACTTAATTAGGGGTGAGGAGAGGTACATGTATGTAGATTTGACCTTGTACGTGGCTTTATCTGTCTGCCATGCTGTCAAGCTATTGGAGTGTGGGGGCATCAAGTGTTTTGTGGACACTTTTCTAGTTATTGTCAATATCTGCCTTGTAAGACTGAAATAAAAGATGAAATAACGAAATTTGAGAATGTAAATAGAAGCAAGGTTTAACAGGACAGATTTATTCAGTCTTGATATATCTTTAAACAAGATTATTTCATACAATTTCATTATATAATATTCCATTATTTACAATATTAAATAGGTGTACCAGGTGTTCAGGCAGACAAATTTGAGGAAGGAAAACAGCCAGCACATTGTGCCTTATCTCTGGTAGGAGAACCTATCATGTATCCAGAGATTAACAAATTTATAGACCTACTTCATGATAAACATATTTCAACATTCATGGTTACAAATGCTCAGTTTCCAGATGCAATAAAGTAAGTTTGTCAGATGACAGAAGATAATCAAATATATCTCTTTGTTTAGGTTATTTATCACATAAACCATGTCACAGGAGTGTATTTAACCCATTTATTAAAATCAATATTACACTTGTGTAATAACCCTTTGATGTGATGCCTTTTGCGTTATATACAAACATAGCGTTTATGGGATAATGTCAGAGGCTGGCATAATTTCATTTTATTCAAGGTGTTCAATAAATTTAATATTAAATCTACACTTATTCATTATCCTATATTTATAACATGCCATTCAGTGAACAATGAAATTATATTGTGATAATTTCACAGTGAAAATATAAAATATAATTTTACAGTAGTCGGACTATATCTGAATGCAGATATATAAAAAAAGATATCTTGAGTTAGTTGAAATATCATCCGAAAAAAACTCCATCATGAGTAAAATATACTTATTACGAAAGGCACATTAATATTTGCATGAAATTATTAATGATTGTTTGCCATATAACATTTGATACAGTGCTATATAACCTGACAAATTTCTTTATAATTAAAATTCTGTTTATTTTATAGAAACCTCTCGCCAGTCACACAGTTATATGTGAGTGTTGATGCCAGTACAAAAGACAGTCTGAAGAAAATAGACAGACCTTTGTTCAAGGACTTCTGGGAAAGATTTCTAGAAAGTTTGAAGGAATTGTCAGCTAAAGGACAGAGAACTGTGTACAGGCTCACCCTTGTAAAGGCTTGTAATACAGATGAGATAGAAAATTACGCAAAACTGGTATCGCTTGGAAACCCAGATTTTATAGAAATAAAGGTGAACATACATTTAGTCATTTGGGACCTGTCTTTTAGAATTTTGCATTGCATACAGTCAAATTTCAAGATTTTAAATAAAAAGTCAAACACTTGCTTTAGTTACTTTGCACTTATATTTTATGTAATAATTGTACATTGAATTTTGCCATTTTGATATCAGTCTTTATATAAACCTCATGTATGACAGTAGTACAGTTTTTCTGTTGTCTAAATTAGTAAGTTTGATTGACTTGGTAGTGATTTGTTTATTTTGTTTTGAATTTGGGAAGTATAGTACAGTTCATCCTGTATTTCAGTACAATCATCAATTAACACTGACACTTTACAAATTTTATAAAAGGTCATAACATTTAACACTTTTCAGTGTTTGTAACGTATGCAGTAAATTATAACAGTGGCTTGATTACCATGATTTTAAGTTATGTACTTTTCTAGGCATGTTTGTTGACCAAACACATTTGTCTGGTTGCATTTACTCAACCATATAATTTACTTATTCTTTATATAACTAATCTAATTCTGATTTATTCAGGGTGTAACATATTGCGGGGATTCTAAAGCATCTAGTCTGACCATGAGTAATGTCCCTTGGCACGAGGAGGTCGTCGGTTTTGTTAAACAGATAGCTGATGAGTTACCAGACTATGAGATAGCATCGGAGCACGAACACTCAAACTGTATACTCCTTGCTCATAAAAGGGTAAGTTAGAATTATAACGGAAAAAATACTCTCTCTAAGTTGCGAGTGAATTCTTCAGTTCTCCGAGAATTATGCGTTTTTCTCTTTATTGACATGCAATGTAACTTGTTTCTGGCAATTTCTAGTTATTAATGTGATGTGTTACTGACTAAAATAAAAGAATGGAATTTCATATTCGTTAATTTAGAGCGCCTGTTGTTCAGATGTTTTTTGTTAAAACGTCAAGTCTTACAGTAGCTTTGACCATTTACGATTTAATACAAATAAAGGGACAAAACTTTCTGAAAAACTTACTTTGTTAACTTAGATGTGTAAGCATGACAAATAATGAAATTAGAACTTAAAGAAAAACTAAGTGTTACTTATTATTCTGGTTTTAATATATATAACTTTGTTTTACAGTTCAAGATCGACGGAGACTGGTGGACATGGATTGATTATCCAAAATTTCATGAACTTGTGAGAAATTATAAAGAAAGTAGTGGGAAACAGACATTTTCAGCCAAAGATTATATGGCTAAAACACCACAATGGGCAGTGTTTGGAGCCAAAGAACAAGGTTTTGACCCAAAGGAGACAAGATATTTCAGAAAGTCGAAAAAAGACATTGGTGGTTGTTGAAAATTTGAGTATTGATATGAAAATAAAAATTCTTCCAACTGGACTTTGGAAGTGAGAACTGATTAATATGGAAAAGTAAATCCGTTAATAACATCTCAGAAAATTCTGTAAAATACATTACAACCCAGTTTTCATTAGGTTTGTGGTTCTACTCCGGTGCATGTCTTTACCTGTAATTATTTACATGTACTGGGGGGCACCAGAGTTCATCATTAGCCATCCTCAAAGCTGGAAAGTTGCTATAATGTGACCTATACAGTGCGGGTGTGACTTTTAACGCAACAATTACATCAATTAATCATTACGTTATCTGAGATACATGTATATAACAAATGTGTTTCCCCCTGTGTGAGATAAAATCTCAGTTATTTTCCTATTTCCTATTATACCACTCATCAAAAATATTTGTGGTATTCATTTCCTGTAATACATTCTGTTAGAAGGCGGATATAACATTGACACTTTATCTAAAAAGGTCAGTATTAGAGTAAATTCAGTGATGCTTTGTTGACATACATGATTCCTTTTTCCCCCCAAGTGTAAAGCAAATTACCTCGTGACCTCTATTTGGGTGTTTGTAGAATATAATTCTTTGAAACCTTATGATGGCTTATGTAATCTCTTACCATTACCAGTAAACTTATCATTTTGTTTAATAGAGGTTGCCTTCTGTTGTAGAAATAGGCAACAATGAAACAGTATTTCATAAAAGAAAATCCTGGAAACAGGTTATGCCAACTGTTTTATAATAGGCATGTTTAAGTAAAATAAGCCAGTGGCATTAATGGAGTAAAGTTAATGAAATTAAGAAATTGTGATACCAGAACCTAAGGTTCAGGGTGAGCTATTAGTATCAAAGGGGGATGATCCGTCGTCCGTCGTCATGCGTCAACAATCATCTTCTCTAAAACTACTGTACTAAGCAGATTTACTTTAAATGGTCTGTAGCATCCTTGTGACAGTCACACTTGAATTTGCTCATGTCATTTCAATTGGCCCCTTTTAGGGGTCAACAGAGCTAAAAATAGAAAAAAACCTTAAAACATCTTTCTACTACAGAACTAATTGATGGATGATCACCAAACATTGTCTGTAGCATTCTTAGGTAGTCTTTTATAAGTTTGCTCATATTAAAGAGATTGGCCCCTTTAAAGGGTCTCTAGGGCTAAAAATAGAAAACCTTTTAACATCTTCTACAGAACTAATGGATGAATGATCACCAAACTTTGTAGCATTCTTAGGTACTCTTTTATCAAGTTTGCTCATATTAATTTGATAAGCCCCTTTTAGTAAAGCCAAAAATTGAAAAACCTTTGAACATCATTTCCTACTGAAATAATTGATAGATGATCACTAAACTTTGTAGCATTCTTAGGTACTCTTTTGTCAAGTTTGCTCATATTAATTTGATTGGCCCCGTTTAAGCTAAAGCTTAAATGCCCCAGGTTATGGCATTTCTTCAAATTATTGTTTAAACATACCGCCTACCGCCACTCATGAAATATTTATTTTCATACCACTCGATGAAAATAAATCATGTATTTATAGAAAAAACTTGAATATCCTCTATTTATCACACACCCGTGCCGATTTTGCGACTCCGTAAATATGGTATTGCACGGCCGTGCATATATTTTGACGTGACTTCATTAGCGTTATACAAACAGAGTGTAAAAACGCGCTAAATGTTAGCGTTATACTATAGGCGTGTCAATGAAAAATGACTTATTTCACTTTAAATGGTCTTTATTTTGGGTATGTGATAAATAGAATATTGAATTCGTGTAAGTTCATTACTGAATTTATTACACTCGTTGAATAACATAATTTTATGCTCGCCAAAGGCTCGCATAATATAATTTTATTCAACCCGTGCAATAAATTCAGTATTGAACTTACACTCATTTAATATCCTCTATTTATGAACACACGGTGCCTTGCCCTTATATCAACTTTTATATAAATAAACTTCAACAAAAACTTTCAGAAGGGATTGCATTGTTTTATTTACAACCCGTTAATCATTTTAGTCTGGTTTTAAGTCAAAACAGGACACTTGCAATTTGTCTTGGGGGTCTGGTAGAAGATCTCGGACGCTCCTCACCAGAGAAGAACCACAGGCTTTCTGTAATGTAAATGGATAACTTCCTCAAAAGTGCCTGATAGGATTCCACTTAAGAAGTTGAGTATACATGTCCGCTTATGTTACCATTTTTGTTATCTACATTATATTGCATGATCATATTTTATGTATTTAGGTTTCAACTTGTGACACGCAGTGTTATTGAGTTTGTGATTAATGACGTGTTTGATTAAGATTGTCTATAAAATAATAAAAGGGGAAGTAAAGAATATAATTATGTTATTCGTCTGAAATATTTCACTGCTGTATTGTCATCTCTGAAGACCTGTTCAGAATAAAAAGAAATAGATTTTTCTTTCTTTCTCTTTCTTTCGTTCCTTTTTTCGTTCTTAGTTTTCTTTCTTTCTTTCTTTCTTTCTTTCTTTCTTTCTTTCTTTCTTTATTATTAAACTTATTTGACATCGTCATTTTATATATTTAACCGTTACTTAATATAACTTATATGGTTATCGGAAAAGATCGTCCAATATTTCATCTTAACAAGTTTCATAGTAATGTGCAAGAAAGAATCGTATAGGTCCTCTAATTTAAAAATGAACGAATTACGATGTAAACATGCTTGAGGAAACAAAACATGGGTGTCGCTAAATCACGACTTATCTAAAAGATGATAAATTTTTCAAGTTTTATCCTCATTTAGAGCGCTGTTATCTCTTACAGTGAGCATAGCTAAAATTGATATCAATAAGTATTTTATTTGCTTACCCGGGTAGATAGATAACACCAGGAAGTGTTCTCTCTAATTTTTCAAGACTAGTTTTTGTGAGGTATGGAGTAACGTTTTAATTATATTCTTCATTGGTAAGTCTATTTCTATTCACGGCGTATAAATGATTGCCTTTTGTGTGCGACCTTTATATTAATTTATATGGTAGCGATCTTACGATATTAAAAAATATTTTTCTCAAAAACCGCGAGATCTATTTCAAGCAAACTTGGCAGGATCTTTTTTGGACAATAAATCTGTTTCCATACAGACATTTGGTTGCTTTGGCAAAATGATTGAAAAACTTTTTAAACCCACAACCTAGCTCGAAGATATATTCCATGAAACTTTCATAGACCTGCAACAAAATTGTCAAATTATGCCACCTGGATCAAAGCGACCCAGGCACAAACAACGGCCATATAACATTGCAAGAACCTGTATAAGAATTTATGAAGCATGATTAACAGCAGCTTTCTAAATCGTTTACATGAACTCCACGATTATCAAATGAACAGCGACGTGACAATTGTGCAGTGTTATTAATTAAAGATTGTACTGATTATATTAACGACGAAAAGCAACGAAACAAGTGTTAAGTGTAGATAAAAAAAAGACATATCTCAAGCCTTTACTCATTTAAGCAGGTTCGATCATCATAAACAAAGTTTTGGCAATATTGGCGGATTTGTAACTTGCTCCCTGCTAAGAAAAAAACTGAACAGGATCAAGATCAAATGATTTGTTTTAGGAAACTTACATTGATTTTATTTGGCTAAAATAATATGGTTCACCCATTGAATTTAGAAATATGCTGATTTATGATTAAAGAAACTCAGTTCCATGCCTTTTTATGACATACATAAATTAATCCGTCTGTCAGCCCGCGTGTTCGTTTGTCCGCCCTCCGCGTATCCTTTCGCCCGTCTGTCCGTACGAGGTTAACTTATACTGAAGTTGTACCTGTAGAAATGTCTTCATAATTTACACACTTACTAAGTACATGATCTTGGAATGTTACAAAACTATGGCTTTTATTTGCCAATCTATTTCCCTTTTGTGCACTTCGGAAATGGATATGGTTAACATAACCTAGCAAGTTGGATCTTTGCCAATCTAAGTTTGACAAATAAGGGACCGACTATTTAAGAATCAGACATGTCAGAAGGAAACTTTATTTATATTTTTATATTTGTACATCTTTCATCATCGTTATCAGTAACATGTTTTCATATCAACTTTTTTATTTCTTAAAGTATCGAAAGCTTTTTATAATTATAGACAGTATCATTATTTGAAAATCTGCTATATACTGTCCATTAAGCATTTTTGTTCTGATGATTATAATGCAGGCGTCACACTGTCCCGAATTTGACTAAAGATGGGCATACGAATATGGATTTTTTTATTTCGCGCGAAGATTGCCCCGAAACTGGTCGAGCAAGTACGATTACTACAGAAGGTCACGCGATCGCATCCGATCCACACACGATTCCTACCGAAGGTCACGCGATCGCATCCGATCCACACACGAAGTCACCTCAAAGATGCAAATTTTTACCAAGACGTTTACTCGCAGGACACGCAAAGGTCACTGGATAGGTACACGACCTCGTATTTTGGGTACGATGCGTTCATACGCGGTTACGAAGGCGTCAAGTGACCTCCGGGTAGTATGAAGCGGCAAATTTCAGGTGCAGATAGTAGTTAGAGCTAAACAACTTTTAAACTTTATTTTGGATCTTCATATTACTATCAAAAACAATTCTATTTACACGAACATCAATAATAAAAGAGACGACTTTGATTTTGGTTTGGTAAATTATTCACATTTAGATGGAGACGTACCGCATGCATCATCTTACGGGGTATATGAATCTCATATATTACATTCGCAAGAGCGTGTAGCAACGTGAAGGATTCGTCTTCTGTCTTGCTTCGTCGGGTCCATGTAGGTGGTTTTCTTGTTACTCTGTCTTCCTATCAGATATTTTTACTCTGACTTCCTATAAGATATTCAGTACTTTTGTTATGGTCATTGTGTTTTCTTTTATGTTTCTACATGTTCATTTAGGCTTTTTACGTATTTCATCTTCTGTAACCATAACAACTGTTAGAATTTAACTTGGCGGGGTTCCATTTTAATTACACCGTCTCGTTAATAGGGAATGCTGGGGCTAAGAGTGAGGTTTGGTGCACCATTAACTGGTTATTTCTCCTTAGCAGTACTTATGATGCTGACCGTTCAAAGGCGGTGCCCCTCTGTGTTCCTCAGATCTATGTCTTTGTTCTTATACTGTTTCGGTGACACTTTTGTCTGTGTCCCTTGCTTTTTTATCGTCTGCGGTAAGTATCTTTCCTTTTGCCCCTAGTTTCCCTGTGCCCGTTTGCTTTATGGGCCTATTAATCAATCATTTATGTGTTTTCTTTGATTTCCTTGTCGGTAACTATTATTTCTTCTTATGTATCATTTTAATGATTAGCCTGTCCGTGCTCTGCCTTGCGCCCTGTCCTGTTTTTGTTTGGGGTTCTCCTGAGCTCCTTGCCACTGGTTCTTGTTGCTGGGGGGGGGGTTGCGTTCATTGAACGCCGCCTTTCCTTGTTGATCTTGTTGAACTTCATCATGCCTCCCAAAGTAGGTCTGTAGGAGTTTGTCATCATGTATCAAAAGTAGCAATGCTGCTGCATTCTTTTTTTGTCATTGACTCTTCATCAAATCACGTAATTATGCGGAAATAAACTAATAATAATTTTTAATTAAGTTGCAAATAATGGAAGCTTTTGATGTCTCTGTAGAAATGTGCAAACAGACAGATGAGGAAGATGGTCTGAGACTAGTCCTTTTATATGTCCACCATGATAAACATGCAACGCTTGAGCTACTCAAAATTGCTTTCTCTGTCCTCATCGTGGTCTCATCCCGATGACATCGTACCAAAATACGATGGCGACACGACGGTATTGCAGGGGCTTTACGTAGTCGTGTTCCCTTCTTAAGACAATCGGGAATATTCGTGTTTTCTTCGTATTGTCTTCTTCAGACGAAAAATACCAGATTGCACCGATGATTTCACGTAGTAAAGACGAAGACTATACGATTTGACAAGATGGCTTCACGACGGCCTTACGAAGCACAATATAGGCATACAAATTCAACACGAAAATGAACCATCGCAATGTCTTCCTGCAATTTTTTGGCATGCCAAAGATTTTGCGACCGCTCACGAAGTTGCTGCCGGAGCCTGAAAAAATTAGCCGGGGGTTATACGATGACAAAAGATGCTTTCACGGATGGCCCGATGTTATTACGATCAGATCCGAATTTGAAAATTTCCTTATTCGTGTGTCCATCTGATGCCAAATTCGGGACAGAGTGACGCCTGCATAAGAATATCAATAAAGTTTGTTTGTTTCTACAATTTCAATACTTATGTAATGGTTATATTATATTGACTGAAACTATTAATTCTACAAAGTACAAAAATGAAAAGATTTTTATAAACTAAGCAAATGATATTTCTGATATGCCTTTTAAAAACATCATCAAATATCTACATCTACAAATTCGGTAATTAAATGTAACAGTAACAAAATCTGAAGTATTTCTTCTTTTTCCGTTTATTTTTCTTTTCTTTCTTTTTTTTTTAAATATTTCTTTTTTTATTTTCACATTCTATATTATTTAGAGGTCACTGCAAACAAGCTTAAACACTGTCCAGGGAATGAAGGGTCTTTATGCATATTGAGGTTCATTTGAGGTGCACGTTGAAGTGCATTAGAGGTAATTAAGTGCTCTTTGTGTAGCCTATAGTTTGAAGGTGCATATTTGGTAGGAATATAACTTTGGTTGTTTTAACTTCCTTTTGGCCGAGAAAGGGATCAGAGGGGTCAAGGTCACCAATGCTAAAATAAATTTTTACACTTTTGCTCATACAGCCTTTATCTATTGACAGATGACTCTGATATTTGGTAGGAACATAATTTGCTAACTTTGATTACCTTTTTGCAGATATTTGGTGATGTTTCCAAAAAGGCATATTATCTTATTTAAGATATTGTTATAATGCCGATGCCTGATATGTTTTTATTGTAGTTTACTTGTTTCTGTTTCTTTTCAGAATTCGAAAAATGAAAGGCTCTTGTAAAATTTCGTTTTTACTTTCATTTATCGTTTTAACAGCAGTTGGCACTTTATCTACAGACTGGCATTTCAGCGGTAAATATTTTCGTGTTGGAATTATTACACGTTTCACCGTTAGACATAAAATATGTAACATTACAGAGGCAAAAATATTTTACTTCAATCTTTAAAAAAAAGGCAAACATAATTTTATAATGTTTAAATCTTTAAAAAGGACAGACATGCAATTTATATCGTGTAAATCTTTTAAAGGGGCAAACATGCATTTTACAACGTTTCAATAATGGATTTATACCATGTAACACGTTTGTTACCTGAAGAAAGTATCAATGAATGTGAAAGTATAAAGTGATAGCCAAATGTTTTGACTCCCTTGCAAACTATACTTATTGCAAAAAATCAGCATATGAAAAAGATAGTTAAGGTAATTAGACAATTATTATTTTTTTGGAAATTATAAAAGAACCCAAATATAAGAATCTTTTGAGAAATTAAAATTAGACCATTTCTGGGGCATAATATAATGGGCCTTTCAATGAAATTATTATATCTGTATAGTTCGCATAACCTGAGTATATTTCAAAATGAACATTTTGAAAAAAAAAAGAAATATTTTTATTTTAATGTGATATAGAAAAGGATATCTTTCAACTTGATTTAACTCCAAATTCGTAGTATTTATTAAGATTTTGTCCAGACAATGTTATTTTACAATCAACATGTTTTATATTAGAATACATGTATTACGCAATTGATCAGAAAGGTAATAGTATCTTTATTTAAAAAACTGAAATGTCAGTAAACTGCATATAAGTAATATATACGTTTGTTATTTAAATATGAGTGACTTGGAAAAAGCAATACTCATATATGGATGAAACTTGTCGTCTGCTCAATTTTCACTACAAAATATATGTACAGGTCAACGTCTTCATTTTCCTAAAACATATATTTACAGGGCAAAACATAGCTTTCAATAAATCAGCTGTTCAAAGCCCTGGCACATTTGAAAATAAATCAGCAAGTTTAGCAGTTGACGGTATTGAAAAGGGTGAGTTTACAGATGGCAGTTGTAGTCACACCACGGGCGTTAGTTATTCTGATAATAACAATGGAATTGCTCAATGGAAAGTTTATCTTGGCAGCTCGTTTAATGTCACTGGTATTATCATTGTTAACAGAAACGGTAAGTCTAGTTTTGATTGAGTTCTAGAAATTTAATATGTTTTTTTTTCTTCTTTTTTCTTCTTAAATACCGTTAAAAAATTGTTGTTTGTTTTATTATTGTTATTTGATACTGTGGCTTCATAATCTCTGATATCTTTTTGATTTAGCTTCGCGTTTTCTCGTTTAAGAAACACATATTCTTTACTTTTGGACCATACGCCGGTTATAAATGATATAATACGAAAGTGATACATATAAGTTTTTTACGATACCACCGTATAAAAACATCGAATTGTTAATTAAATTCATGTTCTTGTTTAAATGGTGAGTACTTCTTTGGCAAGTGTTAAGGGATGTGGACGGTCGTGTAACGTCTTTTAAAATACTATTTTATGACCATGTTTCACCATCTGATAATTTTAATCTTTGGGACTTAAGCTGTTAATAGATCATTAGGAAATATACTCAGAGGAAATATACTCAGGATCAGATTCGTGCGATTTCAATTACAACCTTTTAAACCTCATCATAGGCTCTTTAAGGTTACTTAAAGGACTCTGTGAAAAATATTCAGGTTACGTAAAAAATATTTATGTTTTTACTCTAAGATACCTTATCAATATGAAATAAGTATTATAAAAACGAAATTTTCAAATTTAGTGCGACAGACTATAACATCCGTTCTTCCATCCGTTCTCATTTTGTGTCGCAGGTATCTCAAAAAGTATTTGACCTAGAGTCGTGAAACCTTACAGTAATGTTGCTCAGCATGTGAAGTTGCGTACCTAGGTATTTTGAAGGGACTATTTGCTTTCTTTTGGTATTATATTTAACATTCCTTTTTTGTAAACCTGTTTTTCATTGGTCTTTTAAAAATTCTTCGTTTTTGTCGGTCCGTCTCGTTTCTATAACGACGCGTTTAGATTTTCGCGCTACTTCTTGATATTTTTTATTCGTGTCACAGTTTTTATTCATTTTATAATATTTCATTTTTCACTAATTGCACCCTCTTTTCATTGTTTCTTTTATTTTATTATACATCAAACTCTCATGTTACTTACACATATTTGTGTTCCATCATTATCCTCATTTTCATTATTACTGATAATGTTTTTTTCCTCTTTTTGTCTTTCATTTTTTCATTATCTCATTTGTTCATTATTGCTGTATCATTATTGCTTTAATGCTTATAATATATCCAGTGTTTTATGTGTGAAAATTGAGTTGAGTTGTAGTGAATTGAACATTTTGAGTTTGAAGAAAGTGCTCCTTGTGATTTGTACATTTGGTTATGCTATTGGCAGAAGTGATTATTTGTTAACATGAACTTAAATAGTTGTTTTTAAGAAGTTTATTGACATATATAATATTCTTTTGTATATTATAATGTTGTGCTAAATGCGGGTTTATTGTAGTATGAATTGAATTACCTTTGATTAAGCTTCGATTTACCATTTGATAATGTGACACATTTCCATACATTATAATTTATTACTACGTTTGAGTTTTTGTTTTGTTGAGCAAGGAATTGATTTGGATATATTTAGTACTTTTAGAGTTATTGCCCTTGACTTAGTTTCAACTTGTGTCGCACGTAGCTCAAAAAGTTTTTGACCCAGGGTCATGAAACTTTACAGGAATGTTGATCAGCATGTGAAGTTGTGTACCTGTGTAATTTTGTGTGGATTTATTTTGTATTTGTAGAGTTATTGTCCTTGACATAAAAATTTGCAATTTTCAACTTGTGTCACACGTAGCTAGAAGAGTATTTGACATAAAGTCATTAAACTTTACAGGAATGTTGATCAGCATGCTTCGTCAGAGTTATTGCCATTGACGTAGTGAAAATTTGCAATTTTTTATTTATGTCGTGCGTAGCTCAAAATGTATTTAAACTAGAGTTATGAAACTTTACAGAAATGTTGGTCAGCATGTGTAGTTGTGCACCTTGGGGTTCGCTTTTGGATTTATTCAGTATATGTAGAGTTTTTGCTTTGACTTTGTAAAAACCGTTTCATTATGTTGTGTCATCTGTTCCTCGAGTACTTGAGTTAGAATCAACCAACTTTACAGGAATAGTGATCAACATCACTGTGAAGCTATGCACCTGGGATTTTGCATGTGGATTTTTTCAGTTTTTTTAGAGTTATTGCCTTTGACTTAGTATAAATTTGCAATTTTCTTTTGATCATGCATAGCTCGAAAAGTATTTGACCTGTAGGCCTGGTTGGTTAGCATATGCACTTATGCATATTGGGATTCGCTTGTGGAATTATTCAGTATTTGTAAAGTTCTTGCCCTTTACTTAGTAAGAGATTTTTAGTTTTCATCTTGTGACACATGTGGCCCAAAAATATTTGACCTAGAGTCATAAGATTGACAAAACAGTGGATTGTGGGGGCACCTGTGTCCTATGGACACATTTCTTGTTCATTCAATATTCTATAAATGTCCTAAAATGAATACACTAGGCAGAGACAGGAACAAATCTTTTCTCATTATAAAATATTAAATGATGGTTTTCTAACCCGACCCACGTGGGTCAGCGTTAAGATCTTACAATAGTTGTCACAGTGAACTTTGGAAACGTTGAAGAACATGTCAAATGAATGACTTAGACTTGTTTCAACCATGCAATATCCACAAAGTTCGTTAATTTAACTTCCAGGTTTTTTCAAGTCACATAACTTGTTTTAAACTACTCGGTGATTGTGTCGGCTTCTAAATTGTCAACATATATGGATAAATTTACGCTTCAAACCAAAAACATAAGACTTTAATACAGAAAATCGTGCTAGGATTTTATAAAAAAATGTCATTTTAGCGTGTTTCGACTTGATAAGATCATTTTAATATTTTTGTCATGTTTGTGAGTATCCCTTTAACTACATTGGATATTCAGATTATACATGTAGGTTATCTGGATTGGATGCCTTTATGGATGCCACTATTCGTTGTTGATCTTGTTTTTCATATTTTGTACACATGATGCTTGCTAAACTAAAGAGCTATTTTTGCAAGCTTAATTTGAGCTTGAGCTTTGAGCTTAAATTATTAAACATAATATTAATGTCTCTCAAAGTAGAACTTCTTCACTATGTCACAGTATTTATATATGTGTGCCTTCAACTTGATTTATACAAACGCATATATGGGCAGTTGTATCAATAGAATAAAAATAATAGAATGAACATACGGATAAAATGATTATTATTACATAGATACAAAAACTACTTATTTACGTTCATCTTTAATTTAATGCAAATCATTACGCTCTCAGAAGGGTCTAACTCACAAGAGCCAGTGGTACTTTGACCAAAATGTTTATGAGTTAAATCAGTGTACATTGTATCTCCATGTTCCTCTGGTCTTCCTCTATATTTTACATAATGTAATGTTTAACCTTTTAAAGGAAACGTAACGATGAACGTAATGGATATAATGTTGTTAAAATAATGATTGTCTAAATACGCATTACAAGTAATTCTGCCTGGTGGATTTTAAGAGGATGAAATCTTTGACATCCAAAAGAAAAATAAAGTTAGTTTGTGAAATTATTATTCCCCGTCATATAATGGCTGGGGCACATTGTGTTACCCTGTTCCGCCATTCCGTCATCATCATTATCCGTTCATTATCTAAGAAACGGTTCCACACATTCAACTGAAATTTGACATATGGATATGTCATGAAAAAATACAGGTCAAGTTCGAATTTGGTCATGGTTTTTGGCAGAGTTATGCCCCTTTCACTTTAAAATAATATGAAATTTTCAGTTCCCGTTCATTGTCCCCCAACATTTGTACATATTGAACTCAAATTTAAGATATGAATATGTCATAAGAATGCACTGGTCAATTTCGAATTTGGTCATTGTTTGATGATAGCTGACAGAGTTATCCCTCTTGAACTTTGAAAAAAAAACTCAGAAATTTTTAGTTTCCGTTCATTATCTCCCCAATGGTTGTACACATTCAACTAAAATTTGACATATAGATACATCTTAGGAATAAGCAGTTGAAGTTTGAATTTGGACAAAGTAATCTCTTTTGAATGTTGCAAAAATTTTTAATTCTCAGTTTCAGCACTCATACTTTTGTGGAAATGTTTGTAGTCATTATTTTGGCTACACATATGCAATATGCAATTTACAAAAGATTAACACTGAATAGTTTCAGTGCCTTGAACTTTGTATAAAAGTGGTTTGTGTTTAGATTGAATAGTTTTAAGGGCTTAAAATGAAAAAATATAGTTTGTGCAAACAATTTTGGAACTAAATATTATAACATCTGAACTTTTGGCTGCATGCGGGGGCATCCGTGGCGTGACGAAACATTTCTAGTGATTGAAAATATGTATGACAATCATAATCAAATTGTATGTACAATGAATATTTTTGGACAAAACGTATATTAGGGCCTAAATTGTTATGTCATGTAATGAACACTACACTATTCATTAGATTTTTTATTATATTTTTAAAACCAGTGTAAAATAAATTTTTGGGAGAAGCATAGTTTACAGAATTTTAGCGTCAGTAAAGTATAGTAGAAAGTTTGTTTCTGAAACTCCTTTAGTTTTTTTTAATTTAGACGTGTATACGTGTCAGAAATGTCCTATTTATCATTTTCTAATTTTCAATGACAATGAGATTCCTAATAGCGTCATGATTTTTAGCTCACCTGAGCTAGCTAAGGGAGAGCTTTTAGGATCGTTGAGTGTCCGTCGCCTTCTACATTTGTTCGTTAACACTCTAGTGGTCAGATTTTTGACTAAATTGTCATCAAACTGTTTCAGGATGTTTATCTATGTAATTGCTCGGATGAGTTTGAACATGGGTCATCTTGGATAAAAAACTAGGTCACAGGAGCTAAAAATAGAAAAAGTCTTGTTAACACTCTAGTGGCTACTGTTTTGATCCAAATATTCTGCAAAAATTGGTCTGAAATGCTGTTTTGATGATTTTTAGGTCAAGTTAGAATATGGGTCGCCTTTGGTCAAATACTAGGCCACACCGCCCAAATATATTAAAACATTGTTAACACTCTAGTGGTCACATTTTTGACTCAATTGTCATCAAACTTGGTCAGGGTGATTGTCAAGTTATTGTTCGGATGAGTTCGAAAATGGGCTATCATGGCTGAGAAATTAATGATTTGCAGAAATTAAGATTTTTATTATTAAAATATTATACTTGTCCATCAGCAATGCTAACATTTTGAATGAATATTTTTAATATGCTGGCTACGATGCATCTTTCTTTATCATTTGTAATTCATTTAATAACATTACTTTAGACCGGGGGTCGATTTGCCATTGTATGTCCGTCTTAGCATGCATACAAATGTGCGCGCGTTCTCATGTAGTATCACATGTAGCTCTAAAAGTGCTTGAGCTAGAGTCAACAAATTTAATATGTTGACCAGCTTCTGTGTACCTAGATATTTCGCGTGTTGAATAATTCAGTTAAAAATTTGCAGTTTTTCAATTTTTGTCGAGCAAAACCCCAAAAGAATTTGACGTAAGGCCATAAAGCTTTATAGAAATGTTGGTCAGAATGTGTATTTGTGCACCTTATGGTTTGATTGTGGACTTATTTTTTTATAATTGTAATCAACTAGAAGTTGCACATGCATATCCACTCCTTTTCCAAATTCTTTCACACCATAATGGAAACTTTTCTAAGAAATTAAAATCTAAGTCCAAATTAGTTACGCCATTTTGTCTGGTTTGAAAACTTGGCATGTCAACTTGTGTTTAAATATCTTTGTTTAATTCAATGAATGGATGTTAAGTGTGGGTGTTCAAAATATTGCCATCATGTTAAAATTTCAATTTATGTACTTTGAATTAATCTAAGGTTTTAATCTACAACTAAGTGGTAAATGGCAAATAAGCCTTTGTCTACGAGGTCATGAAAGAAAACAATATAGCATTATATGTCAAATAGTGTACAATAGTGATATAAGAAATGAAAATTTCAACGAATAAACTTTTTCAGAATATTGGATAAATTTGGTCTTTCTAAATATTTTATTGATTAAAATGTATTCAATTCATTACATTTAAATTCTTTATTAAAAGCAAACTGTGTGCTCTGTTATTGTAACAGTAGCATAATACAGTTGGTACATTTCTAAATACTTAGTCTACCGTATGCTTTAAATATTGATTTTGAAGAATGTTTACATTAGCTATTCACTATGCTTAAATATATCAAAATTATCAAGCTATCTTTTAACTATCATGATCTTGTTATTGACAAAAATAAAATTTTGTCCTCGCTGTAATAAAATTGGTATGAATTTCATAATTTGCTTCATTTTGAGACTTTTAGACACAAGAGCTATAACGTAAAGATTTTTTATAACAACTCTTCTACATACATTCATACATGTATCTAAATTCTTATGAAAACATTGAACTGTTAAAATGAGGCTAATATAAATTAAGGTAGCTTTTCTTTGTCAATAGTTATCTGGTTGTCAAATAAGATTTAATCTTTCTCTCATTTATATCAGTTTCAAAAAGCATATTAATTATTGAATATAATAAGTATGAAAACTGATTTAACATTTTGTGCACTTGGATTTGTAATTGATTTTTTACATATATTTGATAAGTCTTTTTAATCGTTTATATTCGTAGGTATATTAAAATATCTCTTCGAATATTAGAAAAAAGAAATTTAATTTAATTCACATGTGTAGAGTCAAATTCACTGACTGAATTATGTTTTCCCTATCTAAAACCGGATACAGTTTAACAAACGTCAGTGTTATTGAACATGTTTCAGATAAAGATATTCTATATTGTTATAATACTTGCATATTTTTTCTAATTTTTCTCATTTCCAGAGTTAATGTATCGCCTTAAAGGGTTTCAAGTCTATGGACATGGATTAAGTAATTGGGCATGCCCGGAGTTTTGGTGTCACATCTATAATGATACTGGACAAGGAAAATATAATGATTCCATAATCGAAATAAAAGTACAACCTGTAAAACCGTTTACAGAAGTGGCAATTAACTTACCAAGTCGCAAATCCTCAGAAGATAATGATAAAGTTTATTTGACACTTTGCGAAGTAAAGATATATGCAGGTATTAAATTATTTTTTTAAATGTTTTGCGTTTATAATAATGAGTGTTAATAAAGTCGATATGGCATTCCTGTGAAATATGTTATATTCTATTTCTTTTTAGGTCTTTAACTTATCGTCAGGTTTCTATTCCAGTATTTGTATCATATTCCATTATTTGTAAGCTCGCGCGTACACAAAAGTGTCATGTCTTTCACGGCGTTCCTTGGCTAACCAAAACAGCGATAAAGACCGAAACGCATGTTAAGGTTCTAAATAATGTTAATTAACCAGGAAATCAGACCAAAGAACATCAAACATTCTTCCTGTAAATGGATATTTGTACCACATGCGTAAACCATATAATTTAAAGAGAATAACAATATGGCATGTACATGTGAATTTAACCTTTGTTATGCAGGTTATTTAATAATAAATCGCAATTTATCGTAAGGAATAGATCTAGAATAAAATTAGGAACAATCACACATTATTATATATTATAGTTAATATATTAAGAATGAGAAGAATTAAACATTTTTGGAATAAACGCACTTGTTTTTAAACGATTAATTGTATGATTATTAATAGATTCTTTGCCAATGTATTATTATTAATAGATTCTTTGTCAATTGTTTTTTCTAGGTATAACGTGAAATTTTTAGAGAAAGCTTTATTAAAATCTTTATATAAATGTTGTAGGATAACTTATATTTCGATTTATTTTTTAACGCACATCACTGCTGGAACGTGGCTTTTTTATTTATACATTTCAGCTCCTCCACCTGTTTGTGAATCTAGTGAAGTGTCACATGGCGGATTGAAGCCAAACAAGCCATTTTTCGAAGTCAGCACAGTTGCTACAGTTTATTGTGAATACGGCTACAAAGCAAAGTATCCAACCATAACTTGTCAGAAAAGTTCTTATGGGGTTAGTTGGAATGTAACACCCGAGTGTATCGAAATTAAATGTATTATACCAGCAAATCCAGCTAATGTACTATATAACATAAGCACGAACACATATGTACAAAATCAATTTGTACCTGTTGGAACAAGTATTTCAGGAACATGCGTGACGGGATATGAGATCATTAACGGTAAAACTAGAGTATGCCTAAACAACACAAAATGGAGCGGTAAACCATTCTTATGCAAGCTGAAACAGTGCTCTGATCCAGAACATATAGCAAATGGTGAATACAGATTTGTAAATGACAGTGTTTATAGTAAAGGCCCTTTAAATTACAATTCAAAAATATACTTGACTTGTAACATAGGCTATACTCTTCAAGGCGGCAGGGAACGACTATGTAATGACCATAAAATGTGGACAGGACATCCAAAATGTAAAATCAATACATGTAAGTCTCTGGAAATTCCTACAAACGCAATGTATATAGAGAAAAAAATTAATGGTTCATTTGCAAAATATACGGATGGAGAATTCAATTATCTTGATATGATACGTGTTCATTGTAATTCTGGATACGTTAATAATGCTTCCATTTCTGTAATACAATGTTTAGGAAATAAATCGTGGAGTGGTGAAACAGGATATTGTATTCAAGTTACTTGTCAAAGTCCTGAACAACTTAAAGACGGTTTTTATAACTACTCAAAAGATGCATTATCTAGGGGATATCCATACAAAACTATTGTTACAGCAGCTTGCAATGACCGTTTCAAATTATCAAATCCTAACAAGAAAAGTAGAACGTGCACGATAGATGGGAAGTGGGATAGCGAACCAGTTACATGCAGTAAGTACCGGTATTTAAATGTTGTTTTTTAACTCATTTGTATGTACATGTATATATATATGTTTTAAATTGATAGCGAAGAGATTTTTTTGAAAATAAAACATATTTTGATACATGTATAACGTCTTTACAATTGTTTATAGATACAATTGATTATGCAATATACAAATACATATATGACACAACTGTTCAGTTTTGCAAATCCTGTACTATAATGTAATTTATATACAAAAGTTTTTTTTTTGTTCAAGTATGAATCTATATCTAATTAAATAGTGCGAACTAGAGATACTTCTACAGATACTGCTTCCCAAAATACGAATGTACCATTAATAGGCGGTGTATCTGCCGCCATCGTGCTGGTTGTATGTGCAATTGTAGCGGTTGTTTTCATTTTATATCGAAGGTAAATATCCATTAATATTAATATATAATTATAGTTTAGTAAGCTTACTTGAAAATTCACTAGGTCTACTGACTTTAATCAGTTTAATCAGCTGCAGATTGTTCTCAAATTACACCTTATAAAATGCTTCATGGAAATGGTAGATGTGATCATAACTGGAAACTTTAGCATTATTTCACAAAGGCAAAGAAATTTACCCAAGGAGCTTCCTTAATTATTAAATGATTAAAGAGAATCATGATTAAAACAAATTGACCACAAAAATTTTTGGGGTGCCCACGTTTGTGACTGCAGTAAAATCATCAAAGTCTTCCATTCCTTTCTAACATTTTATTTCTCTACACTAAAATAATGCATATAATTCTCTATTACCTGATGTAACATTTTCATGAATTTGATATTAAAATAAAGAAGGAAGAGAGACGATAAAATTGGAAAGCCAAAGCCGTATGCACACTTGCGGAAAAGAGACAATAACGAAAGACATATTTCAACATCAGAAGATGTTTATACGGAGATTCAAGACACGAATGTTAATACAATAAATGGTAATATGTTGCTCTAATAGTGCTTTATAATTGACCAATTTATGTTTATTTGATAAGAATAAAAAGTTATGGGAAATATGCATCCAAAATGATACTTTTAGATTTAAGTGGTACTCTGACAGCGTATTATTCGATACATGTACTAATCATCGTCCCTTATAACTATTATCTTGTTCATAGCTTTCACTTGCTATTTAGAATGAAGCCAAATAGATATATACGTATATACGTATTATATCGTATAGTCGTACCTTTTTCATTTCATTTACTCATAGTTATACAGCTAAAAGGAATTTCATATTTATAAAAAATAATTATTACGAAATAACAAACGATGTCAGATTATACGTACCCATGAAAAATAGCAAAGACTTGCTTATTTGTTTTAGAAAGTACATATTCGAAAGATGTTGCACCAAGTGATGGAATGTACAGCTATGTAAAGAAACAGACGACAAACAAAAATGTTATGAAGCATTCAAACCCAAGTTCGGATTCATTGCAATTAGAACCTTACTACAGTTTCACAAATGTCAACAATGTCCCTAAAACTGCAATACTTGTAAAAGATCTTTCTGACCTGATTCTGACGGGTTTAGATGCTAAACGGAAGTTTGAGAAAGAGTTCAATGTAATACTTTAAATCCGCCTATGACGAATTTAAAGAGTAAAAAAACACTTATTTAAGTATTTTGATAGATTTCATTACATTTTGAAATTAATTGAATCATGTAAAAGACACATTCCTTAATTTACTGAAACAAAACATGATTTCCTATAAATATGTTTAAGAACTTGATACTACATTGGTAAGATTCCAAACTTTATATCTGTACATACAGATTTTACTGAACATTTTAGTTTTTTGTGTGGATAATCAGAATATTTTTTATACTAAGACATACTTTTTCAATATTTTACTTTACTGGATTATGTTCAAATTTATTTAATGCAAATATTACCTCGTAGTAATACGGAATATGTCATAAATAAACATTTTTATAAATATATAATTAGTTAAATATTTCATTTTTTAACGACTTAAAATGATGCTTTTGCCCTTTTCATCCATTCAGGAACTCCCTCAAGGAATGATTCAACCTCACAAAGAAGCATTGAAAAAGAAGAACATAATTAAAAATCGATATAGGAACCTCTATGCGTGTACGTATCATATATACATGTATCTATGTTTAAGCGTTTTAATAGTTAGGCATAGAAAGTTTAACTAACTTAGTACTTTACTTACTTAGTGATGCTATTTTCTTTACTGAACTCGCATTACAAACTGACAAACTATTGTAAGAAATGTTAATTATCATGAAGACGACATCACAATATCTTAATTTTTCTTCTTTGTGCGATATAGATGATGACACACGAGTTGTATTAAAAACTGACGAAGCCTCACAATCGGATTATATAAATGCCTGCTATGTGCATGTAAGTAAAAGAGATTATGACAAAAAGTATTCTGTACCAACTATGAACGTCGTTAGTTGTTTTGTCTTTGAACTTTGAATTTTGTTTGATCTAATGGATAGTGTATTATTATTATTACTGATAAAAAACCGTGAATTATACCGTTTGTTTCTGTTCTTCTTTTTATAACGTGTTCATATTTGCCTCTCTGCTTTATGGAAAGCTTTCTCTCCAAATATCCATTCATATAAACAGATAAAAACTGCAGTAAAGACAGGGTCTACAAATTTTAAAACATATAGCTTAAAGCAGTGCTTTTTAAGGATTAAACAGTCAATTTTGGTCTCTCGTATATCCTAAATTGTTAACATTTGCACAAAGCATTTATCGCCAAAGTTTAACAGATTGCATACACTTTTATTTCAGGGTTTCACGACGTTTAAACAATATATAGCATCACAAGGTATGTTCATGCATTTTTTATTATCTTATAGAGATATTTTCTACAATTTTGAATTCCTAAAAGTAATTTCAAAGGCAATTCAAACATTGTGATTTATGAATTTTAACTTCTTCAACTTTAGGACCGACGAAGGAAATATTATTGGACTTTTGGAGAATGATATGGCAAGAAGAGAGCTCAAGGATTGTTATGCTTACAAATCTGATAGAAGAGGGGAAGGTAAATTAAGTCATGGCATTTTTTCTTATCTTTTTACCCTTTATAATATTAGCTTTTGATACTTGAATGAATAGCGCAGTTAGAAAATAAGATCAGTTTTGATTTCGCTACATTAATTAAAGTTGTTAAATTTTGTGACGCACCCTTGGCAGCGAAGCAAATACACTACTGTAGTAAACGGTAGTTTAAACACTCGATCGATGCGCAAGAGACATAATCGTTAAGAGCATTCACTGAATTATTCAATATGCAATTTTTACACGATTTCTTTATTATGAAATAAAATATTTTCATTCTGATTCCAGGAAAAATGTGAGCAGTATTGGCCAGAAGAGGGAACCAGCCACGTGTTTGGCAATATCATAGTACGCACAGAGAAAATTGACAATTTCTCACAATTTGTGAAAAGGACATTTCAAGTAAAAAAGGTATTCACTTCAGAAATTATATGATAAACAATTGTATTACTTCTAGCTTCATGTGTATTGGTCATGCTACTACTATTTTATGAACGTAGTTCAATGATATACGTTACTATTTTCATCTTCAGGAAGGTTCGAAACAAAAGCCACGGACAGTAACACAGTATCATTTCACCGCATGGCCAGACAAAGGCGTTCCGAAATACGCATCTTCACTTGTACAATTTACTAACAAAGTTAAATATGACTCAGTCGAACAGAATGGACCCATTATTGTACATTGCAGGTTTGTTACTTTAAATATTTTGCCATACGTATTTGTAATTGACTTATCCAATACAATGTCTTAATTCTCTGAACGTGCTTTGAGCACATAATGTATAAGGCATTTAATTCAGGCACATTCATTGCATTGTTAGATTACCATTTAGCAATTTCTTTTCACTTGATTAACTTCATCTAGTCTTATGTTTCATTACTTTTTATAATTTTATATTTTTTGATAGCGCTGGTGTGGGAAGAACTGGAACATTTATTGCACTTGACTTTCTGACTGAACAAGGAAAAGCCATGGGCTATATTGATGTGTTTGGAACAACTACTGCGTTCCGGTCACAGCGAGTATGCCTTGTACAAACACTGGTATGAAAAGTTTCATCTACATATTTAAAATTGTGCCTTGTAGAAATAACAGAACGCAAATACGATTATGAATTGTTATTAATCGATATCATTGTTGATTTTCTGAAACACATCAAATTCTTATCCAATTTTCAGGACCAGTATATATTTGTTCATCATGCTCTTGTTGAATCTTTGATGCTGCCCACATCGGCACTGCCGGCCTATAAATTTCCAGAAGCCTTTCAGGAACTCCTTCAGATGGACACAAAAAAGAAAAAGTCGAAATTAATTCTTGAGTTTGAGGTTTGTGTATTTACAAGTTACCTTAAAATAATTTCATTAATTAACTTCAAGTTTAACATTTGTTGATAATGCAATTGATCAATCCATATTAACATTCTAGATGTAAAAAATAAAAATACAAAGTATATGCGTGTTTCATTTCTTTATCGATTCTTTAAAATGTTTTACATACCAAAATCTGGAAAAGATCCATACAAAATAACATACTTTCCAATTTAGGAATGCTTCATAAATTTACAGTCTTTAAAACAATTAACACGGATTAGCAAAAGAGAAAAAGAATTCAATACAAGAATATATTGTATTACAGACTTTAAAGAAAGTATCACCAGTGGCCGATGAAGGTGACTATGTTTCATCGAAACTTGTCAGGAACAGACGGAAGAATAGATATTCCAACGTGCTTCCCGGTATGATACATTGTATTACAGCTTTCTTTGTGAACATTGTTCATGACTACATTTATAGTATCATCCCTAGATTCAAGTAACAATTTACATGCTATGGGCGATTAATGACTGATTTTGTAGTATCTTGTACGCAATTACAGTTTTTCCTTGCATATATTGACTGCCTTTGGGGGTACAACATGTAGAGTGATCAATTTCATATATGATCATAACACATTTTTTTTATTTTTAAATTATTAAATTAATAAAATTTCTGGCGATTTCTTTTCAGTCGAAGAGTTCATGCCATCTTTGCTGTCATCTTATTCAGATAGTGACAATAGATATATAAATGCTGTATTCTTGCCGGTAATTGCAATACTTAAATTTTCTTACTTGTAAAAAAATATTTAGAAAATAGTCTATAGATACTTCATCTGTAAAGCATATATACATGTATTTGATAATATCTATATGCACTTTTTGCCGATAATCGCTATAATTTATAGCTTTAAACAATTTGTATTATGTCTTATATTCGTTTTGTTTACCCCTATTAAATGTGATAACTGGTTGGCTGTTTTTTTTGTCAATAATTTTAATCTAATACTCTTTCGTTTCAATAAATAAAGGAAAATTTAGAGAAGTAGTATATATTTTAAAGCTTTATATAGTTCTATATTCAAAAACAGTCTAAAACAGTGTTTTTCCCTCGATTATTTCAATAATTAATTTCTTGTTTATTTTAATATTTAGAGAGAAAAACAAACTGCATTTCTATAAATTCATTTTATTTCAATTTATGATAACAGTTTGGTTCAATAAAACAAAAATGATGATAAAGTAAAGTATATCAAAGTGTAGTAAATAAAGGGACAATACTGTTAAAATACTCAGTTTACTTTTGGACATACACATAATTGGGTCTACAAGGTAGGAGGACTTAGGTTGCTGGACTCAAATCATTAACCCATCACCGCTGTTTGTTCGAGTCCACCACGCATTGACCTTGAAATCTTTTATTAGAGGCAGCTATCCAGCCAGCTTATTTAAAGTCACTAAATCAAAAGTTCAAAAACATCAAACAACTTGGGCATCACAAAACAATGATGCAACTCTGAAAAGTAATAACAAAGAAATAACTCATAGTTCACAGCTTATAACATGACTTTTTAGGTCATTTTTCATTGTATTAAAATTAATTAATCATAATTTTATGAACGGTTACATTTGTTAGAGTTACAAAGAAAGAAAAGCCTTTATCATAACACAAACACCGCTAGAAACTACAAAGGAGGATTTCTGGGATCTTATATGGGAACATGATGTCCACACTATCGTTATGATGAACAATATAAAAGAATCTGTGGTATGATATAAACTGTTTTAAAACATTGAAACAAATGTTAAAAAAATTGATACAATCTTCTTTAAAGATACTTATTCTGATGCTTGTTTATTGCAATTCATGCCATTATTTTGGTATTAATTGTGTTTCACATTGTCGTTTAAACTTCCGCTTTTATGAATGAAGAGTTGTCTGTTTGAAAACTATGATACAAAGTTCCATGTTTTGAACAACTTTAACTAAGTTATCTCGTGTTATTTCTTTACTTATAAAGCTCTTATCTATCATAGCAAAGCTGTTTTGGAGTTTACGCATCAACCCACGACTTAAAAGAGTTATTTTTTAAAACTGATGAAAATAATTTGCACAGTATTCTATTTTACGAAATAATGAATAACATGAAGTTAACGTCTTTTAGAATTAGTAATTATACAGTAAGGAAAAACATAATTTTTCTATAATCATAATAACAGTCATGAGTGCAGCGTCTCGCCTTCCATGAAATTGTTCTGATTTCATAACCATGTGTGACTTTTCTTTTTACGCTTTAAAAAATAACAGTTTCCACTAGAATTTACATTTCAGTGGTTACGTATTTAGAAAAAAATATTTTATGTTTTCATAAAGGATTCTGAGAAGTATTGGCCTGAGAAAGGTGAAACTGTTACATTTGGTAACATAGAGATCACCGAAGATGGCGTCGAAAAGAAAAGCCATCACCAACTTGTATCACTGTCAGCAAAGAAGCATAAATTGGTAATACAACTATTCCAATTAAATTCAGTGTGGTTAATATAGTTTATCCAATAACTTAGTATCTAAATACAAAATACGAATATATCTAAACCCGACCCTAGAGGTGGCTATTGGTTGTACATCTTTTAAAAACTCCTTGCAATGAATTAATATTGTTTACTTATTGCAAATACTACACAACTTTTCAGATATTTTCTTTTTTAAAAAGATATTTTAATTCAAATGACGATGGCGTACATTTGCACGGTTACGGCAGTTGAATCTCAACAGGAATTGTGTTTTTTTCTATGTGAAGAAGCTGTCTAATTACCTTCGTTGTTTCTTCTTAAGTAACCGCTTTTGCCTGAAACAATGTATGGAGAGGCAACTGAGGTCTTCCTTCACCAATAAAGCTGGAAGATCTCTATATGACCCATCTTGTGTTGGTCCCACATAAACCCAGCAGCAAAAACATTTTATGTCTTCCTTTTCAAATATTTTAGACCCGTAAGATCAAACAGATTCGGTGTGGGGGATGGTCCTACAATCACAGTTTACCAGACTCCCCAGGTGTTATACTTACACTGTTAGAAATTGTTAAAGTATGGCAGCGACAGTCTGGTCATCATACAATTGTTGTACATTGCATGTGAGCATTTGAAATTTTTTACTGATTTATAATTTTCATAATTTAATCGTAAATATAATACTGTAATTGCTTCATGATTTATAATCTAAAAGTTTAGTGTAAAATTTGCATTTGCATTTCAAATTGAAATATCTTTCATAACTGATATTGTTATTTTTCTTTCTTTACGAAGTTAGAAAAAAACACATAAACAATTCACATTAATTAAATTATACATTTCTTGTTTCTTTATTGTTTTAATAGTCAAAGTTTATCTTAATGGGAAAAGTAATTCAGATTTTCTGTAGATTTATCTGTTAAGAAAGACGTTAAGCATGCACACAATTTTGTAAAGTCATACAATTTGCTTACTGTATTGACATGAAATTTTTACTGACATGGTTTGCTTTTTCTTGCACATTGAATGATTTTACCAGGAACGGTGTTGACAAAAGTGGTTTGTACTGTGTGATATCAGCAGTTATAGAGCGTTTACAGATCGAACAGGACGTGGCGATATCCCAGGTGATTGAAGAGATGAGGAACGCTAGAGAACAGATTATACCATCTGTGGTAAGTGTTAGTTTTGAAATTATTTTTGTTTTTTGTTTTTCATTAAAAATGTTATCAATTGATATCTACAGCATCATTTCAATATTTTGAGGTGTTGAAGTTATTATTTAAATAGTCATCGGTACCTTAGGAAATATTTACTTTGGGACACAACTGTATTGTATTATTATAATGTGTTTAGTATCAATATCTAAATGCTTATGAAAGAAAAATAAATATTTTTTGTTATGTGTTTGTAACAGTTCCTAATTTAGATTTGTTTTGCATCGTTAATGAACGTTGGCGTTGATCTGTGTCTGTTCTAGGAGGGGGATGGGGGTTTCACTCATATTTTTGAGGATTCCCCCCTATTTTTTTCAGAGGCAGGGGAAAAATTTTAGATAGAGAAAAATGGAAAAATATAAACAAATGTAATAAATTCTCACTTTTCGATATAAATCCCCCATATTTTCAAATCCTAGAATAGACAATGGTTGATGGTGTAGTGCTTATCTTATCAGATGAAACTGAATTTATATCTTTTTAATGTAAATAAAAACAGTATTATTTTTACATTTCACATTTAAATATGAATTGAAATTTAACGATAAAACATTGTGCAATGTAAAGTTTTTCATTTCAGGAGCAATACAAGTTTTGCCATGAGGCTGTCCTTGAATTCATACACCAGTTTGATACATATTCAAACTTTGCTGAGTGACGATGACATAGTGCTGTTGCAATTATCATGACTTGAAATTGTTGAAAATTAACTTTCAATCTTGAAAAAAAAAACTTTTGGGATGCTTTGTATATATTAATGTTTATACTTTTCTAAGCTTTAAATACCATTTAAACGTTTTTGTATAGTATCAGGTGAATACATTATGACCGTAAATATTTTAGGTTTAACTGGTTTTTAAATTGACAGATGAATTATCAATTAAAGTGACAACAGGTCAGGCAATTTACATGTAGTACAATGTCTACTGTTACAGAAGTACTTTTTAATTTATGCAATATGTTATGGTAAAATATTTCTAACCATTCCTTTCAATAGTTCATTTTAAACAATATGTTTTAAATGATATTTTAGTGCTTTGTTGTTGTTATTGTATCTTTAATATTGAATGCGTCTTTCTAACATGGCTTTGTATGCATTTAATATAATTGTTACCTTATATACTTGTTGTACTAAACCAATCTATAGCGTAAGTATTTTGCCAGCCCGTGGCACACTTACAACATTTCTGGAACAATATTATGTAAGATTTTCTGAAGAGAAAACAGATTTTCAAAGTCACAATTTTCATCTCATTTTTATAAGGCACAAACGCAGCCGAGAACGGTAAAATCAAACTTCGACGGTACTTGATAAATTTGTACAAAAAATAAGAAATGAAAGTTGCTATTATTGATGACATTTGATGTCATTTAATGAAATCATGCCTGATTCTTTTTAAATGTAAATCATGTGTTTGAATGAAATAAAAAACAACAACATTTTTTTTCACTTTTCACATGTAATTTATATATATCTAATCTTCTTCAATGATGTTTTTGAAGAAGTGAAATCATTGTTGTACTAATACATCTGTATTTGAAAGAGAACAATGTATGCAATTAATATTTGAATTTTAAGTATGAAAAGTATTTAAAATTTAGTTTTATGATAATCATTTTCAATTCATTCGGATTTTGGTTTTATACATATTATTCCATTGTTCAATGTCTTATGTATAAGGATTACGGACCCTTATGAGTCTGTACGTATATGAGTCTCAGTATGGCCATTTTCTCAAATAAAAACAATACAAAAATAAAAATAATGACTTCACGATAAAAATACACTCTTACGTTATCGTTATCAAAATGCAACAATTAACTCGAGAACTCCAAAATTCTCCGATATTTCCCGACATAAGTCGATATTTACCGTTTCATCAAGGTTTGTTATCCTTAATCGTAATTGTTTTATTTTGTTTATATTGTGACATAGACTAAACTATAAACTAGTTATTAAGTCTTGTTATTTTTGTTTAGTAACTCTTTATGTCATTAAGCATATAAAAAACAACCATATGGGATAAGAGACATGTATTAGATAACATGCAGATTTTTTTAAACTTTTGATAAGGGTGTCATCAAGCCATGATTGAGGTTCATAATCCTTAAATGTATTTGTTATATTTCGTAGAAACCTTTTACTTTGGCCCAAGCTTTACAGAAATAAACCATTGTTTAGTCTTGTTTATAATTGTATTATAATCCTTTATGTTATTTAGTATATGTTCAACCCGTCTGCAAAAGATTATTAATAATGCCGAATTTTTACTTTTGACTGTATTTTGACAAGGGTGTCACGAAATCTCTTATTGTCTTACGGGAGAACATGTGTCTTAACAAACACGTATATATTCTATGTATCACTTTACTATTACGTACTAATATATATCTGCATATTCCTAACTGTGAGCAAATGAAAATAATAAGACAACCTACTGGCCTCATTCAACGTCAAATTTGCTGCATATCTAACTGTACATCAAATTCCACTAAAAGGTTTAGTTAATAATTGATATCTTTAAAATTATTACTTTTATTATGAAAAATAAGTTTTAATACCGTATTGATAAAAGGAGGAGTCGTTGAAAAGGCGGCTTATGACGAATTAAACATGAAAGAAAATAAACACATACAGCTTGGTCGAATTTCATGACGTTTCGACGACATCAGTTTTAGCGAAATAATACTTGAACAAGTTTGAATTGCGATTGAACGGAAAATATATTTTAAATGAAGTCATTTTTTGACAACGTCTTAGACATGACTCATGACGGTTTGGAGTATTTTGAAATTTACATGTGCCATATTGTAAAATATACTCATCGTTGAGCGCCTATCATCAACCCGAATTTTAGCACTGTGCCACGTGTAAATTACCATGTTTTTTAAATCCGGTGTGACGGGCAACCTATCAGGTATTGCTTTCCGATTAGGTGTAATAATATAATAATAGGTGATAAGATGAGAATTCTACATTTGACTAATATTTTATCTTCTTTGTGAAATAAATCTTGCGATAAAAGTTTACATTCCATTTTCGATAGGAAAAAAACATGGTATGTGTTAAATTGTTTTGAGTTTATCTTTCGATGTTTACAAAACGGGTGTTATATTTTTTGAATTTATATTTTCTTTGCTTTGGATAGCTGGATAAAACAAGGAAGTGTTGTGATCACATATTTAGCGTTGAATATGGAGTATTGGTGAAATTAAACTATTTCATGATTTTTACTGAAGTAAGAGTTTTTTTTTTCAAATTTCTTGTTCATTTTTCAATTAAGATATTTCATGTTTTCGTTTAAATAATTCATGAAAGTTCTTTTTAATGTAACAAAATAACAGTGTAATTAGTCTTGCGTTTTAAAATTCTTCTGACTGGCAATGCTTTTAGTTGATACTGTTCAAAATAACCGTCAGTAAATTTTATAAGATTAATTTTTAATTGGATTTTTAAATGATAATACTTTTCAATATTACGAAAAAAATAAAGTTTATGCTTTATCACACATTATTACAAAATATTATATATATATACCAACGCCATCAAAATCTATGTACGTATTTTGTATAAGTAAGTAAGTGAGTGAGTGTGTGTGTGTGTTGGTGAGTTGGTGAGTGCGTTGGTGCGTGCGTGCGTGAGTGAGTAGTTAAATTGTTTATTAAAGTGGCATGTGTTATTTACAATAAAATCATATAAAGATATTTTAATAAAGGTATAAAAAACACCAGTCCTCGTGGGCCTATTAGTTACTGTAGAATTTGATACAGTATCTATGTAAAGTTCTAAAATATTAAACATAAAATTAGTACAAGTTCAATTTCAAATATATGGACGATGTACGTAGTGTAGAATATTTTCACTTTCATCTTTATCAAGTAAGATATTAAAATTATGTATGAGCAGTTGATGGATTTAAATTTTAGCTAGTTTTCGAAAGGAATCGTAACTTACTAATTTGCATTTGGCCAAATCAATGTAAACCTCAATATATGAGGAACACTGTTTTCAGGTAAACTAAAGTATGCCCATTTTGACTAATCCAGAAACAAAGGAGAGAATTGTCTGTATTAAATCTTGCACTTTGTTTGCTTCAACTCCAGTGTTTGCCTTGGTGTAATCGGTAAATACCGGATCTGTTTATAATTATATACTTTTTGGCGCTGAATACTGGTTCGACACAAGCTAGGCTAAGCCTTATTAGTATTTCATTTTGTTATCCTTATTTACAATTGCTACAGATTTATCGTTCACTTTGATGACGTTGTAATCATTATTAATGTTTTACCTTTTTATCATTCAACACATGAATTATTGTGATCAAGTATTTGTGTCCTTTCACCACTAACCGAATCTGGAATACTCAAGCAATTTGGGTATTCTGCCATCTTTTAAAATCACGTGACACTGTTTCCGTTCTAAAATGGAATTCAGTGACGTACGTTCGTAATACTCCGGGAAAATTGGAACGATTTTTAGACTATTCTATCACAAAATCTTTTTGGGAATTATCGTCCGTATCTGTTATTCTACGTCATCCAATTAATCATTTTTGTTAAAAATGGCCATAATTATATTAATAATTATATTATATTAATTATATTCACAGTCACATGATTATTTAAAGGCTTTACTTTTGCGTTTATTGTGATTAGTATTATCGTATAATCATATTTTAAACATCATTTGTTTTGTTGGAAAGTGTCAAAACAGGATAACTTGATCGTATTAGCAAAAGTTTTCGTTATCTTAGACATATGATCCGTCTGTATAAAACATTACTTATATAAAACATCAACGGTCTGTAAGTACCTACCTCATGGTTGCTTCGTTGTATTGGCGAACCTCATCTTTAGACAATACATTGTCATATATTTTCATATTTTACGTATGTATAGTTTCAGATCTTTTTAACAAACTTTTTATACTCGTTGGAGCTTTACCAAATATCATACAACTGTTGTGGTCGAAAAAACCATAATAATCATAATAAAGCAGATCCTTAAAAAACTATATACAAAAATGCAAGTCTACAACGTATACCACTACCTATAAGAGACTGTTTTTTATGTTTTGAAACATATAATGATATAATTCTTCCTCATGAATTAAAGATTACCTTTTACATATTAGAAAACGACAGAAAAATAAAGGCATTATATACGCCTATAATGCTAGGAAATATTATCAAACACTCAAATAATAAACAGATATGCAAGAAAATGATCAAACAAAATAAGGTGCGGAGCTATTTGTGTTTACTATATCTTTTGTCAATGGACACGATTTTATCAATAAATCACTTCGATTTACAGCTAAAAATAAATTCGGAATCAAGAATTCTTTCCGATTTCTATTATGAAAAATCATATTTTGGTTTCCCCTTCGGTGATTCGCAGCATGTCTTATTAATAAATGAGAATGGTAACAAATTTTGCAACTCCAAATGATAAGACAAAACAAAAAAATAAACTCAAATTTGGTAATTTAATTCTTACATTTGTATCTTCTACAGGAAATAATCAATTATTTTGTAGCACACAGTGGGTTATTATTTATTTTATTGCTGTACATGAATTTGAAAGCTATAAATAGATGACAGTCCGAAATTCTATTTCTAGAAGTAATTTTAGTTAAACGAAACGGTCATTCGTGTCGCGCTATGGTAATAAAAAGCGAACTGGAGAATTTTGCACGAAATGAAATGCAAACACATTCAAGAATAAATTGTACACTTTACAAATTTATAGAAAAAAATAAGAAGGCAATTTTTAACGAATTATTATATCATAGTATTATCATTTTGAAATAGTCTTTTCCGTAGATTCTTTCCGGTTTTCTTTTTTACGGCCATGATTGCACTTATGACATTTTTACCGTGAATGTTTAAATAGACATAGTTCTGGCTTCCATAACTTTATGTGTCGCTTTTATTTTGTCATTGTGGGACAATAAACAGGTCTAGCAGAAGTATATCATCAAATCTTTTCGCTGCTCAAATCTCTTTAGCTACAATCGACCCTGATTTCCCGGGTTTTTGCTGTTCTATATTTTGTTTGAAGACAATCGGTTTTATGGTAGTTTGAGTGTAATGTTGATTTGCTGAATATTGTGATATTTTGTCAACAGAAATTTTCTTCTGCAGTTTTAGCATGAGTTGTTATGGGTTTATTGATAGGAATATAAACACACTGGTGGGTCAGACGAGGTTTTTGAAGCAATTCAACAAAATAGTAGATTGACCTCACAATTAATCATTTAACAATTTTGTTCATTTTGACTACTGTTTTGTATGTTCCAAAGAAAATAATTAAATATTCTTATCTCTATCAAGCCTACTAAAGTTCAATAATGTCTTTCGTCGCCCATTCATAAATGATATACAATTCTGGAAAAATTCAATAATCCTTTGGAAACTTATAAGACTTTCTAGTCATCAGATTTCTACTGGTTCATTTTCACTTGCTGATTTTTTTTGCTTTCGCGCTCTTTGATGTTTTACATCATGATATACCATTTGGCGCGAAACATGTAACGGACATTTTGAAAAATAAAGTTGATGAAAGGTTTTGTTTTGCCTTATTCACATATGGATATTTCTTACAATGATTAGTTGTTGATATTTGTAGAAAATGAGTAGCATTAGAGGTGAAAAATATGTACATGCTTCGATATTTTTTAATCTAATATCACTGACTACAGTAGTGAAACAAACAGAACAATGTTGCACTACTGTCGTGTCACATTACAAGTTTTGTAAGTCTTGTTTGTGTTGGAATTACTTTCCTTGCCAGGTAGGCATCAGTGAAATCATTTTTAAAAAAATTTAATTTCTTGCCCGTCACTCATTGACAGTTCATACGATCAGTATAATTATGCAAATTTAAATTATTTACAAAACATCCGTAATAATGTACAATAGTATTTCATCTAAATAGAAAATGACTTGTGCGTAAAAATGATTTGGTAAGGTATCTGTAATGAGCGCATTTTTTTGCGCAACGTTTGTACCTTTGCTATTTGTGTTACTATATTTTCGTCCATGGACCCGATTTTTATCAATTATTCCCTTTTATTTACAGCTAAAATAAATTCGGAACGAAGAATTCCTTCCGATTTCTATTTAAAAGTCATATATTAGTTTCCCCTTCGGTGATTCGAAGCATGGCATGTTAATGGCATATTAATATATAGCCGCTTGGAAGGCAGTATAAGACAAAACAAAAAATAGACTTAAATTCGGTAATTTATTTCTAACATGTGTATCTTCTAAAGTAAATTACTAATAATTTTGTAGTACACAGTGGGTTATGTGTGTATTCTATTGCTGTACATAATGTCGAACGCTACAAATAGATGGCTATAACATTGTGTAAGTCCAAAAATCTATTTATAGAAAATTTGAAAAAGGCTATATTATTTGTCATCTATAAGTGGGTCAAATATTCATATAAAAATATCTAAATACAATTCTGAACATTTTGGCTAAAATATGGAACAACAACATAATCTGACCAGACAAACGGAATAAAAAGTGCAAAAAACAAAATTAAGGAAAGGTTGGCTTTCAGGAAGGGCTTGAACCCACACCCTATGCAAACTATAGATCACCAAGGAAATGAATACACTTCACTTCAGAAAAGAGGTCCTGCCAGGTCTATATAAGATGTTCTTTAGACATACGGTATTTTGGTCTAACCTGTACTTCAAAAACCTCAAAAATAAAAGTTATGAGACTAACACAGCATCTTTTGAGGGAATGGATTAAAGCACATACCAAGACCCAAGATACAATAGCTCTTCAAACAGAAACCTTTACTAGCTTTAACTCTAGTCTAAATCTGAAAAAGTCTTACATTTCTTTTTTTTCGTCAGTCATAGAACTACATGTTCTTGTACTCGTAAATAAAATATAATCATATTAAACTTTTGTTTAAGAAATGTTTCAGTCACATTCATGAAATTGAAATGTGGATAATTATTCAACAAATATTTGGCTTTCACGTTATAAGTTTTTTCTCATAAGATGTTTGTAAAAGAATAACTAATGAATTTAGAATGCAATATCTGAAAGTTAAGCTGATAATCAAATAAACAGAACTTAAATATAATGCCAGCTTCTATTGTCAGGAAGTTTTAATCTTATAACCTTCTGACCAGTTATTAGATAGCTATTGTTTTGTGTCTTTTTCAGATTAAGGTGGCTGACCCTTTTGTCCAAACATAAACTTTATTTTCTATGGCATCATGCATATTGTGTAGGTCTGTATCTGCTAGTATATCATTTCTAAAAGATAAGCTTCATTTTAAGTTATTTGTTTATATATTTTATCATGGGATACTCTTAAATAACCACAAAAAGTATTTATCATTTAACATTTTTTTGTACACTTATATGTTTTGCTTATATTTTTATCTTTTCATATAAGAAGCTATTAAGATATACTTTCTTGTCAATGTGATATTTCAGTGAATGTTGCCAGATCTTTTGTAGAAAAAAAATACGCCAACATGTTTGATTTGGTTGACTGATTTTTTCTATACTTATAACGTAAACGTAACGTTTATTTCTTGTAACATAGGCTTCCGGCCAAAAATACAACATAATAAAGCAAACATGACATTGCAATGAAACTTATAATAAAGTGATGATAAATATACATAGAATACTGTATTATAAACATCATGGTCCGTATATAACAGAGATGACATATCCTTTAATCAATTGGTATATTTCTGAAGAATCCAGTAGTATAACCTTAGGGTAGTGAACCACCTCTTAATTTAACAATAAGTGATCGGAAATATAATTTTCAATTTGATCTAGTTACGGTTCTTTTAATAAGTCAATTTTGATACTTTTATCAAGCATAAGTTTGATTGATGAATCAAGAGACTCCCGCCATGTTTGAACATCAATATCGCGCAATCTTTAAAATAATTCTCGACAGAACTAGTCAATATTTCCAACCTCCTGGTTAATCCAAATCCATTTATGAAAATGACACGCTGAATATGAAATGCCCAACAATCAATGTTATTCTCTGCCCACCGGTATTTGGCTTTATAGCATAATGAAGGTAATCCATTTTCGCTCATTTTTAGAATCCTAAACCAGTTTTTGATGCTTTAAACTCTATTGCAATATAGTGAAAAACGGCCCAGCTCTCCATATACATACTTATTAGGAGTTAACAAGTTTAAGTTCAATGCATATTTTCAGAACTTGGTACGTACTAAATATCTTTAGCTTCTTTAGAAATCTCTGAGCCATATGCCAATATAAGTTGTATTTTTGAGACAAAAATGTTAAACAGTAGAGATACTGGTAGTTGTCCCTATCGGTATAAATTAGTTTTACCTGAAAAATAGGTGTGTTTGCTTGTTCCGATAATGTTTTGTTGACACATATACTATGAAAGTCTAGACGAGAACACTTTTATTAGATATTTATAGTAAGACGTTACTTGAATAATTTCAACGCCATAAAACCATTTTTCATAAGAACGCAAGTAAACACCATTCCTGAAACCAATGACCTTTGTATTGTCGAGATTAATTTTTAGATTCAAATCATCACAGTAAGACTTTAACCGATTAATCATTTTCTGAAGCTGTATTTTGTTTCAGCATTTAAAACATATTCGTCCACGTAAAGTAAAGTAAATATAGGTTTTAGTTCTAATGAAAAACTATGACAACCATCACTAACAGAATTATTGAAGTTATTTTAAAACTAAAAATGGTGATAGCTTACACCCCTGCCTGACACAATATGGTCATTCAAAGATTTTTGTAAGTCCATATGGGGATTTAACACTTGCTTTTATATCTATATCTCCAACTTAAGAGGCATTCAGGGCATTTACGAACAATCATGCGATGGCTATGATTGTCCCACGAATTGTCATTCAATGTTCACTGAAATGTGTTAAAAGATTGCAAGCAAATGCTTCTAAATGTTCTCTTGAAATTTTTTCTAGATAAAAAAAATCTTTTGACTTCATGTATCAGAATAATTGTGTTTATTTGTTTTTATGGTAAAATTTGTTCTCTTTGTATTGAAACAATGAAATGCTCCGTTACATATCGTGCTATTATAAATTGAGTATTTATCAAATTGTAAGTAAAACATTGTACATGTATATTTAAGCCTTTTCTTTTCCATATCCTGCTATAATAAATTGAGTATTTTTTTCAAATTGTAAGTAAAATATTGTACATGTATACTTTAGCCTTTAATTAAAACTGTTGACTGATTAAATGCCTTAGAATTTGCCTTACGAGTATCGGTTCTTTATAAATACAAACATTTCAAAGTGACGTTTCTAAAAGTTATACACAATGAAAGATTATATGTTAATTATTACTTTTGTACATGCATATGAAATGCTCACGTATTAATGGATTCACCCTTATCGATTGTCCATGGAATATATCCTTTATTTTCAGAAAAAGCAACAAAACAACAAGATGAATTTTCAAAGTTCAATAGTTTGGATTGTCACATTAGTATGTTTTTGTTTCGTTAATTGTTTATCAACAGAAGACTGGCATTTCCGAGGTACCTTTTAGTTACTTATACCATTTAATTATACACATACAAGATTAATCAACATTTTGCATACGACAACTGTGTAGAAATTTAAATCTTCTTGATTTTAATGACATGTTAAAACATAATACAAAATCATGATATGTAGTAGAAAACGTTTAACTATCTCAACATCATAAGGAAAAGCCAATGTTATCGACAAGCGTTGGTACTGAAAAGAAAATAGTAGTCTTGTTTCCATTGACAGATTAAATATGTGTTATCGGAAAATTATAAAGCACTGACTAAAAAGAGAAAATGTGTCATATGTTTACATTTGTAATTGTATCATTTTTTTCTCTTTTTAAGCAAAAACCAAGCGCTAAAACATATTTGATGTCTAATTACAGGACAAAATATAGCCTTACATAAAGAAGCTTCCCAAAAACCTGGGTCTTACAGAGACATGGGATCCTCTATAGAAGGTTATACGGCGAATTTAGCAGTGGACGGTAATGATAATAATGATTTCAACAACGGCAGTTGTACACATACCGACGGATCAGTATTTTTAGAGAATAATCAATATATTGTCCAATGGTTGGTCGTACTTGGTGATGACTATTATGTCACTGGTATTGTCATTGTAAATAGAAAAGGTTAGTATTTTCACCATAGTTTTAAGATTTACTCTTTTATCATAAGTATATACAGCAATCTTTGTTCCAAAAAGAGTTCAAAACTATCTTTGATGGTTTATGTCTTGATAAATCTTCAATTTACATGAATAATTTCATAAGACATGTTGTCTTTCATTCTAATCATGTTTTTTTTTTTTAAAGAATATTTGAATTTCTTCCTGTATATTGTAATTATAACATGTATATATATTCTGAGAAATAAAATATGTTTATACTAACTAATTTACATGTAGACGCATGGTCGCAACGTGTGATTAAATAATTTTAGTGTATACATTTTTTTACCTGCATGCAAGTTACTAAGCATCTATTTTCTAGATGTACGTGCAAGAAGACGTCTTAAAAGTTTTTACGTTGTTGGATATAACAAACACTTATGCCTGGCAGCAAATGGCTATTGGTGTGTGATATACGATGACAGTATGCAAAACAAATATTTGATGGAAAAGATTAAGATAACTGTAGATGGTACTAGGTCGTTTTCTAAGATTGCTATAAATCTTCCTGTTCATGATGGTTTAACCTACCTGACTCTGTGTGAAGTAAAGGTCTATGCAGGTATTTGCAACATTTGATTATGATTTATGGATAATTTTTTAAATATATTTTATTGCAAAGAGATATCTTTTATCGCTCGAGCTCATTAAAATATGATTAAGTTAGTTTAGACATATACGATAATTTTACACGGACAAGATTCTAAAACGTTCTATTGTACGTTCTGAATAAATTAGATATACATGTTTAATATATATTAATAGATACATGGTCATCAGCTTGTCTTTTAGCAATTTTAAATTCGCTCTGTATGTTTGATGAACAGAAATTGAAACATTTTGGCAGAGTTGTCAATCACAATGTGACAATATGATAAGCAAAAGTTTGTACTTCATATGATCAAAGTCAATGTCACACTAAGTCATTGGAAATTCTTATTTTAGTATAAATCAGATGTCGAATACTTCGCTAGTACTGTTTATTTAAAGACACCTACGCTTTCTTTTACTTTTTAATAGTGTTTGATAATGGAATATGGTTAAGAAAATAGCACTGAATATGAAATAGATTGTAATGAAAGTATCATATTGAAAACAGTGGTATTTTCACTTTTTTTATTTTCACTTGAATCACGATTATTTATTTCATCGATTTAAGCTTATGTTACAAAAAATTCGATTTTAGAATACTACTGTTAATAATAATAATAATTATAATAATGATAATAATGATAATGATGATGATGATGATGATAATGATGATGATGGTGATGATGATAATAATAATAATAATTTTGATAATAATGATAGTAATGATAATGATGATAATAATAATAATAATAATAATTATTATTATTATAATCATAATAATAGTAACTAGACGAGAAAGAAGAGACAATCTTTATCTCTAGAAAGTTACCTATAACCATAAACTTTCATTTCAGTGGGCTGTTACCAACAAATACAAAACGGCAATTTAGATCAAAACTATCAGCAATACAACGTGCACTCAAACGTTTCTGTCGTTTGCAATGCTGATTATGAACCAGAAAAGTCTGAAATTACATGTGAAATTACAGGACTCTGGAGTAGTAAACCTACATGCAATATAATTCAATGCCCTCATCCTGGAAATCCAGAAAATGGATATTACATTAAAAATCATAGTAAAAGTGATGATGTACTGGAACCAAGTAAGCCATTGCAAATAGGTAGCACTATATATCCAGTCTGTAATAAGGGATATGAGAATAATAAAACTGAGGGTAGACAGTGTCAGAATCACAAAGAATGGAGTGGTCATTCACCAGTATGTATGAAAAAGCAATGTCAGTATCCTATGTCTATTAGCAATGGAGAATATCGTTTTGTAAACAATACTGAATATAAAAGTGGGTCTGTATATTACAACACATCTATCGTTGTTATTTGCAAAAAAGGTTATTACGTAAGTGGTCACTTGAAACACGTTTGTGGTGATATGAGAAAATGGGAAGGAATCTCTAGCTGTGAAATTGTTAAATGTGATTACCCAGAAATACCAAACAAAACTGTGTCTGTAATGAAAGAGTCAAATGGTATGCTAACACCTTATACCAGTGGCCAGTCACGCTACCTAGACAAAATAATTATGACTTGTCGGATAGGTTATGTCTTGAAGACATCTTCATCTAAAAGCCGACAATGTTTAGAAACTAAACTATGGAGCGGAGGACCGGGCAAATGTGTTTTAGTTACATGTAAAGAACTTGGGAAGCTGAAAGGTGGAACATATAACTATACAAACGTACCGTCTTCTGGAGAATATCCTTACCAAACAGAGGTTACAGCCTATTGTCATGAACCATTTACACTATTAGATCCTCAAAACAGGAGCCGTCGCTGTAACGAGAACGGGGAGTGGGATAGTTTACCATCTGTATGCAGTAAGTTCATTATTGTTATAAAATAAATACATCTCACTTAAAAGTACAACATTATATGATATCTTATAAAGAGATAATTTGAAATTTCTCTTTCTTTTTCTAAATGCCTTTACGGAAAAATAACTCGTTTAAAACTTTTGCGAAGTAAACATGCTCGTGTATGACATGTATGAGGTAATATTTGAAGTTATTAAATATCAGAACATATTTTCTAATAGTTCAAACAGAAACAGCTGCTGCTGCTGCTGTCAAAAGTACATATGCAGGATTATTTGGGGGTGTATCAGCAGCGGCTGTGGTGATTATCAGCATAGTTATTGTCGTCTGTTTCTTTTTTTATCGAAGGTAAATGTCAGATTATATCAATTTGTGTGTTTTAAATCAGTAGTGGAATGAACATTACTAAACGAGATAATATTAAACTGTTCTTAAATAAACAAAATCTTTTACTCATGCAATGCCTCGATATTGCTCAAAACCGATGTGTCTTAGTTCAAAATTTTCAATTTCCGTGTTTGAATATTAAATTCTGCTTAAGGCGGCGCTAGTGGGCGTAGACGGTAGCTTGCACTGTCCAGTACTTTCTATAAACATGCTCGATCAAACCGAGCCTGCAACATTTTTAACTTTGCCGTTTTGTACGTTCTTTGGGAATTTATTCATTTTCTATTTGTGCTACTGTTTCTTAGAAAGAAAGTGTACTTTAAGAGTATTTATATAAATATCTGATGAGGCTTAATAGAATAACTGTTTCCAAAGTTCAATAATTTGTTTATCTCGCCCTTTTTAAAATCAAAATAAAATCTTATAATACATTAAATAAAGTATTAAAACACATACGTATTCAACTGTTTTTTTTAAATTATGCATGGATCTTATTCGTTTGATAAATAAAATCCGATTAAATATATGATAATGAAAATTTTATTACGCACATATAAAAAGAAGACGGATAAAAGGCAATGAAACTGGAAAGCCAGATCCATATGCACAGCTGTGGAAAGGAAACAATAACGAACGCATTTCAAACTCACAGGATGGTGTTTATTCGGAGATTCAAGAAGAAAGTTTCAATTCAATAACTGGTAATAAAGCTTTTCATATATGATTTATTTGAAGATAAAATAATGATCATCTGCTGAACAACTATGAACCTGTCTAATATGCTTGCTAATATTTCCAGTTGAGACGCTAAATATTTAGTTATTGTCTTTCCAATTTACAGGATTTTACAGGTCTTAAAAATTTTATAAAAAAAATCAACGGAAACTTTTTATTCCATTTATTGAAATCAAGATTGGATGGTGCCTTTTCCCTACTATTGAAATACTGAATTTTGGTGCAGTATTGGATGCTTAATGCATCTCTCCTTTCTGAAGAGTATTCATTTTGAGTGAGTTTCGATAGGGCGTATGTTCAAATTTCAGAATTTTTTTTCTCAATTTTTGTCTTTTTTCATCTTTTTGTTTGGCCATTTCTTTATTCTTTATTTACTTTTCTTATTTTATATAAAATCTAGAGTAAGAAACAAAGTTTTATGGCATACTTTATACTGTAAATTGTGTTAAATTGGACAGGGTAACAACTTAAAATGATTATAATTTGAAATTAGAATGGTAAACTTTCTTCATTTGTTTTCACAAATGTTTAGATTTCTATCAAGATAATTATTTTTAAATATGACAAATTCTAACAGGTTTTATTATCCCACCCTTTATTTGATGTAAAATAACAAGTACCTGTCTCAATAAAATATGATAAACAAGATCAACAAGGAAGGGCGGCGTTCAATGAACAATCTTTTCATAGACATTTGTCGTCGGTGTTATTTGTATTTTTTTGGTAAAAAATCTGGTCGTTATTAATGATTTTCAACTAAGAAGAATATGAAACTAGCAAAACTGTTTTTTCAAATAATAAAAACATATTCTTTGTTTAATAAATTTACTTCAATTATCAATATTTTCAAAAAATATGGTAAACTTTTGTCATTTTTTGTATTTATATCCAGAATATAGTAAAGTTTATTAATTTAAAGTTTTAAATGGCTTTTGAAAAAGTGTAATTATACATCTTATACCTTGCGTTTAGTTAGATATAATGACAATTTCTATGACATTTTGATTCAGGTATTTCATGTTATTCTGACATTTAAAGAAGAATGAATGATATGCGATTATAATGTTCCAGCCTTCTACTGAAAATATAATATATAAGAATAATTCATGCTTGAAATACACAATGACACTGTATAAAATATGATATTTAACACATACAGAAATTTCTGTACATAAACTTATATGTACAAATGCTTTGAAATGTGATAAAAAAAGAAGTCGTATTATTCATTTATGAGAAGTTGGTAGTTTACCCACAGGTAAGTTACTTTGGAGTCAGCGCATCGTTCCTTAGCGAGTTGTTAAGCACTATACCAGTACTATTTGCCTTCATTAACGCAAGATAACTTCTGTACATGCAAGAGCAAGTCACCGTAGAGTAGATTTTATTATCAATCACAGCGAGAGTGATCTGCACGTAAAGGAATCCAACCCGGGTTGCCCGTTTCACAGGCCTATTGAGCTTATCGGACGGTTTACCATGCATTAACGAATTAAATTTTATTATGTCTTTTAGAAAGCAAATCATCGAATACTAAAAGTGATGGGACGTACAGCAATGTAATGAAGAAGACGACAAACAAAAATATCATAAAACATTCAAACCAAAGTTCGGATTCAAAGTTCGATTTACAGTCAGAACCTTACTACAGCTTCACAGATGTTAACAATGTTCCTAAAACTGCAAAACTTGTAAAGGATCTTTCTGATCTGATTCTGACAGGCTCAGATGCCAAGCGGAATTTTGAGACAGAGTTCAATGTAATTCCCTTAAGATTTATTTTATAAAAAGAAACAACACATTTAAGAATTTGGATCGATTTCAATTAATAAAAAAAATTATGTAAGTACATGTTTATAAACTTGCTAAAAATATGTTAAAATAAATATAAAAATGTTTTACTACGTTATACATGTATTACATGCTTTATATCTGTACATAAAGGTTTTACTGAACAATTTAAGAATTACATTTCAGTTTAAGTGTTTATTTTATTAGAACATTCTTTTATTACTCAGAAATACTTTGTAATCATTCTGTATTCAATATATTTCTTATCTGGCAAAAAAATGGCTTCGTTCAATATCGCTATCAGCTCAGTTTGCTTACATATAAACACAAGAGCAAAACTATTTTAATTAAACATACAAAGTCACAATGATTAACAGCATATTATATCTCAGAGGACAACTTAAATCATGTGAGTACATATGGTGAACATGGTAAATTTACTTACTGCAAATGTCAGCGGCTTCTCAGCTTCCGTATACATTGACGGTTTGTAGGTTTTGGAGATGATGGATGACAGAACTATTTCATAAAGTTTATAAATAGGGTTTTATTATTCACGTCATCAATTAATATGATAAAAAATAAAACATCTTAAAATATAATTAAAATAACATTATACAAACATAACATATTGAATTATTATCTGACAGATAAAGTTTATAAATTGAGGTTTATTATTCACTTCATCAATTAATATGATAAAGAATAAAAAAATCTGAAAATATAAAGAAAATAACATTATACAAACATACCGTATAGAATTAATACTTGACAGATGACAGCTGTCAAACAAGTAAACAAACGAAACAATATACATGTAAGTGTGATGACTCGTGACAGTCCGCTATCAAAACAAAAAATTGACTTCGTTAATATTATTACATTAATACATTATATAATTATCAAACCAAAGATTTACAGTATATTCAGAGATATGTTTACAAAATACAAAACTCTTATTTACCTGAATGAATATTTAATATATCCAGAGATATTTGATATTTTTAATTGCACAATAAAAAGCTTATGCAATTTGAAAACTTGTTTGACTAGAAAAGTAAATTATGATTGGTTGAAAAGTGTCACGTGTATAAACTGATCAAAGATAAGTCCGAAGTAGATAATATTGAAAATATCGGGAAAACTACGGAGTACAAGTCGGATCGTGTTTTACAAATGAACAAAAACAACGGAATACATTAATAATGATTTTACCCTACGACACAAATATTATACTAACTCAGTAATACGGAATGTGTCATAAATAAACATTCTTATATTAAATGCATAACTTGTTCTGTATTTCAAACTTATGTTTTAAGATCTAAAATGATGCTTTTGCTCTTTTGATATTTTCAGGCACTTCCTCGAGAAATGATTCAGCCCCACGAAGCAGCATTGGAAAAGAAGAACATAATTAAGAATCGATATAAGAACCTCTATGCTTGTACGTTTAATACAAGTTTATCTGTATGGTATAGCTATTTAATTATTACGCATAGAAAATGCTTAAATAACTTAATTATTCTCTTCACTTTTCTATAGTCAATTACAGACTCATACCTAGTATTGTAAGAATTTAAGAAATGCAAATTATTGATTAGTCGACATAACAATATCTTTATTTTTCTTCTTTTTGTGGTATAGATGATGACACACGTGTTGTATTAAAAACTGACGAAGCATCACAGTCGGATTATATTAATGCCTGCTATGTGAATGTAAGTGAAATAGACTCTGACAATCTAAAAATGTTTTTGAAACAAATGTGACAGTCGTAAGTTGTTTTGTGTAATTTGTCATAATTACTCATGAAATCAGTAAACTGTCTGTTTCTGTTCATTTTTTTTTGTCTTTTTGTTCTTTTTGTTTTGATAATGTGTTAGTATTTATAAAAAGCGTTCTCTTCAAATTTACATGCGTATAAACAATTGAATATAGAAGATTCTAAAGGATCAACTATTTTTAAAACGTAAAGTTTAAAGCTCTACATTTGAAGTATTAAGAAATCTATTTCGCTCCCTAAATTCTTAATTGTTTACATTTATTTATTGTTTAACTCATTGTCAAAGTTCTACAATTTGCATACACTTTTCTTTCAGGGTTTCGCGACATCTAAACAGTATATAGCATCACAAGGTATACTCATGATATTTTTTTTCATCATCGTTTACAGATATTTTCTAAAATTTTGAATTCTTTAAAGTAATTTTAAAGGCAATTCAAACATTGTGATTTTTGATTTTGAACTTCTTCAATTTTAGGACCGACGAAGGAATTATTATTGGACTTTTGGAGAATGATATGGCAAGAAGAGAGCTCAAGGATTGTTATGCTTACAAATCTGATGGAAGAGGGGAAGGTAAACTAAGTCAAGGCATTTTCCCCCTTTTATTAGCTTCTGATACATGGATGGATAGCGTAGTTAGAGAATTAGATCAGTTTTGATGTCGCTACACTAATAAAAATTGCTAAATTTTGTCAGCCCCTTGGCAGCGAAGTGAATACACTACTGTTAAAGATAAACATTAGTTTAAACACTCGACCGATGATCAAGAGAAGTTATCGTTCAAAGCATTCACTTAATTATTGTATATACAATATTAACCCGATTTCTTTATAAGAAATCAAATATTTCTTTTCTGATTCAAGGAAATATGTGAGCAGTATTGGCCAGAAGAAGGAACCAGTCTTGTGTTCGGCAAAATTATTGTACGCACACAGAAAATTGACAATTTCTCACAATTTGTGACAAGGACCTTTCAAGTGATAAAGGTATTTACTTAAGAAGTTTTATGATAAACAATTGTATTAATTCTAGATTCATGTGCATTGGTCATGCTTTTACTATTGGTCATGCTTTTATGCACGTATTTCAATGATATACGTGACCATTCTCATCTTCAGGAAGGTTCGAAACAAAAGCCACGGACTGTAACACAGTATCATTTCACTGCATGGCCAGACAAAGGTGTTCCGAAATATGCATCTTCACTTGTACAATTTATTAACAAAGTGAAATATGACTCAGTCGAACAGAATGGACCCATTGTTGTACATTGCAGGTATATTTTATTCAAAATTTAGTCATTATTTTTTGTAGTGGACTATTTATCGAATGATATTCCGTCACTCTTTGATCCTTCTTTTAGCAGATAAATGTATAAGGCATTTCATGCACATTCATTGCAGTATCATATTACCATGAAGAAATTTCTTTCCGCTTGATAAACTTCTTGCATAACTTTTTATGTTTTGTTTGATAGTGCTGGTGTGGGAAGAACTGGAACATTTATTGCACTTGACTTTCTGACTGAACAAGGAAAAGCCCTGGGCTATATTGATGTTCTTGGAACTATTTCTGCGTTTCGGTCACAACGAGTATGCCTAGTACAAACTCTGGTATGGAAACTTTCATCTACATATTTTACAATTATGCCTTGTAGAAATAACAGAACGCAAAAATGATTTTGAATTGTTATTAATCGATTATTGATTTTCTGACAATTGTCAAATTCTTATTCAATTTTCAGGACCAGTATATTTTTGTTCATCATGCTCTTGTTGAATCTTTGATGCTGCCCACATCGGCACTACCGGCCTATAAATTTCCAGAAGCATTTCAGGAACTACTTCAGATAGACACAAAAAAGAAAAAGTCGAAATTAATTCTAGAGTTTGAGGTTTGTGTATTTACTAGTTAACTTGAAATAATTTCATTAATTAACTTTAAGTTTAAAATTTATTGATAATGCAAATGATCAAGCCATAATAACATTCTAGTTGAAAAAAGATCTAAGTACATGCATGTTACATTTCTTTATCGATTCTTTACAATGATTTGGAAAAGATCCATACAAAATAAAATACTTTCCAATTTAAGAATGCTTCATAAATTTACAGTCTTTAAAACAATTAACACGGATTAGCAAAAGAGAAAAAGAATTCAATACAAGAAAATATTGTGTTACAGACTTTAAAGAAAGTATCTCCGGTGGCCGATGAAGATGGCTACGTATCATCTAAACTTGTCAGGAACAGACGGAAGAATAGATATTCCAACGTGCTTCCCGGTATGATACATTGTATTACAGCTTTCTTTGTGAACATTTGTGAACATTGTTTATAACTATGTTTATATAATCCTGTTAAAACTGCATGCCTAGATTCAAGTAACAATTTACATGTTATGTGCGATTAATGACTGATTTTGTAGTATCTTGCAATTACAGTTTTTTTTCTTGCATATATTGACTGCCTTTGGGGGTACAACATGTAGAGTGATCAATTTCATATGATCATATATGATCATAACACATTTTTTTTTATTTTTAAATTATCAAATTAATAAAATTTCTTGCGATTTCTTTTCAGTCGAAGAGTTCATGCCATCTTTGCTGTCATCTTATTCAGATAGTGACAACAGATACATAAATGCTGTATTCTTGCCGGTAATTGCAATACTTAATTTTCTTACTTGTAAATTATTTAGAAAAAAAAAGTCTATAAAAATATTTCATCTTTAAAGCATATATATTTGATAATATCTATATGCACTTTTTGCCGATAATTGATAGCTTAAAACAATTAGTATTATGTCATATATTCGTTTTGTTTACCCCTATTAAATGTGATAACTGGTTGGCTGCTTTTTTGTCAATAATTTTAATTTAATACTCTTTCGTTTCAATAAATAAAGAAAAATTTAGAGAAGTAGTATGTATATTTAAGTTTATATAGTTCTATATTCAAAAACAGTCTAAAACAGTGTTTTTCCCTCGATTATTTCAATAATTAATTTCTTGTTTATTTTAATATTTAGAGAGAAAAACAAACTGCATTTCTATAAATTCATTTTATTTCAATTTATGATAACAGTTTGGTTCAATAAAACAAAAATGATGATAAAGTAAAGTATATCAAAGTGTGTAAATAAAGGGACAATACTGTTAAAATACTCAGTTTACTTTTGGTTATACACATAATTGGGTCTACAAGGTAGGAGGACTTAGGTTGCTGGACTCAAATCATTAACCCATCACCGCTGTTTGTTCGAGTCCACCACGCATTGACCTTGAAACCTTTTATAAGAGGCAGCTATCCAGCCAGCTTATTTAAAGTCACTAAATCAAAAGTTCAAAAACATCAAACAACTTGGGCAACACAAAACAATGATGCAACTCTGAAAATTATAACAAAGAAATAACTCATAGTTCACAGCTTATAACATGACTTTTTAGGTCATTTTTCATTGTATTAAAATTAATTAATCAGAATTTTTATGAACGGTTACATTTGTTAGAGTTACAAAGAAAGAAAAGCCTTTATCATAACACAAACACCACTGGAAACCACAAAGGAGGATTTCTGGGATCTCATATGGGAACATGATGTCCACACTATCGTTATGATGAATAATTTAAAAGAATCTGTGGTATGATATAAACTGTTTTAAAACATTGAAACAAATGTTAAAAAATTGATACAATTTGCGTGCTAAGATCATGTTGGTGTCTCCTTTAAAGATACTTATTCTGATGCTTGTTTATTGCAAGTCATGCCATTATTTAGGTATTAATTGTGTTTCACATTGTCGTTTAAACTTCCGCTTTTATGAATGAAGAGTTGTCTGTTTGAAAACTATGAATTGTACTTAAGCCATATCATAATAGGCTCTCATGCTTCTATTTGACAATAATTATACAAAGTTCCATGTTTTGAACAACTTTAACTAAGTTATCTCGTGTTATTTCTTTACTTATAAAGCTCTTATCTATCATATCAAAGCTGTTTTGGAGTTTACGCATCAACCCACGGTATAAAAGAGTTATTTTTTAATAATTTGCACAGTATTCTATTTTATGAAATAATGAATAACATGAAGTTAACGTCTTTTAGAATTAGTAATTATACAGTAAGGAAAAACATAATTTTTCTATAATCATAATAACAGTCATGAGTGCAGCGTCTCGCCTTCCATAAAATTGTTCTGATTTCATAACCATGTGTGACTTTTCTTTTTACGCTTTAAAAAATAACAGTCTCCACTAGAATTTACACTTTCAGTGGTTACGTATTTAGAAAAAAATATTTTATGTTTTCATAAAGGATTCTGAGAAGTATTGGCCTGAGAAAGGTGAATGTGTTACATTTGGTAACATAGAGATCACCGAAGATGGTGTCGAAAAGAAAAGCCATCACCAACTTGTATCACTGTCAGCAAAGAAGCATAAATTGGTAATACAACTATTCCAATTAAATTCAGTGTAGTTAGCTTATCTGATAACTTTGTATCTAAATACAAAATACGGAATATATCTTAGCCCGACGCTAGATGTTGTGTGTTGTACTTTTAAAAATTTCTTAAATTTACTACATGTTTATTTATTGCAAATACTACATAACTTTCGAGATATTTTCTTTTTCAAAAGGATATTTTAATTTAAATGTCGAGGGTGTCCATTGCAGTGGTTGATGTAGTTGAATCTCGACGAGAATTGTGGATTTTGTTTTCATGTGAGGAACCTCTCCAGTTACCTGGCGGAATGTCAGTGCTTCTACTTAAGTAACGGCTTATGCCTGAAATAATGTATGGAGAGGCAACTGAGGTCTTCCTTCACCAATAAAGCTGGAAGGTCTCTATATGACCTATCTTGTGTTGGTCCCACGTAAAACCCAGCAACAACAACATTTAATGTATTCCTTTTCAAATATTTCAGACCCGTAAGATCAAACAGATTCGGTGTGGGGGATGGTCCTACAATAATAGTTTACCAGACTCCCCAGATGTTATACTAACACTGTTAGAAATTGTTAAAGTATGGCAGCGACAGTCTGGTCATCATACTATTGTTGTACATTGCATGTAAGTTATTTACCCCCAAGTTATACTGATTTATAAATTCCAAAAAAAGTTAATCGTAAATATAATATACTCATTTCTAATTAAAAGACTTCAGAAATGATATTGATACTTTTTTTTTCTCTCTGAAATAAGAAAGAAACACATTTACTATTTACTTTAATTAATTTATACATTTCATACACAATATTCTTTATTGCTTTAAGAGTCAAAGTTTAAATTGAAAAAAAACAAAATTTTTTGTAGATTATTCTGTAAATATTGACGTAAAGCATACAAACAATTTTGAAAATTGTAATGCAATTTGCTTACTGTATTGCCATCAAATTTATACTGTTAGAAAGAAACACATAAACTTTGGACATTATTTAATTTATACATTTCATAGACAATATTGCTTTATTGCTTTAAGAGTCATAGTTTAAATTGGAAACTAATTCACATTTCTGAAGATTTATCTGTAACGAAAGACGAAAAGCATGCATGCATTTTTGTAAAACCATGTAATTTTCTTACTGTATTGACAACACATTTATACTGACATGGCATGCTTTTCTTGCACATTGAATAATCTTACCAGGAATGGTGTGGACAAAAGTGGTTTGTACTGTGTGATATCAGCAGTTATAGAACGCTTACAGATCGAACAGGACGTGGCAATATCCCAGGTCATTGAAGAAATGAGGAGCGCTAGAGAACAGATTATACCCTCTGTGGTAAGTATTGTTATCTGTGAACAAAATATTAATAAATTGGATGATTTACTCAACAGCCTATAAACAACATATTAGTTTGTGTTGTTTTTTGCGCTTTTTACCATGCATTTTTTTGATAAATAAAGAATCATCAAAAAACTTTATAGTGAATAAATTCGTATGTTCACAGTTATGGATTGAGATTTAAAGCAGTACTGGATTTCGTAAAACTAGTATATTACAAAATATTGCATATATGGATTAAGTTAAAAAAATATTTTGTATGTCTGAAGGTTTGACTTATAAAATTTTGTGTTCTATTGTTCAGTTGCAGACCTACGTATTTCCTCATGCGATGTTATTCCCTTTTACGCTCGTATAACTACTTGCATAGATTATACTAAGGAATATTTGATACAATGTAATGTAATTTTATGATTGCAGGAGCAATACAAGTTCTGTCATGAGGCTGTCCTTGAATTCATACACCAGTTTGATACATATTCAAACTTTACTGAGTGACAATGACATTGTGCTGCTAGAATTGTTGTGGTTTAACACTGACAAGAGACAAGAAACTTTCAAACCTTAAAGACATTTTTGAATTATTTGATATGTATATATACGTATATGCCTTTTGCATTTCTGACTCAATCAAAGCGAGTCTGTATTTTACATGTAATTTTGTTGTGCTCAATGCTTCTGAGGTATCACCCTTTCCCCATATCTCTGTATAATATAAGATTGTGAAATATTCTTTAAAAGATGTAACTATTGCCAAATGAGAAAACAATTCATTATCAACATTGGTTACTTCTCAATAATATTCAAAATGGAGTAATACATTATTGCATTTTAATCAATGCATAAGAAAGAAATATATAGTGGGTAAATTATATAATATATTGATTTCGACTGCAACATTTTGTTACACTATTTTATTATTTAATTATTTGCACGTATGGATTTTTATTGTCCATCAACACTTTTCTCTACAAGTTACGCTTTCATATAAATACATTTTTATCATAGAACGATTGAAAATCCTTTGTGTTTCTTATTCCTGAAAATATGTCCCATCGAATTGAATTATTTGGATTATAAACTGTAATGACATTTTATAACAGAAAGCATGTTATAGACCGAACCTGTACAATTATCGTCTATGATAATGCTTGTAACACTTAACATGCAATCAGAGGAGCTATATTTCATATCCTTGTGGATCTCTTTAACGGATATTTGTTCGTTATAGTACTTTCATTATCTAATTTTGTATTATTTGGCGTTGAACACTTGAAAAGTCTAGAACCACCTTTATGATATGTTAATCTTTTTTCGTCAAGAGACAGAATAACCTCTGACCCAATTTCAAAACAAAAACAAAAAATAAATAAATAAATATTTTTAGTTCCATCCATTACTATCTTGCTAAGGAGACATTCAGTTTATGTCTCGGGATCAAGTGCCGCTATTCTTTTTTTGTTGTTGAAAGTTCCGTGATCACTGCTGTATGAACCTTTCTCATGTTTCTAAATTAAACACAAATTTCGTGTTAAAATTTTGTTTTCTGCATAAAATCGGTTAGGTGGGTGGTTGTTGAACCCGCAAATTTTTAACTTTGCAGTAGTGAACAATTTTTAAAGTTTGTTTTAGTTGTACTACTTGAAACTCGAAACATTTACCTATTTCCTTTAGTGAGCATGCGGCAATGAAAGACAATATAATGTCCTCACCCAGTGTGATAAAGGCACTGTTTTGGAGACAAATAAACAGGATGTTAGCAAGTATTAAAAATTAAAGCACATTTTTTAAATAACTGAAAGTGTTATATTGACGTACTAATACCTATTACATTTTTAAAGTTTGACCTGAATAAGTTACATCATATGTGCACGGATATACATAAATAGTAGACCAATATTGTTTTGAAATGATAAATGCTTGTAAATGCAATCTCCGCACTGAAGAGCTCTAAAATATTGTGGCGGTTGTACAGTAATTGCCTCGACCATTAGTCAGGTCACATCCGTGTGTTTGTCCGGTTTTGTTTGTCGGGGCATAATTTTACAAGCTGTTATATTCTTGCAACGTTTTAGTGATATAGACCTCATTAAATCCAAGTACAGCGCTGAAAATACCAACCTTTTGCATAAGTTTTGAGATGTATGCCCTTTTAAATTTTTCAACATTACACATCACCGAGAGATAGATCTTGTGGAGAAATACATATTATCAGTACCATAACTCTCTTTTGCAAAACTTTAGAGTAATTGTTCCTTGTAAATACTTCAAACCTAATTAAAGTCTGGGGCATAACTGAAAAAGTGTTAAAGTATCAAGTTGAAACTCCATAGATTAGTAGATTTCATTCAGATAAATTGCAGTGTCAAATACCCATACTACCCTACTTTTTTCCAAAATTTAGAGTTACGATCCTTCAAGTTTTTTTTTAAAATTTTATTTTGTGTCTAGAGCCTGTCATGTATCAACATGATACTATATATTCATAGTACACACTAATGTAGTTGCGTGCTCGTTTCAGCTATAAAATAAACACAGGCTGTGGCATGGTTTTTGTCTTTATGTATATTGAACTTGAGAAATTAAGCATACTTTTGTAATTATAGACATTGACATCGTAGCCTATAATTATTCCACTGTTTATATTTATGTACCTATAAATTTTTATTAAGTGAAATGTTTGCCTTATTGTAAACATACTTTCTTATTTTGCTAAAACATATATTAAACAAATAAAGCATGGCCTTGAGGGTAATATGCAAGTTGACGGACCGGTTGGTCCGACTGAGAAAGGTATATGGCCCGAAGCGCAGCTGAGGACTTGCATTTTGCCCTCAAGTCCATGTTTTATTTGTTATACTATACCACATCTAAATTCTTTGCTGTCAAACGTGTATTAAGGGACCGTCCAAGGGGAACATAAAAAATGGTCGCTTAAAGAACGGTCTCTTAAGACAAAGCATGAGAAAAAAATCAAAATTTATACATGGAAACTTTCATTGGAAAAATATTTTTTAACTTCACTAATATAAATGTATGATAATAATTATGCTCCGATCATCTAAATAACTGCTAAAAAATAAATTAATAAATTGTGATTTGATTGTTGACACTTGTGACATCACGAGGCGGCTTTCTCTAAAAACACAAACACTTGACAGGTAAAAGTGGCCGATTGATGAAAAGAATGATCTCAATTAATTGAATAATTAGCAATCACCGGTCGCGTTGAGCAAAAGTCGCTTAATACACGTGGTCGCATGGGCAAGTTAAATTGTTTTGTCTGTTAGTGTTGTTGTGAAATTCGCACGTTGAGAAAGTCGCCTTAAAACAGTCTGACTGGGTAGCCGGTCTGTATGCTGGAGGGCGTCATATATAAAATGCAGGGGGAAGGAAAGGCAAATTAGGTATAATATTTTGAAATAATAATGTTTGTCTCCCGCGAAAGAATGACAAATCATAAGCCAAAATACCATATGAAGATCTCTGAAGTTTATCTTCGTGCTAATCACATTTGGCGATTGTGAAAACATTTCATAAGTTTTACAAACACCATTAATTTGTGATAAGTCGCTAGGCTTAAGATTGATACATAAGAGAGAATCGCCATACAAATATATCCATTCTGCGGAATCTTTACAGCTATGTTTACAATAATTTAAGCCATTTTAAGACAAACCTGAAATTAATTTAATATTCGATGATAAAGCGATTGATCAAATCGAATATCCCCATTCCCCATTCATGAAACTCATCCACAGACAATAAGTCGTTCTCTGACGTGTCTAAGGACGTTCGACAAAGGAAGCTAGGGCTTGGTTATGAAGAATGCTACATAACAATGTATAATGTAATATTGATATCATCAAAAACTGGTCTATAGTGACAGTATATCAAATCAAAAACTGACAAATTGATAAATTGCAATTGTAGCATCTTTAAAGGGAAAGCAGAGCTAAATGCAAAATATTTGTTTTTAAAATTGTGACCTCTATGTGATCTATGTTGAAATAACACTGTATCAATTGTTTGGGGTATTATGACATATGTCACTGTTATCATCAAGCCAAAACAATGACGGTGTGCAAGTTGGATATTGGCCTCGTGTATCAATCTTTCTGTTCAGAAAAGACCTTGTACTCCGTCGAAATCCTATGCATGCTATAAACTTTATTTGGGTTCAATGTCCCTGGTTATCGTTTTGTCGAGGCTGTCATCGAGGAAAACAGTTACCAAGTACAGTAAATCATGAAAGTTTTTATATTTATTGAACCTTCTAATTGAATGGAATGAAAACATAATGATTATGTTTATGAAAGGCTTGTGAAAATCAATGAACAGTATTTCACAGTGGTCATTATGATTTGATTTTCTTTACGTGTGATGTTACTGGATTGACTTTTTATCACTGATTCAAGTGTAAGGAAATGCGAGTAGCCCAGATTTTGATATAATTCAGATGTCATTTTACAATATTATTTGTGAGATAGACTTGCATACATATATGAGTTAAAGCGAGATATATACTGAAAAAGTATGCAATAATTTGGTATTTTTCCTGAGAGATACCCTTTGTGAAAACTTGCTTGTGTTACTCACACAATTCTGTTATTTATTTTAATGATGGTTATTTTGTGAATGAAATGTGTTGGAAGATATTAAGTGTTTTAGAGCCCCCTGAAACCCTTGCATGACGTAATGTTTTATTTAGAAAAATGAATTAGAAATAAACAAAATATACATATAAACTTAATGACATTTGAAAATAATTGCAAAGCTTAATGATATGAGCAGGAGACTTCCGTGTCTTATCTAGGTATTCAAATGAATCAGCAACATTCTGTTTTGTTGAAGTTGACGAATGATTTCGCTATAGCAACGTATATATTTTGTATGTTCATTCTCTGTTGAAATCTTCTTAAGCCTAGCGACTTATCACAAATTAATATGGTGTTTGTAAAACAATTAAAGTGGTTGTTTATATGTTTTTACATATTTGTGTGTCTAAATCGTACGTGACTTTGAAGAACATGCTTAAAAGAGTGAAAAGAACATATATTATATACGCAATTTGTGTTGTTGTTACGTTAACGTTAAATTAAGCTTAACATTAAATCATTAAATGTATAACCACGACGACAATGCTATCACTTTTAAGTATATACCTTTAAGTTTTGTGGTAAACATAAAATCGTTTTCTCAATCGCCAATCGTAATAAGCACGAAGCTAGAACTATAGAGATCTACATATGGTTTCAAGCAGGTGCCGTGTGGCAGCTGTTAAAGATGCACCGTACTTCTCTTTGGTGTTGTTATACTTTTCTGGTCCTTTCGGAAGTATTGATTTCAACACTTTTCAGTATTGTAAAACTGAGCACCGCTCTTGATTCCAACACTTTTGAGTGTTGAAAATTTAAAACCGCTCAAGCCGGTGCTACGGGACGTTATGAATGTTGCACTCTTTCATTATCCCTCATGTACAGGCTCAATCAAACCGAGTCTGCAATTTTTCATGTAATTTTGTTGTTATAAATGCTTCAGAGGGATCACATTTTGTCCCGACTCTTTTTGTTGGTTTGCGTCCTGAAAACCACTTTAAGTTTACAATATGTCATTGTTTAACTGGAGACAAAAGATTGTCCAATTGTATGGTGTAACAAAATGAGTATGTTAACAAAAGGGCAATCATTTCACTTAAAGATATATTATGCTCATCCTTGAGCATAATATTTAATCACAACAAATGTACTGAAATCCATGAAATTTTTAGCGAATATGTCTTATTTCAATAGAATAATAAATAAACTATACATGGGAAGCTGAAACTGCGTTCTTTATTTACAGTTCGTGTAAAGTTGGTCTTTAAAAAAACAACAACAAAAACTGCTAGTTTTTTTAATGACACTATATATTCATTTATTGTGACCACCTACAGTATGTAGAATTTTAGACATTACATACCTGCTTTGTGTGAAGTCAAAATATGTTTATTTTATATGTACAAAGGGAATGTGTAGTAATTATCAATATTTACTAATACCAAATTTAAATTTAAACATAGTATATCTTTAATATTATGTATAGGTATTTAATCAGTCGGGCAAGGGTACCGGCTATTTATCAATTTCATTAATTACAAAAGTATGATTAGTTCATTACGTAGGAATAAAAAAAGATTTGTTTATTTCATATCTAGAACTATCATGCCACTTCGATTGGTGAGTTTGGTAAACATAAAGTTTCATGCAAGTCCATCATATTGTCGACAGGGAGGCTAAAGACACAAACATAATATTATAAAATACAAACTTAAAGGATTGTAAAAATTATTGAAAACGATAGTTTGGGTTTTGGACACTGCAATTTGAGTTGAAAATATTTTCAAATGGAACATATCTCTAAACTTATGAAAATAATATTTATTTTAAGCGTTGAACTAACTTCGATTTAATGATGTGTATCTATCTATCAAGTTGAAAGTATATTACAATATTCAATTACAAAAGTATGATTAGTTCAATACGTAGGAATAAAAAAGATATGACGAATCACAGATTTGTTTATTTCATATCTGGAACTTCCATGCCACTTTGATTGGTGAGTTTGGTAAACATAAAGTTTCATGCAAGTCCATCATATTGTCGACAGGGAGGCTTAAGACACAAAAATAGTATTATAAAATACAAACTTGAAGGATTGTAACTGCAAAAATTATTGAAAACAATAGTTTGGGTCTTGGACACTGCAATTTTCCTGAATGAACTCTACTTATCTATGGAGTTTCAACTTAATACTTTTAAAACCTTTTCACTTATGACCAGGACATTTATTAGGTTTAAAGTATTTACAAAGAAAAACAACTTCAAAGTTAAGCAAAAGAGGGTTATGGTTCTGTTAATACTTTCTTCTTCATCAGATCTATTAACGGTGATTTGAGTTGAAAATATTTTCAAATGGATCATATCTCTAAACTTATTAAGCGTTGTACTTCGATTTAATGAGGTATATTTATCTATAAAGTTGAAAGTATATTACAGCTTTGTAAAATTATGCCCGAACAGACAAAACCCGACGAAAGAACGCATGTGACGGGACTAAAGAGTGTAATGGAGGACGAGTTGGCGGGAAAGGGAGGTGTTGTTTAAACAAAATAAACAAGCGACTTTTCCTTCGCAAAAATGGCTAAAGAATGAAAATGCATAGTTTGGTTGACTGAAAATGTCATGTGATTACATTGAACTCTCTGATTGGCTAAATACAATGCCCAAATCAACATAACAGCAGTGTTTCTGCTAGACTAGATTTTTGTGGGGGTCATTTGTGGCCCTCTGTATAAAAATATGGGGTCATTTGAAATAACGTAATGAAAAGACATCCAATTGAGGTAGATTTTGACTGTGTCAAAGAAATGCGCTTTGAAAATTTCAATGCGTCATTCGTGAAATTATTTCGTCAAAAAACGCAAGAAACGCTCAGTAGCCGAAACACTGAAAGGAAATTCCTTTATCGAAAAGTACAACTATGTTAAAATTTATATCATATGTTTATAAAAATATTTATCTCATTTATTTTACATCAAAGCTTCGGCCTCTGTACTATGTATTGGAAAATAGAAAAGTAACAAAATTATTGAATGAAAAAGTGCAAATCTATTTATTTGCAAAAAAAGTTTAACAAGTTGATACATAAACATAAAATGTATATTGCCTTATCAGGGCGACGAAAACCACCACTAAGGACCAGGAAACAGCCTGGCAATGATTCCTTATCTCATTTCCAATACAACTATGATCGGTAATAGTAACATCTTTTAAAGAAATAAAATACAATCTTATATTTTAAAGAAATGCAAATGGCATTATACGTATATACATATATATTAAATAATTCAAAAATGTATTTGAATTCAAAGTTTCTTGTCAAGTGTTCGTCAGTGTTCAACCACCATTTCATTAACACTAAGTTAAGTTTGAATATCTATCAAACTGATGTATAAATTCAAGGACAGTCTCATGGCAAAACTTGTATTGTTCCTGCAATCATAAAATTACATTAAATTGTATCATACATGTATATTCCTTAGTACAATATTAAATATATGTTAGTTGTTTAAAAAGGGAAAACTCCCGAATAAGAAATTAAAGAATTCTGCAAATAAGCAAAAGAATACAACATTAAATAAGTCTAAATAACATACTTACAGACTATTTTACTTAATCCATTGATTCAATATTTTCTATTATACTTGTTCTACGAAAACCTGAACTTTTTTATGTCAACTGATTATGGTGAACTTACGGTTTTATTCAGTATTAAGTTTTCTGGTAATGCTTTTTTATCATATAGTAAAAAGCGTAAATCAACAACAACAACAAACGAATATATTTTATACAGGTGGTTTCGTAAAACATCCTCTTTTTTCAACATTTTGTTCACAGATAACAATACTTACCACAGAGGGTATAATCTGTTTTCTAGCGTTCCTCATTTCTTGAATGACCTGGGATATTGCCACGTCCTGCTCGATCTGTAAGTGTTCTATGACTGCTGATATCACACAGTACAAACCACTTTTGTCCACACCATTCCTGTTATAATTGATTTTATATGGAAGAGGAAGCATGCTATATCAATGTTAGTTTGCAACTTGCGCTATCTTTTCCAAAACAGCTATCATTAATTGCAATGAATTAACAGAAAACGTAACTTATTTTTACATTTGAGTTAACATTGACTATTAGTTTAAAACAGAGGAAATGAATAGGGAAGGAATTCAAAATTAATTCATCTTTTAATTTCGAGTCAATAGCCCATGCATTTCTTTCTAATAACATTTTAGGTACATTCCGTTATCATTGTTTTTCACTTATTCTTATACGAGAACATGTTTCATTGGTATATCAGTTGTTCTATAATTATGTTAACTCAGTGAATTAAAATGTTCACAATAAACCAGGAAAAAAATTGAATTTCATGTCTGAAAAGTTTATCAACTTGTTATGAACTTGCAAATGTTACACGTATCATTTGAAATGATGAAAAATAAATGAAAGTATCATAGTCTACTACTACCCTCGTTTTGCAAAAGAGTTTGTATCAGTGAAACACTGAAATGTCGGAAAAAGCTTACATGCAATGTACAACAATTGTATGATGACCAGACTGTCGCTGCCATACTTTAACAATGTCTAACAGTGTTAGTATAACATCTGGGGAGTCTGGTAAACTGTGATTGTAGGACCATCCCCCACACCGAATCTGTTTGATCTTACGGGTCTAAAATATTTGAAAAGAAAGACATATATTTTTTGTTTTTGTTCGGTATTTCATCGCACTAACACAATATAGACTTTCCAGCTTTACTGGTGGAGGAAATCCTCAGGCCTCTTTGTGCATTGTTTCAGACACAAGCGATTACTTGGGTAGAACCATCATCAAACTGGATAGCTTCCTGGTAAAGAATCTAAAATTCCTGACATTTAAATCAAAATTATTTTTTGAAAAAGAAAATATCTTAAAAGATATGAAGTATTTGAAATAGATAAACAATGTTAGTTCTTTTCAGTCAATTTTTTAAACATTAAAACATACACCCTCTAGCGTCAGGTTAAAACATATTCAGTACTTTTTATAAAGGTATAAAGGTATCGAATAAGCTTAATTAAATAAACTGAAATCAACTGGATTAGTTGTATTACCACTTTTTGCTTCGTTGCTGTCAAAGATACAAGTTGGTGATGGTTCTTCGTTTCGACACCATCTTCGGTGATCTCTATGTTACCAAATGTAAACGATTCACCTTTCTCAGGCCAATACTTCTCAGAATCCTGCAAGGAAAAGTGAAAATGATCTTTTAAATACGTAACCACTGAAAGTGTAAATTTTAGTAAAGCTGCAAATTGTTCTAAGCTTAAAAAAGAAAGGTTGCAATGGTTACAACAATTGATATGAGATGCTTAAAAATGAGAACTTTTTTATAGAAGGCGAGACGCTGCACTTATGGCTATTTCAAAGATAGAAAAAATATAAGTTTTCTTACTATATCATCATTACTTGTAAAAATGTTCATAATTTCATATATCTTATACTTTACAACTTACTATCGCCAGTGTTTTATAATTATGTATAAATGTTTACATCTTTAAAGTCGGGCGGGCTATAATAAATAAGGGCTTTACAAAAAGAGATCAGTTAGTTACAGTTGATCAAACGTGGTATGTTGGTTTCTTTCAAATACACGATCTTCTGTAATTAAGCAAGCATCCTAGCAAGCAGAAAACTTACTTGTCACTAGTGCAAAAGCTTGCAATATAATGTATAAGGGAATTAATACCAAAATACTTACATTAACATTAAAATAGCATTAAAGCAGCATGCTTCAAATTTTATTCCAGTTTTGATGATACATGTGTAATTTTGAAAATGTATTTGGGAGTTAAATACAATATTTTGAAGTGAACAAAGAAAGTTATTTTCAAATTGCAAACGGCATTTACAATGCTTACGTACTTTACTAAAGTGAGCTCAGTATAATACTATGCAAAAAAGGGTTAATGCGCTTATCACGCAGTAGAAATATAATGCTAAACACTGCATCAGTCATAACCACACATAACAAGAAAATTATTACTCAAATCTTGTGATTACTTTCCTGGGTACAAATTTTCTCAAATTTTATTACATTAAAATATTATACAAGGAAAGTAAGTAGATCATACCACAGTTTCTTTAATATTGTTCATCATAACGACAGTGTGGACATCATGTTCCCAAATAAGATCCCAGAAGTCTTCTTTTGTGGTTTCCAGCGGTGTTTGTGTTATGATAAAGGCTTTTCTTTCTTTGTAACTCTAACGAATGGAACAGTTATATTATTCATAATTTGAAAAAAAAAACATCTCATTCTTAGCTATGTACTTTCATTTATTTCTGACGTTAATCAATGTCAGTGTAACATTAGCGTATTATGTATAATATCCAAGATGTTGGATTTTGTGGTTGGATTTTTGTTAAAATGACTCCGGCACTGTCATGAAGAGTAATGAATACTGCAATAACTGACAAGAACACAGCAGTTATCAAATATAATAAGGTTAATACTATCATATGAAAGATATTATTATTTTTTCATATCAGACTGATGTTTCGTGAGTTTAACCCATGCCGGAAATTTCATATTGCATAAATACAATTTTGTCACTTTAGCGCATTTTATCAATTAACCTAGTATGACGTTATTTGCCGTTATGGATGACGTTGTCAACTCACACGTTGTAATAAATTATTTACGAATGAAAAGACAATTATTTCCATGGAAATTTGTTTAAGTCGGGTAAAGAATTAGAAATAAGATGGAATATTGTAAAATATGCATGCAAAAACATCTGACATATGTTTGCAGTTCTACTGGGAATTCCGTCCATGGGCGGTAACTCGGTAAGTTATCAAAGTATTGTTAAAAGACATGAATTATCGACATGGAGACTGTCAACATATTATCAATTATAATTCTAAAAGATAAAGTATTTATAGACATTTTTTTTAAACAAATAAGAAAATTAAGTATTGCAATTACCGGCAGAAATACAGCATTTATATATCTATTGTCACTATCTGAAGATGTTGACAGCAATGATGGCATAAACTCTTCGACTGAAATGATATTGCAAGAAATTCATTAGTTCAGTGATTAAAAAATATAGATTTCTTTGTGATTATCTTTAAAGTCAATCATCTTATATTAATGTTAAAAAATTGCATGACATAGTCATCATGGTAGTGAAGTAAATGAATTACGATTTAAAAAAAATAAATTAAGAAATGGTTGCTTTATGTAAGATGGCCTTCGTTTACAGATTTTTTTTATTGTTCTTTAGGAAGATAAAAAGCTTTTGTGTTTCTCATGGATGAGTCAACCATTCGCCAGGTATACTAAATTATTTTATACTTAGAGTACATTGTGGTATGATGTAAGTTACATAAGCAGCATGCCACTGGACTCATGTTAATCTTCACGGCAATTTTGACAATGTACTTAAGAGTGAAATGTTGTCAAGTAATTAGAAAAAGTGATTTATTGTATTGCATTAGTCACGCAGTAGAAATATGTGGATACATACTGCAAAATCATTCATTAATCGAACGTGATGGGCAGGGACATAAATGTGTAATTTTGAAGTTTAGTATGGCAAATAGTTTAAAATCTTTCACACAGACAGATAACCAGTTGCACAGAATTATTCCATTCAGAGAGTCGCAAATACATACTAAGATACAAAAATGTTAAGTATTGGCAAAATACACAAAAATACTGATCATTTTTCTACACACAAACAAAAGAATTACATTGACAGAGAAATATCAAAAGTTTTCAGTACCTTCAAATCACCATGTCTGTATTATTGATAAATCTGACTGGGTCATAGTTCGAATATGCCTCTTGCCCCCAATATGTAAATTTTAACTTGCACCTTTGACAGAATACCTTAAAAAATAGTTATAAACGTTCATATAAAATGATGTAATATCCTACCGGGAAGTACGTCGGAATATCTATTCTTCCGCCTGTTGTTGACAAGTTTGGATGAAACGTAGTCACCCTCGTCGGCCACCGGAGACACTTTCTTTAAAGTCTGCAAAACATGTTGTTGTTTTTTACAAAAAATGTTATTCTCTTTTTGTAAATTTGGTCATTTTTTTAAATACAGTAAAATTATAAAGCATTCTTAATATTCTCTTTGGATCTTTTCTTTTCCAAAAATTTGATATAATACGAGTATGTAATATGCATATACGTGCATCTCTTTACAACAACATTTAAATAATAACATGCACTGGTTTCATCATTTGCATAAAAACACAAATGTAAAATTAGTGTAATAAAACAAACCTCAAATTCTAGAGTTAAATTCGACTTTTTCTTTTCTTTGTCCAACTGAATGACTTCCTTAAAAGCTTCTTGAAATTTATAGGCCGGTAGTGCCGATGTGGAAAGCATCAAAGATTCAATAAGGGCCTGGTGCAGAAATATATACTGGTCCTAAAAATTTATAATAATTTGACTATTTACCTATTTAAAGAGTTCCACTATAACAATTCAAAAACATTTTCTCGTTTTGGTTTTCATTTCAACAAGGCATAATTGTGAACATCTAGATTTCCATACCAGAGTTTGTACAAGGCATACTCGCTGTGACCGAAACGCAGTGATGGTTCCAAACACATCAATATAACGCATGACTTTCCCTTGCTCTGTCAGGAAGTCAAGAGCAATAAATATTCCAGTTCTTGCCACACCAGCACTATCAATCAAAATGAAATACGTTAAAAATGAAATAAATTAAACAAAATTAACTGCTGAATCGTTATATGACAATGTAATAAATGTGCATGAAATAAATGCCATATACCTTATATGGTCAAAAGCACGTTCAGATTTGAATTGTATAGTTCAAATAATAATGTTCAAATTTTGAAGAAAACATACCTGCAATGCACAACAATGGGTCCATTCTGTTCGACTATGTCATGTTTTAATCTACTCATGAATTGTACAAGTGAAGATGCATTTTTGGGAACACCTTTGTCTGGCCATGCAGTGAAATGATACTGTGTTACTGTCCGTGGCTTTTGTTTCGAACCTTCCTGAAGATGAGAATGGCCATGTATATCATTGAATATCGTGCAAAAGTATAAGTAGCATGACCAATTCACATGAAGATAGATTTAATACAATTGTTTATCATATAATTACCTTTTTCACTTGCAACGTCCTTTTCACAAATTGTGAGAAATTGTCAATTTTCTCTGTGCGTACTTTAATATTTCCAAACATATGACTGGTTCCTTCGTTTGGCCAATACTGCTCACATTTTTCCTGGAATCAGAATAGAAATATTTAAGTTCATAATAAAGAAATCAGGAAAATAAAGTATTTTGAATAATTCAGTGACTGATTTGAAAAATGATGACTGAAGAAAACGTTACCTATCGAGTGTTAAAACTACTGTTCAATTTTTAGTAGTGTATTTTCTACGCCTATAAATCAGGGTCGCTGACAGAATGTTACAACTCTAATTCATGTATTTTTCTCTGACTACGCTACCCATTCATTTATTAAAAGCTAACATTTTAAAGGAAAACATGCCATGACTTAGTTTACCTTCCCCTCTTCTATCAGATTGGTAAGCATAACAATCATTGAGCTCTCTTCCTGCCATATCATTCTCCAAAAGTCCAATAATATTTCCTTCGTCGGTCCTAAAGTTGAAGAATTTAAAATGCATGCATAAATCAAAACGATTGAATTGCCTTTAAAACTACTTTAAAGAATTCAGAATTGTAGAAGATATATGTAAATATCTATACGATAATGAAAAAGGTTTATGAACATACCTTGTGATGCTATATATTGTTTAAGCTTCGTGAAACCCTGAAATAAAAGTGTTTGCAAATGATTGAACTTTGGCAATTAGTTAAAAATTAAATAGATGTAAACAATGAAGGATTCAGAGTGCGAAATAGACTAGTTCATTCCTCGGAAGTAGATCTTTCAATCTAAAGTTTTAATATCAGGTGAGTCTGTATAATCTGCTATATTCAACTGTTTATATCCAGGTATTTTTGAAAAGAAAGCTTTTCATAATAATTAACACGTTATCAAAACAAAAGAAAAAAACCCAGAAAAAGACGGTTTACGGGAGTTTTTGAATAATTATAATACATAAGCCATCAGTCATCTTACGACTGTCATATTTGTTACAGAATATTCTTCTTTACTTACATGCACATAACAGGCATTTATATAATCCGACTGTGATGCTTCGTCAGTTTTTAATACAACTCGTGTGTCATCATCTATATCACACAGAGAAAAGATCTTATAAATTCTTATGTCGACTTCGTGATATTTTGCATTTCTAACAATCATGTGTCAAACAATAAAAAAATGTTTGTTATGCGAGTACAAAAAAGAAAAGCGCATTACTAAGAAACTTAAGTGTTTTCTATGCATAACAATTAAATAGCTGAATCATATCTATATAAACAATACATACACGCATAGAGATTCATGTATCGATTTTTAATTATGTTCTCCTTTTTCAATGCTTCTTTGTGAGGTCGAACCATTCCTTGAGGAAGTTCCTGAAAATATCAAAAATGTAGAACTAGTTATGCATTTGTAATAATGTTTATTTTCGACACATTCCATGTTACTTATGTAATATTTTCAATAAGTAATTGTACATATTAGGCAGTTAAGCATGCAGCGTTTATTAACACTTTAACCTAAAAGTAGTTTTAGAGTAAAACCTTTATGTATAGATATAAAGCTTGAAATCTTATAAATGTAATATAAAGCATGAACAAGGTCGAATAAGACGGATGACATTCAATAATCGAATTTCCACTGACGACCAAACAACACATCACTTAAACATTTTAAATATGAATATAAATATGTTTTGCTTTTAATTAGTAAATTCACAAGCATGTAATTTAAATTATTCAATTTATTAAGTGAAATCTATAAGAAATATCATATGTGAGTTTTTCCTTTAGAATCATCACAAGTGAATAAAGAATAAAAAGGCATTACATTGAACTCTTGGTCAAATTTCCGTTTGGCATCAAAACCGGTCAAAATCAGGTCACAAAGATCTTTAACAAGTATTGCTGTTTTAGGAACATTGTTGACATTCGTGAAGCTGTAGTAAGATTCTGACTTAAATGAATCCAAATTTTGGTCAGAATGTTTCATAATATTTGTGTTTGCTTTCTCCTTTACATAGCTGTATGTTCCATCACGTTGTGGAGAATCTTTTGAAATACAAATAAGCAAAAAGTGTGTTACTCATTTATATATAGTTACATTCTTGCATTGTTTGTTAGTTCGCAATGAGTATATGAATGTACGAAAAGGCTTACGAGGATTGATCAAAAGGTATCGGCCCAATACACTTCCGGTAGTCAGAGAACCCGACTTATGGTCTTACTATTCTATATTATCGCCCTCTACATTAATGCACGTTGCCCACCTGTGCTCCAACTTGTTTAACACTCCAAAATAGAACTCTCTATTTTGGTCCTCAAAGAAATCATTGACCGCCTCCATGACACCTTCATTGCTCCCAAAACGTCTACCAAAAAGCTTGGTTTTCAGTTTCGGAAACAGGTAAAACTCAGAGGGGGTCAATTCCGGAGAATAAGGCGAATGGTGAAGAATTTCAAAGTCGCAGTCAGTTGCAGCAGCCATTGCAATTTGGGATTTGTGAGCTGGCACAACCTTGTGGAAACCTTTGACATGCCATAGACAATAGTCAGAATCACCTGAACTGAACCAAAGCTTATACCTACTTCCCTAGCAATGCTTCGCAGGTCTCGCCTTCTGTCGCACATGACCAGATCGTGCATAGATTCGGCAGTTGGTGGTCAATTTTTGCCGCCCGGGGTTGCTCATCATCTCCATTGCTCTCCATACCCCTCTTAAATTCAGCAGCCCATTTTTTCACAGTGCTATAGGAAGGGGACTCCTTCCCAAGTGTATCCATGAAGTCTTTATGGATTTCCTTGGGGGACATTACCCTTTCTTACAGAGGTACTTAATGACGGCTCTAATTTCAACTGTCTACATTTGGTCTAAAAGACACAACCCACTATTGACAAAGTGTGCTTTATGTTACTTAATCTGTGTAAAACCGCGTGTAAATCGGTCAGTAAATCTTCGGTAAGATATCGGTATCGACGTATCGTGTGTAAATATCAGTGAAGTGGCTAGAAGTATATCGGGCCGAGAATTTTTGATCGTACCTCGTACATAAGGGCTTATTTCAATAACGGCTTATTTTGTCGTTTTTATGTTCTTTAGGGATATTGTTTTTCTCTATATTACACATGAATTTGCTTTTCATTGTTAAATTACTATGGTTAAATGAAATAAAAATGACTACTATTACACATAATTAAATTTTTAATAAGATAATTTACATCTATTATTCTAAATAGCAAGTAGAAACTTATGCGAACATTTTGAGAACGATGACATTAGTACATGTATCGTTAAATACACTGCAAGAATACCTCTATAATTTTGTAATGTTTTATTTTGAAGTATATATATTTGCCATATTTTATTCTGTTCAAACAAACATAAATTGATCAATTATGTATCATTATTAGAGCAACTTTACCAGTTGTGGTATTGACACTCGTGTCTTGGATCTCCGTATAAACATCTTCTTCTGAATTTGAAGTATGTCTATCGTTACTGCTTATTTCCCACAATTGTGCATACGGCTTTGGCTTTCCAATTTTATCGTCTTTCTTCCTTCTTTATTTTAACATCAAATTAATAATAAAGTTATATTCATGTAAATCAAATTGAAAATTCTAGGCATTATTATAAAGTAGATGGAAATTAATTGTACTGATCAAATGTTAGAAAGGAACGAAATAATTCGATGACTTCATTTTACTGCAAACATAAGGGCAGATACCTAAATACATTGTTTTGTAATTAACTTATTTCAATCATTATTCTCTTTAATCATGCACGATTTAAAGAAAGTCTTGGTAAGTTTTTCTTTGCCTTTGTAAAACAATACTACAAGTTCCAGTCTTAGGAAATAATTTTAAACATGAATCATTTTACAAAGGTACAATTTGAAAACAATCTGCTGCCGACTACATTAAGGTCTAAGACGAGCTAAGTCCCTTTACCATAATTACATATCAACATAAATTGATATTTACCTTCGATATAAAATGAAAACAACCGCTACAATTGCACTTAAAACCAGCACGATGGCGGCAGACACACCACCTATTAATGGTGCATTCGTATTTTGGGAAGCAGTATCTGTAGAAGTATCTGTAGTTCGCACTATTTAATTAGATATAAATGCACACTTGAACCAAACATAATATTTTACAATTGTTTTTAAAATATTTGAGTTATTTTTCATAACTGAACACTCGTGCCATTTACGTCTTTGTATATTGCGTAATCAATTTTATTGATTAACAGTTGTTCAAACGCTATACATGTATCTTAATATCAAAACGTCCCTGCAAAAAGATTTTTTGAAATAAATGTGGCGTAGTTTTCTTTACAATATGTTTTATTTGAAAATGAATCCCTCGCCATCAATTAAAAAAATCAATAAATGAGAAAAGAAATAGTAAAAAAAACAACATAAAAAGACTAACTGCATGTAACTGGTTCACTGCCCCACTTCCCATACATTGTGCATGTCCTGCTTTTGTTGTTAGGATTCGATAGTTTAAAACGGTCATTGCAAGCTGCAGTAACAATTGTTTTGTATGGATATCCGCTAGATAATGCATCTTTTGAGTAGTTATAAAAGCCGTCTTTTAGTTGTTCAAGACCACGACAAGTAACTTGAATGCAATGGCCTAATTCACCACTCCACAATTTATTTTCTAAACATTGTATCACAGAAATGGAAGCATTATTCACGTGTCCAGTATTACAATGAACACGTATCATATCAAGGTAATTTAGTTCTCCACCCGTATATTTTGCAAATGAGCCATTGATTTTTTTCTCTATATACATTGCGTTTGCTGGATTTTCCGGAGACTTGCATGTATTGATTTTACACTTTGCATTTCCTGTCCACATTTTCTGGTCATTGCATAGTCGTTCCTTGGTGCCTTGAAAGGTATAGCCTATATTACAAATCAAATATATCTTTGAATTGTAATTTAAAGGGCATTTACTATAAACACTGTCATTTGCAAATCTGTATTCACCATTTGCTATACGTTCTGGATCAGAGCACTGTTTTATCTTACATACAAATGGTTTACCGCTCCATTCTGTGTTGTTTAGACATACTCTAGTTGAACCGTTAATTATGTCATATCCCTTCAAGCACGTTCCCGATATACTTGTTCCAATAAATACCGTAAGATTCTGTACATTCGTATTAGTGCCTATGGTATATAGTCCATTAGCTGGATTTGCTGGTATAACACATTTAATTTCGACACACTTGGGTTTTACATTCCAACGCGCCCCATTGTCAGTTGTTTTCAGACAAGTAATAGTTGGATACTTTGCTTTATAACCGTATTCACAATAAACTGTAGCAACTGTACTGACTTCGAAAAATGGCTTGTTTGGCTTCAATCCTCCATGTGACACTTCACTAGATTCACAAACAGTTGGTGGAGCTGAAATATACAATATGAATACCAGGTACAAGCAGTTAGTGATGTGTGTTCAAAAAATATAATTATTCTAAAATATTTGCCATCCACAAATCCCTTTGATAATGATTTTTATAAAGCTTTCTTTGACAACTTAGTTAAAAATCTAGAATTTTACGTTAAAGCTAAATAAACTGACAAAAAATCGTTTAAAACAAGTATGTATATTCCAAAAAGGTTCTTACATTCTCATTCTTGATATATTTATTATTTGACTTAAATAAGGTGTTAATACTCATAATTTCATTCTAGATGTATTCATAACGATAAATCGCGATTTATTATTAAATAACCCGTACAACAGATTCTTATATCACACATTTATAACAAATTGGTATTCTCTTAAAATTGTTTGGTGGTACTTTGAGGATTACTTAAGTGGAACAAAAATCCATTTACTGAAAGAATGGCTGATGTGTTTCTGTCTGACTTCCTGGTTAATTACTTTTTTTCAATCTTTACATGCGTTACGGTCCTTATCGTTATTTATATTTTCAAAATAACGCCGCGATAAATATGGACTTCTTCTATACGAGCGTCTGGTTTAAATATATTTATTTTAGCTCGATTGCACAACAAGTTCTTGCAGCTTATATTAATCGGTTTTGAGTCCGCTTCCAGGAACCAACCAGTACTGGCGTCATATGTAGAAAGATGGTCGTGTACGCGCGTGCTTACAGACAAAAACACTTAAAAATAAAAAAGCGTATGTCACAGGAATACTATTTTGACTTATTATCACTTTTTATTACAACACAAAACAATTATTTTAATACCTGCATATATCTTAACTTCGCAAAGTGTCAAATAAATTTTATCATTATCCGTTTGCGATCTGCGCTTTGGTAAGATAATAGCTACAGACGAAAACAAAATTACAGTGTCCACTGGTATTTCAATTACGTCTTCATTATACTTGTTATGTTCTTTATCATCATAGAGCTGACACCAGCCGTCTATGCATCCCATACCATTTGAAACAAATCCAAACACTTGAAAACCGTCAAGACGATACTTCAAATCTGAAAATCAAGAGAAAGAAATAAATAGACAATAAATAAGCACGCTAACAAACAATATGGAATATCCTTATCAGAGAAATATTCAATAATGCAACTGGTAATTGGATAAACATCCTGTTGTTATTCAATAACCGCACTGATATGTTTTAAAATAAACACATCTTTTATGTTATATAACTGCACTGGTGTGTGTTGACTGTGGTTATGTTTAACTGGCACACTTACGTTATTATTAATAAACAAATTTGCATGTGTTGAACAGACACAACAGACACAATGAAGTGTATTTAAGGTTTCCGTGACCGAGTGTTTAAGGTAGTTGACTTTCCAATCACCGCTGTAGTTTTGAATCCCACCAGGACTTTTTTGAGAAAGCTATTCTGCGAGCTTGCGGAACGTCGGCCGTTCTTCTCAGGTGCCCGTTTGTGTCTGAAATAATGCACCAAGGGACACCTAAGATTTTCCTCCACTAGTAAAGCTGTAAAGTCGCCATATGACCTGTACAGTGTTAATGTTACATTACCGCCCCCCCCATCAAATGACTTGTAGTCTATTTACATGAACATGTACAGACGAAAGGTTTGTTGGATCAATATTGGCAAGTGTTCAGCAGACACAATGGCGTGTTTGCACAGATGATTGCTTATTAAAGCAATCACTCTCAAATGCAGATTCAATCTACACATACTGACCATTATTCAGTTTCATGACTCTAGGTCAAATATGATTGGGCTACGCGCGTCACAAATTAAAAATTGCATCTTTTACTAAGTCAAGGGCAATTTAAAAATGGATCTATAATAAGTCAAGGGCAATTACTGACTAAAGCAAATCAATCAACACGCGTTATCCAGGTGCACAACTTTAAATACTGATCACAATTCCTGTAAAGATTGTTGACTCTAGCTGCTCAAGCACACTTATATAGCTACATGTGGCACAGCATGAGAACGCAAATACGAACACACGAAGACATGCACGGACTCGGAGTTATAATTTAATGACATAAGCCCAATATTACGTTTTGTCCAAAAATAAAGAAACCACCAGTAACGGTAACGATTCTGAAAACACTTGTACCCGTGAACTCCGAAAATAAAACCCCAATTTTTCTGGTACCCTCGGTATATTTTGTTTAAGCCTCAATAAAATACATGTATGTTAAGTGCTTTTGCTTCTCCGTAGGTATCCTTAGTATAACAAAAATAAGTTATTTATATACTATTTTAAAATTAATTATGTTAACTTCTAATATGATATGTGTTATCTAAAGCAATACATATAGGGTGAAAATATTGAGAACGAATTACGCAACTTCTCGGTCCTTTCCGTCAAACTTCGGATAAGAACCTCGAACACAAATAGTTTTTCCCACTTTATTGGATATAAATAAGTCTACATTAAGTAAATATTTAGATATAAAATTAAACAAAACATTATTTATATACTTATCTTTATGATTGTTGAAACCGAACGTACATAATGTTTACCCGTTGACAACAATTCGAATTCGGTTATAATTGTATATCAGCGGACATTTTTTTATTTAATATGATAATCAAACATATTTTTATTCAAAATTTTCCCAATAAAGACTTTATTTTGCTTTGGATGTCAAATATAAATACATTCGCTATACTTATCAAAGATACACACACGCAAGCACGCACGCGGATACAGGTATATAATTGTAATGTAGATAATATAAAAACCTTAACAATGCAAAATTTAAAGACATTGCATGCCAGATAATTATATTGAACCTGTTTTTAGACTTTTCACGACTGTCCACATTCCCTACAATTGCCAAAGAAGTACTCATTATTTAAACAAGAACATGATTTTTATCAACAATCGATCTTTTCATACGGTGCTTTCGTGAAAACTTCAAAGTGACACTTTCTTGTCATATTACGTAAGCGGCGCATGGTCCAAAGGCAAAAATAATATGATAGTTGTATCCTAAACCAGAAAGCGCGAAGCTAAATTAAAAGGATCGGAGATTATGAAGTCGGAGTATTAGAGCTGCAAAAATAACAGTTATAGAACAATCAACAATTTTTAACTTTAGAAAATAAATTTCTAGAACTAAGAATAAGTCAATCAAAACAAAACTTACCACGTCTGTTAACAATGATAACACCAGAGACATTAAACGAGCCGCGAAGATCAACTTTCCACTGAGCATTACCGTAGTTTCTATCATAATAACTAAGACCCGAGGTGTGACTACAACTGCCATAGATAAAGTCACTGTTTTCATTACCGTCTACCACTAAACTTGCTGAATAATTTTCAAATGTCCCAGGGCTTTGAACAGCTGGTTTATGTAAAGCAATATTTGGTCCTGTAAATAGATAAAACAAAAATATATTTATTCCGTAATAAAACAAATAAAAATTAAAGTCAAATCAAGAAAACTTTGAACTGTATAGACCTTTTTACAATACGATTTTCCATAGCAACGATTGTTGCATTTCGCGCATGCGCATTCTGCATAGGGCAAAACGCAATAACGATGTCTACAGTTTATCATATATACTTAAAGGCTTTAATAGATGCGATTTCATGTAATGTCACCCAAAAAATATTAATTTTTGGATGACTTAAGGCGGAAAGTACTGAAAACATGAATTTATTTTTTAACCGATCTACGAAAATGTGCGGGAGTAATAATTCAATGGTCAAAACGGGCACACACATGTCTTTGTTTAAGGTATCATTAGACGACTTTTCCTTCAGTAATTTAAATTGAAACAGCAGGGTGTTAAATTTTATTACCCCTGTATTACATAATATTACACAATTTGTATTGTACACTTCCTTTGAATAACTGGATTGGTCAGGCGGCAAGTGTCGAACAGATTGGCACGCGAACGCTTGTTGATTCAACCGGGACGTTTAAATATCATGATATAACGTTAGTTAGTCAGTTACGCTTATTAAAATGGTAATTTATGTAATTTTTAAATATACCGATCAATGTTTATGGATTTTGAGAAGAGAAAATTTGTGTGACGTGCATTATTAAAAATAACATGTATTACGAAAAAAAGGGATAAAATGTGTGTTAATTATATCTCTTCCAAACAACCCATCTTAATTTCTCAAGATTTTGAAGAAAAAAAATAATTATTTAAAATCTATTTATGTGGCTTAAATTTTTCTGCTTGCACCACAGGCAAATCGGATAAAGGATATAGTCAGGTATATTGAACACTAAAAATGCATTATCACCTGTTCTGATATTTTTTCTGAATGATAATTAATCTCGATTTCATGTTATATAATTTCTGTTGTTTTTATCTTATTATTAAGATATTTTATATAATTTTCTACCGTTTACCTTGAACTAACTCGGAATCAATGAACTATATTTCTATGTAGGGCGAAGCATTTTTTGCCCTACGCAGATTACGCATGAGCGAAAAAAATTCTAATTCCGGTCGAGTTTTCATAGCAACGGACCGCGTCGTAAAAAGATCTATAGATATATGTGTCTGGAGCTTAATATAAGATATAATTTCTTATTGGCAGTTAAATGTATATGTAAATTGCAATATCAAAGATAAAATCGAGCTGATTTTTTTTTCAATTTGATAAAAATTAAAATGTTTCTTTTTCAAAATGACCATTACGATATATCCTTAGGTTTAACACATTAAAGATGCAAACAATTATGATTAATGCTTATATAACTTATAATTCTGTTTCATTTAAATGCCTATTATGCCGCAGAAATTATTCAATTTTTATTCCTCTAAAGTTTTTTTATATTTAGCGTTCTTTTATAGTTTCCAAAATGTTAACCACTGGTTAATTACCTCAACATTTTTTTCTTCTGTTGTCTTTTGGCAATAAATTGAGTGAGAATGATTAACACTTTGTATGGAAGTCAAACACTTATTAGTTTAAATTTGGCTAATTCTAAGTTTCTTCAGGTAATAAACATCTTTCATGCTATAAATCCAAAAATTGCAAAATCATACTTCCGCGTTGCCACAGGTCCGCTTTTGCTAAGTTCAGATGTGGAACTGCACCACTAAGAATAGAGACAGATAGATATGAACGCCTACCAGTAAATGAAAGGCTTTGTCCTTTTTGTAATGACAAGGTAGAAAGTGAATTTCATGCTGTAATGGAATGTTTTATGTATGGAACTATTCGTGTAGATCTATTTGAAAAAATAAGTGTCAAAAACCCACAATTTCACACAATGACAACTATGTAAAAGTTTAATTTTATATTCTCAAATACGAGTTGTGTACGGTATATTGCCAAAACCTGCTCTGACATACTTAAGAGAAGGGTAACTTTCCTTTACATATAAGAACATACAAATTGCTCTCTTTTTCCTTTTTGTGTTATGTCTTTTTATATATTTTAATTTTAATTTAAATTATGTACATTGTATATAAAAGAATAATAGGTAAATGTTTTTACTGGAATGTAGGTTTTAAGATAAATATTTTAACCACAGTAAGTCTGTGTTTTCACATCTTTATCAATTTTTCAAAAAGTGAATATTATTTTATACATGTAGTTTATATAGTCCTTGATAAATTTAATTGGACAGTATAAAAAATTATAATAAAACAGTCTTAGTAAATTTTATTTGGCAGGATATGGTTGTATTTTCTGATCGCTGATCAGAAAATATAATGCTGACATTCAACCTTTGGCACAGAATTTCACGACAGGAAACCTAACAACAAGTAGCTCTCAAAACAGCTTAAAACTAGCGATGTAAAAGAAAGAAATATTTTTATCCAACAAATTACAACGCATTCAAAGTTTAAAAGTAGTGTTGGTTTATAGAATTGTCAATAAATGCACAATCACAAATTCCGCGGATGATTACAAACCCAAAATGTAAATTCTAAATTTGAAATTATTTGATTTTTTCTTCGTATAACTTTCCCGTGGTGCAGGGCTAACGCGCTCGTATAGGATGTGAGAGGTTCAAAATAGAACATGTCCTTTCCCTTACAGCTAGACTTACGGTTTCCAAAATCAAGAAATAGTAGCCTTCATACATTAAGATTTGTCTGTACATCTTAGTTTTAATTGGTGTTGTACTCCAAAATCCTACCGTCTGTTGAGGCCTTAAGATGAATTATAGTATATAAAAATGAAATTATACAGGAAAATACATACAGATGTACATTACGGATCAGAAAAAACCATAGAGCTTGCAGCCCTTTGATTTAATAAATGTCATTAATTGACTAACATAAGTTTTAATGGCCATATTTATTACATATTGGACAAATATATGTTGCTTCTGTATAAAACATACATTGACTAGGCCAATATATTGTATGGATAAAACAGGTCTTCATGTAAATAATGTTGAAGAAAACATATCGTTGATATACTGAAGTTAGTAATATTTTAAGATTGTAAAGTATCAAGTGTAATAGATTGCATACTTTCCAAGGTTAAATGATATATAACGGTCAATTTTTCTTCTTACCATTTGCATTTAAACATTTTAGTATCGTTTTATCCATTCTACAACAATGTAACCTTCTGTGGGAAAAACACGCAATAGTTTGAATATAATGAGGTCATGTTTTTAAAATACAACAACCTTTTAATAAATGATAATGATTAAATGAAAATTGTGTAGCTAGGCGGGACAACTCCTCAATAAAACAGTAAACTGCTTTGATATGATCTGTGGAGTTGTCTCCCTTTGAGGTACTTGTAATTCTTTTAGAATGACTTTTCATGTATTTTATGTTTGTGTTTTAAGTTTTATATGTAATTTTATGTATACATGTAAAGATGAGACTGAAATAAAGAAATAAATCAATATAAATCCCATTGTTTAAACATTATAAAATTCACGTTTATACGTTACAAAAAATAATATTTGCCCTTTATAATGATTGAAGTAAACTATTAGTTGTCTTTGAGGAATAATGTGCCTTTAATGTATCATTATTTGATGTCTAACGGTAAAGAAACGTATAATAAATACAAAAAAGAGGTTTACCCATGAAATGCCAGTCTGTGGATAAAGTACCAACGGCTGTTACAACGACAAATGAAAGTACAAATAAAAATTTATTATGGTATTTCATTTTCCGGATTCTGAAAAGAAATAGAAAAAAAAACAAGATAACTAAACAAAACAAAGAAAGTTTCAGGCATCGGCATTATCACAAAATCTTTAATAAGATATAGTTGTTCTTATGTGACGCTAAGATCATTCTGACTTGAACCTGGCCCGTCTTCACTTCAATGATATCAGATTCCAAAATTATAGGTAAAAATATTTCTATGTAATCACTCTATGTTTCATTAAATATTGACTTGAAATGACTAACGTTGTGAAAATTTGAAAAGAGATCAATTATTACTTTACATGATATGCATTAAAATTGGAATATTCTTGATAAAATCAATCCTTATCTTACCGGAATTAGTTAATGGTTTCAGGCTAAAAATATAATGAAATCATTACTTATGTATTGGAAATTCTAGAAACAAACAAAGTTTATTAATATTCGTTATATCTATCAGGTAGTGATAGTTAAAACAGAGATATATAACGGACAGTATATAACAAACAATACTATCTATAATTATGAAAAGTTTTTGATACTCTTAGAAATAGATATAAAAAATTGTTGCGAATAAGATGATGAAAGATGTACAAGTATGAATTATATAAAGTTCAATTCCGTTTTAATGTTTCATATTTGTAAAACTTAGATAGACAAGAATCCAACTTGCCGGTTTACGTTAACCATGTCCACTTTAGAAGTGCTTAAAAGGGAAACATCTTGACAAATGGAGGCTATAGTTATGTAATTTGCCGAGTTCATGTACGTAAAAAGTAAGTGTGTAAATTATAAAGCGTTTGGTACAGGTAGAACTTCAAATATTCCAACTTGCCGGTTTAAGTTAACTTCGTACAGGCAGATGAGCGGACGGACACTAGCGCAGACAGAAACGCGGACTTACGTACACGCGGGCGGACGGTTCAATTACTATATGCCATAAAAAGAAACAAAAATTAGATTTTTCATTCTGAATCACTATATCTCTAAAGTCTTACAATAATTTTAGCCAAATAAGATCATGACAACAATTAAACAACATTTTTATATAAATGAAGTTTGCTATATTATAAAATCGTTATAAAGGTACTTGGCATGTTAAATGGTCGTATATGAAAGGTAATTTTGCAGTACAACCCACCTGAGCATTTAAAACATTTAAAAATGTATTACGTTAAAACAAGTTTTTTTTTAAAATATTGTATGAAATTACATTTCAAAATGACTTTCCAAATAGATTAAATTACGAATTATAAAAAATGTTGTATATAATTATCTGAGAATTTCTTGAAATAGAGAAAAACAAAATCCCTATAAAACGATAAAATTAAAAATGTTGCTCGGTTTGATTGGTCCTGTTAATGGACGATAATTAAAAAGTGCAAGTTCTCGCCCGTACCCCTTGCAGAATTCAATATCTGATATGAACAGGTAAAATTAAGAAACTTGAAACATCCACAGTGTTCATATAACGGTTATGATGGAACCTTTAAGGTGACACGTGTCATTCCATAAAAAGCGGCATATGGACCGCCAGTAACAAAATGTGTGCCGTTAACGAGAAAATAATGAGCAAAACTAAATTAAATGGAACTTTGAACGGGGTAATAAGCTTGTACATCAAAGATAAGCTGTCAAAACATACATTGATATTCAAAAAGCAAGCACCATCTTCTAATTTACCTCATTTCGGTAAATTACATTAACAGAATTATCAAATGACATTTAATAAGATACATGTATGTCTCGCAATTAAAAATTGACTTACCAAACGTTACTCCATAAATCACAAATACTAAAGCCTTAAACATTTAGCGGGAACACTTCCTGGTGTTATCTACCTACCTTGGATAGCAATGATATCAAATTTATTTCCTGCTCACGGTAAGATATAACAGCGCCCTAAATGAGAATAAACTTGTTTAACTACCAATTTGTTATCTTTTAGATAAATCATGATTTACTGACAGCCAAGTTTTATTTCTCAATTGTGTTTATATCGTAATTCGTTCATTTTAGAGAGGATTTAATGTGGTTCTTACATTACTGTGAAACTTGCTATGGTGCAATGATGAGCGATAACATTTGCCGAATAATGTACAAGTACTGTTTAATATATGAAATACCGATATCAGCTAAGTTTAATACATCGATTGGTGTAATATGATGTCATAATGTCATATGAGGAGCGTCTGAAATGTCCTTATACTTATCTCATTCTACCACACGGACTGTAAATTCGCAATTGTCGTGTTTTGTCTTAAAACCAGACCAAAATGATTTAAGGAAGGTAGTAAATAAAATAAATGAATCGCTTCTGAATTTTTTGGTTAATGCCAATTTATATAAACGTTGATATCATACACCGTATTTACAAATGATCTTAGGTTGCAGTTACACATGTACATTGTATATTTAAAAAATCACATGTGACCAAGCAGTTTTTAGTTCAAACACAATAAACCAAGAAAGTAAAATTGTGTAAATCTTTCATTCATTATCATCAACAACAATATGTCTTCAAATCAACCATCAAACTGTTTCACTATTTTTTATGAAATACTGTTTTGTTGTTGCCTATATTAAAGAAATAATATATCCCAAACTGTGATTTTATCGCGCAATGAAATCACTATTTAAAGTGATGCCAGGAATCATATCACGAGGGCGTAGCCCAAGTGATATAATGATGCGCATCCGAACGACAAACAGTGATTTTATCAAGCGATAAAATCACTGATTTGGATATATTATTTCGATTCTAACACAACATCAACACATAAATGCTCCCGTACCTTATTATAAGCTAAATTGCGCCTGATTTGTTTCCGTACTTATTTTCATCGTGTCGCACTTTTAGGGGTTACTTCACGTGTATAATGATTATGTCACATGTCTAAATATAGAACGTCAAACTGTGATTTTATTGCATAATAACACAGATTTTCGGTTCTTCTATGTTCAATGGGGAAAATGCGGGTCGTGAATAATAGGTATAACATATCCCTATATCACTTAAAGCAATCAATGATATAGTCGACTATATTTAATGGCAGGCTTAGAGACGTCGTTTGTTAAGAAAATTATTACCTTCAGTGTAAGTCACTGTCACTTGCTTTTGACTGGCAATAGCATTATCGAACATTTCACTAATATAATAATAAGTAATATTTATCTAAATAATTTTTATACCGTCAATCACTAATTATATGTGTCATATTATGCTTCGCTTATTTTTTTATCATTTATTTTTACTTTATTACAAGTTCTTGAATTAAGTGGTAAGAGATCGGCTTAAGGGATTCTTTGTAATTGGATATAACAAACAGTTATGTCCGGCAAAAGGTGGTTATTGGTGTTTGATTTACAATGACAGCAGTAATGAAGCGTACATTCAGGGCAAGAATAAGATTATTGCAGACCCAGTTAGGCCGTTTTCAAAAATAGCAATAAACCTCCAAATGGGAAAACCTACCTGACACTGTGTGAAGGTCTACGCATGTATTTGTAGGACATTTTGCATAGTGTTATGTTTTAATTTATGATTACAAAAATACATAAATAACATAAAATATTTACTTTTTACGATCGATGTACAGATGAACACAATATGGGACAAGTTCAAGCTACAAATGTAATTATATGCGAATTGGTTTCATTAATTGGGAAAAATTGATATGATTAGCTTCCATATTATTGAAAAATCATTTAATTCGTCATTCATTGATTTGAGTTGGTTTAAGTTATTGGCAGAATGACTGCTATAATAGCGCCTTACGTTTTTAAATGGTTGTATCTATTTTTCTTTACATTTTTTAAAAACATTTTATTCTCACATTAATTTATAAAATTTATTCGAAGACTGGTATCTACTTGAATATCTTGAACGAGGTATTCAAGGTTGTTTACCACCACGATTATAGAAATATATGGTTTGATAAGTAGAAACCACTTTCATAACGGACAATAAAGCTTGTTTTAAAGGTAGATATATACTATTTTGTTCTGTAACATAGAACATGAAATGTTTATTTTCAACCATTTAAAATGATACCATTATCATTTTTTTCAAGCTGGTTGTGAAAACATACCACTTTCAAATGGGGAAATGAATCCAAAGAAGACTTTTTACAAAATGAATTCAAATGCAACTGTTGTATGTGAAGAAGGTTATCAAACAAACAGTACAATAGTTTATTGTGTACAAAACCGAAATACATTTGCATGGAATAGGTCTCCTCGGTTTAGCCAAGTTAATTGCATTTATCCAGGAAAGCCTGTAAACGGATATTATTTGATAAACGCCATTGCAATGGTCGTCTGGAAATAGTATTACAGGAATGTGCTATCTAGACTATCAGAACAAAAACGGGGGACTTAGATTATATCAAAGTAACAAACAGTGGAGCGGTCACCAACAAGTATGTAAGAAAAAGCAATGCCCTTATCCAGAACATATTCTTAATGGTGAATAAAGTTTTGAAAACGGGAGTATGTATGGTAATGGACCTTCTTACTATAATACAACTATAAATGTGACATGTAAAAAAGGACATGCTCCCTATGGTGATTGAGAACTTTTTTGCAATTATATAAAAATTTGGGAGGGAAATTCTAGCTGTAAAATAAATACCTGTAAGGCTCCAACAGTACCCGAGAATACCCTGTACTTAGAGAAAGAAGCCAATGACTCATTTTTACAATATAATAGTGGACAGTTCAATTACCTTGATTAAGGTACAAGTGAGTTTTGTCGGCTCGGAAATACATTAAGCAATGCACCCCATAAAAGTCAAAGAATGTTTTAGAAAATAAAAAAATGGAAAGCGGAAAGACCTTTGGGGTAACTGCATCGTTTATAACATGTTAATGAAACTTGCTGACTTAGTGAAATGGATTTTATAACTATTTCAGAATGATAAAAAATCCTAATGGATATCCATACAAAACACAAATTGTTACATCAACTTGTGAGGATTCATTTTAATTACTGAACCCAAGAAGCAAAAGTCGGAAATGCAATGCTAATGGTGAGTGCTCTGTGCAGTAAGTGTTTCTCT